GGCTCCCCGACGGCGGTTGGAGAAGGTCCGGCGGTGGGCAGCGGTGGTGGAGGTAAAAATAATATTATTTTATTTAAATTTCTATCCCAACAAGTTTTTGAATTTTCACTAAAACTATATTTTAAATTATATCTCCAATTCAAACTAAAAATTGAAATAAACCATTTTTTTATCCGAATTTTCGCCCCCTCAATTTTCTTCCCTTGGGCCCGCTAGATTTTTTACTTCAACCGAATGAGGGTAATTAGTACGCGAAAATTTGGACAAAAAATTCAGTTTGCTTTTCCTTTTTAAACAAAAAGTTGAATTTTGAATTAGTTATTGTAGCGCGGTAAAATTTTAGAGTGATACGGGGTTAAAAATGAAATGTAGTTAATATTTATTTTGTATCCATCATAAATGATAAATAGAAAAAGTAATTTTTTTGAAAATAATGTAAATTTAAATTAATAAATAATATTTTAACAATTAAATAATTAAATGTGAATTTTATAATATTTTTAATGATTTAAATTTCAATAAAAGTTCAAATTATATAAAAAGACAAAAATACTCCTGATTCTGCCATGTCAAATACCGGTCAACATCGAACTGGACGGAAAAGTGACCGAAACAGTAAATGGGACTCAAAAAAAGTGTGAAAACATAATGTTTGGGATTACAATATTGAAATGTTAATGTTAGGGACGTAAATTCGAATAAGCCCAAATGTAAGGGACCATTTGGACATTTTAGTTTTTTTTTTCCAAAAATTTATTTTATTATTTTGCATCCTTGTCATACTCATTGAGGCACTATGTACCTAATTAATTTTGCTAAATGCGCCTTTCGAACCTCTTTTTTCTTTATTGTTTGCTGACCATTTTTCTAGTCATGGATTGAGTGGTGGCTACTGGATACTGCGGGGGTGGTCCCCCCAAGTTTTTTAAGTTTTGACCTGAAAAAACGTTGGTGCAGGAGAGAACTCCTTTCCTCCGGCAAGGTTGTTGTTGATTTAACTTTTAATTCGGCTGCTGCAAATTTAGGTGACTAGGTTCGGTAGCCAATCAATTGACTAAAATATTTTCTCGTGTGGCATTAATTCCAATATACTCTCTCTATTTCAAAATAAGTAATATCCTAGTTTAACAAATTACTTTCTCCGTCCCATTATTATTGTCCACTTTGCCCAAAAAATTTTGTCCCAAAATTATTGTCCAATTTGACTTTTTATGGATCAATTTACACATTTTTCCTTAGTAAAAAACATTCTTCATAAAATCTTAGTGGTTAAACAATTACTTATGTAGGGGTATATCCGGTTGTTTAAGGTAAAATGTAGTTAAGTTTGACTAAAAATAAAATTTTTCATTTTAATAAAACTAGACAATAATTATGGGACAGAGGGAGTATTAAATAAGGTAGTAAAAATACTTGAATACCCTCAACCAACCCTATTAAAAAAAAAATCCACCAATTGTATTTATTCTTATGAAAGGAATTTTAAAAATTTTGGGCAAAAGGTGCATTGAAATGTGAGAACGACGTTTATTTTGAAATCTTTTTATTTTGCTAAAACGACGCTTATTTTAAAATTGAGGGAGTAGTGTTTAATTAGTTGTGATGCAGAAAAGAGTAAATCTTCAATACGGCAATTGTACCACGTCAGTTTGTGCGATTTGATTCAATTTAGAGAATAATGCTAATTTTTTCGGGCGAGAGAAAAATAGTTGAACCCCAAAAATATTAAAATTAATCCCCTGTCAATTTGGCTACACTTTCCTACTGAAAGTGTTACTAGATATCTTAAGCGTAGTTACTACTAATACAATAATAGAGTAACTGAAATGTTCAATTACGGTAGACACTGTGATGCTTTTACAGTTGCATGCACCATCACATCAAATTAGGAACTAATAAAAAAAAATATTAACATGACCTAAATCTTTTCATCACTAGACGTCTGGAAAGCATTAGATTTGCAAAATCTTCCTGGTCCATGAAGAAGTCCCGTAGCCCGTGTTTATCGATGTGAAATGTTTCTGAGTTTTTGACCATATATGTGCCTGCATGCAATCTGCGGAATAAGATAATGAGTATTATTGCACCCACCGTTTTATACATATCATCTTCCAATTTTGTAAGTCCATTGTAGCCTCTCTTTTTTTCCCCCTTAATTGTTAACATCTTATTAACAAATTGAAGCACTCAATAGTCAATATCATATTACTTACTAAAAACAATAACTATGCATCTAACTCGTAAGTCGGCAGGTTATTTCTTGACAATGCATTTGAAAGCATGAATATTCATTTGGACGGAAAAAGTATATTCTCAAGTGAATACTATAATTCAAGACCATAGCGGTTAAAAAAAATAAAAAATATATAAAAAAAAATCTATGTTGTAGTTTTGTATTGTCTGGTAGATTTCATTTCAGATTTAATATTTCATGGGAAATTCATATCCTATTTTTTAAAAACTGCTTTGAAAGTTTATATCTCACTGTTTTAATAGTTCGTCTTTGCTTTACTGTTTTCATTTAACAAAGGACTTTTCCTTAGAGATAGAAGGAATACTTTTTGAGGAACTTATATTATACTTAATTAATTATCATAATTTTTTATCATCTTTATTAATGTTGGTTTACACAAATGTTTGTGGTTTTTGTGAGGATAGAGATTTAACCTGAAAAGGCAAAATTCGCATCCGCACTGCATTATGGAATTAATTGAAAAAAGACAAACGACATATGGCTATATATTTTCTGCGGATTGACATTGACATCAACTATTCGAACCCTTTTCTTTTTCTTTCTTTTTTTTTTTTTGTGGAAACCAACTATTCTAGCCCTAAAATAGCTATTTTTAATTTTAAGAGTAGTCTGGTTTCAAAAAAAATAAATAAATAAAAGAAAAGAAAAGAAACATAGTCTAGTTTCATAAAATTGTCCACAAGATAGTCCAAATGTAAAGTCAAAATAAATTTGATTAAAATAACAAAAAAAAATGATTATAACTAAAATAGAGATGAGTCATAGAAACAAACTAAAGACACACTTGAAAATTTGTGAACAATTTGTACCTTAATTGAGTTAATGACAAGAAGTAAAAAAATAGAAAAATGTTTGTAAAGTGATTTTTTTTTAACAAAAAAAACAGTACATTAAAAAAAAAAAAACCCACAAAACCGACCAATCAATACAACTTTCCGCCGTATACTTTATTAATCGTTTGTTGGCAATAAAATTTGATTCATGCACGACATGAGAGGGCCTAATCAGATTTTCTTTTCCCTCTTGTTTTATTTAACATAAAACCCATAGAAATCTAATGGTGCTTTCTGTTGTGTTATTGTGAGGTTTCAAATACGGGGGATACAACTAGTCAGTCTAGTCATGCTTTGAAAATTTTTGTGCTTGGATCGATCAACTGTTCTTCAAAACTTCAGGCTTGCTACTCTCAAGTTAAAACTTTACAAGGATGACTCGTAATTTTAATTCTCATTCTCAAAACAATTAAACATAGCATGACTCAGTAGTCACCAACTTAACCGTCCTAAATCTTCGAGATTTATGATAAGATTGTAGCAACAGTTTTCGCACTGGACCAACCAGATTTACCACACAGGTAAATGAGTGAAACTGACATTGGTGCAGCCAACCATTTTACTACATCTGCCAAAAAATAAAAAATAATTCACAAAGTATAAATTATAAAATTCAATATAAACATTTTTTTTTTAAGACTGAGAGAATGTAATTACATATTTAGTCCCATTGTAATTTAGGCGCAGACGGAATCCACTAAACATTGTAGTCCGTAGTAGTAGTACTGGCTAAGCTACACCTAGATTACTAGTCGACTATGGCGTGTAAAGCATTAGTAACGTTAGTATGAAAAAGAAGCAAAACATGTGCGGCTTAAATTTACTTTTGGAACCGTCTACGTAAAGTAATTAACTCGTATGAATAAATAATGATACCATTATACATATTGCTTAATTATTATTTTTTTTATAATTAGCTTTGGAAAATTCAAAGCTGTTAAAAAGTTATCGTGCTGATTAAGTCTTTCCTCTTCTAGCTGGTGAAAAAAAAGCTGGTCCTTAAGATTGTACAGTATTATGATTAAACCTTTTATATCGATCCACTTTTATTATTACAGTGCACATAGAAACAGTCCGTGGCCAAAGGGTATGATTAGTGACTATTCTGAGTGCCAAAAGCAAATTGCCACTATCATTTACTTCTCTTTGAAGTAAATTATGGGCAAATAATAAGTACTACTATTAGTATTAAACTAATAGTAACTTTTGTTTCTTTTTTCTTTTTACACTTTTATGGTAGTCAAAAAAGGTGGTACGAACTGTTGCATGGTTTTGGTAGCATATCCGTAAAACGCATGAACGAACGGAGCATACTGAATTGTCTTCGTATAAAGTGAGATCTAATTACGATTTTCATAATAACAAAATATATTTATTTATTAAAGTATTATGTACTGCCTACAGGTTAAATCACTTTTTTTTTTTTTTGAAACGAAATTAATATATATGGCTGTGAAATCCAAAATTTATTCGTGAAGTAAATTAATATGTACTCAATTAATTTTGTTTCAGAACGATTTTGTACATTTTTATGTTATAATTAATAAAGTAATAAATATGACCATAGTTTTGGAATATAAAAGTTTTATTTTTTTTAAAAAAATAATTATTTTGGCACAGAACAAGTCATTTGTAATCTATTACACTACAGTTTATGTTTTTGCCGGAAGGATAATGATGAAAGCGATATTTTAAACTCCAGCAATGACCTACCTAAACATATGTAACATGCATGCCACATGCATGTCCGCAAAAGTAAATTGAGAATTAAACATTATTTTAGCATTGATTATTTGAACAAAGTTGATGTGACATAAAGATTAAAAAATAGACTTTACTTTGTTTACATAATTACAGTAATTATGTATAAAATTAATTATTAAGTTTAATATGACTATTATTATGATGATGGAGAAAAATATTAAGCAGCCCACACCACTAGGCTAAAACAGCTATATATATACGGAATTGAAGAAGTACAAACACTAGAAACTCGTGTAACAAAAAAAAATCATCAAAAATCAAAAATCAAAAATCAGCAGTCAAATTGTGAGGATCCATCCCTCCAATAGCAACCCAAAGACAAAGAAGAAAGGAGGAAGAAAATAAGCGCCGCCGCCACGGCAGGCAGCAGAGCAAGAGCAAGGAGCAGCACGGCCAAAGTCAAGTAATAACAACAACAACAACTCAGAACAGCTAAACAGCAAGTTGTTCCAACTTGTATTTGTCTAATCTTTTGATTGGGATATTCATATTCCTCCTTAGATAATTATTAATAATCCTGGTACAGTGGCTAATACTTCCATATTCCCTCCCCCCTCTGTTTATATATCATTAAAATTAGCAAGTAAAGTTGATAGAAGAAAAAGAAGTTAGTAGAATTTTATCAGATTCAGACAGACCAACGTCTTATTCGGGGATATACGCAATTTTCGTTTCCTTAACTTTTCCACGAATGAATGAATACTACTACTCCTTCCTAGTCAATTCATTACTACTCTTCTTCCCTTAATACTATATTTATTTATATTTCTTCTTCTGCTAATCAATCTCTTTCTCCCATCCAATTCACCAAAAACCCATCTCTCTCTCTCTCTTTCTGCCATCCCCTGCATCTGGGTATCTTCTCCTTCTTCTTCCCGGATCACATTTTCCACTGGTTTTTTTTGTTTATGTTATCTGAGTAGTTCAACATTTGGGGTAGGACCAAGATAAAGACAACCACGGAAAAAAGGAGGTGATCCGGTGAAGGGGATTTTGTTTGTCCGGACCTTAGATTCTGCTTTCTTTTTTGGATTCTGGGTTTTCTTGGTTTTGATTGGAAGATATTTCTTTTATATATATATGGTGTAAGCAGGACAAACTTGGGGACCTGAATACGGGGATCATCCTATCTTCATTGTCGTATAACCAACATGGAACAGAAGAAATTACTGTTATCGGCATTAGGAGTTGGGGTTGGGGTGGGCCTGGGATTGGTTTCCGGCCAAACTGTTAGCAGATGGAGTGGTGGTGGTGGCGGGATGTACAATCATTACAATAACAATGGTGGTCGGGGAGATGGGGCAACCGGCGACCAAATCGAGCAGGAACTTCTCAGGCTTATTATTCATGGAAAGGACGTTGATGTCTCCTTTGAAGATTTCCCTTATTTCCTCAGGTATTTCGATTTTTCCCTCTCTTTCTCCTCCATTTGTCTGTTATCTACTCCTGAATTTCTTCTTTGGTAGAGACAGTAACTATTTTGGTTGATTAATGCATCCATTGGCATATTTTAACCTTTTACATGGTGTTTGTTTCCCGGTTATTCTTCCTGTTTTGCATTTGTCATACATAAACTTTTCCGACGAATTACATCTGCGCCTGCCACTAAATTTCTCTAATCAGAAGTACTCTGGGATTCCCTTTTGATTGTATGTAGTTTTGAATTTTAATCAGTTTATTGATACCTTTTCTTCTTTTGTTTTATGTCTTTTGGTGCAGTGAGAAGGCAAAGGCATTACTCACAAGTGCCGCATATGTTCATCTTAATCGTTTTGATGTATCTAAGCACATCAGAAATCTTTCTCCGGCTAGTCGAGCCATTATGTTGTCTGGACCTGCTGGTATGTGATCCTCGTGTTTTGTAACCAACTACAGTTTTATATTTTGTTGTTCATGCAGTACTTGATTTTACTAACTATATGATTCTTTGGGTTTTCTTTCTGTCTTCCTTCAAGAGTTCTATTTGCAGGCTCTTGCAAAGGCCCTGGCGCATGATTGTGAGGCCAAATTGCTTCTGTTGGACATAACAGATTTCTCGCTCAAGGTGATTATGTAGTAAGTAGTCTTGTTTTGACCTAATTCATGTAGTTTGTGTGGTTTGTGCTAATCATCTCAATAAACTGTGCTTGCATCTGTCTCAGATTCAGAACAAGTATGGCTCTTCAAGAAGAGAAACGGTGTGTAGTTTCATACTCCGAAATTTGTTGTTTTCAAGTGCCATTAGTCGTACTTGAAGCTTCAATCAGAATTAGATATTGATCAATTGCTCTAACTACAATAATTTATCTTTGTTCAGCCTTTGAGGAGATCAATCTCGGAGTTGACCATGGACAAAGTAACTAGTTTGCTTGGCTCTTTTTCGATGCTTTCAACTAGTGATGATACTAGAGGTTTGTTGTTAAAGCATTTAAATTAAGAAATCTGAATTCCTTGATTGAATTCGTTGTTGTTAGTTCATGAAGATGCCTCATCACAGGTTTTAAATGTTTATCAATGATCAACTACATAAATATTTTGCAGGTACGTTATCTAGGCAAAGCAGTGGCATTGATAGCAAACTGAGGTAGACAAAGTTCATCTTTCCTTTTTTTTTGATACTCGAGGAAATGGGAATTACTATTATGTACTTAGCTAGCATCTCGAATCATGTGTAACTACAGGAGTACAGAAGGGATAAACAACTCTCTAAAGCATCAAAGAAATTCTTCTGTCTCTTCAGATATAAGCAGCATCAGCTCCCAGTCCACTTCTTCGAATCCTGGTAGATCCTAGCGACCATTTTGCTTGATTCCCTTTCCTTGAATAATAACTCCATTTTCTAAGTATCTGCTGCCCACAATTTGCTTACATATTTGCTATAGATTTCTTCATTCTTCTTGCTCTTTGTGGATTAAATCCTCTCTTTTTTCGATTTTCCACGCTAGTATGACAGAATTTTCTTGTTGACCTTTTTTGCCTTTGTTTTGAAAATTTTACTCTTATCACGTTGACTCCTGTGTACAGAAATTATCGTTAGTATGATTTTAGTATGGTAAGACAAAGATTCGAGTGAATGATATTTTACTATGACCATTGATTGATGGAATGTTATGTTTTCTCAGCTACTCTCAAGCGCAACTCGAGTTGGTGTTTTGATGAAAAGGTTTTTGTACAGTCACTTTATAAGGTAAACTAAGAGCACATTCTTTTTGAAGGCCCCCTTTCCCCCCCTTCTTGTCTTTTCTGATTCTTGAATCAGTTGATCATTTTATGAACAAGTATGACTTCTTTGTTATGAAAAATGCTAGTATACTTAGTGGCTAGTTGCTATGATTCCAGGTCTTGGTTTCAGTTGCCTCTACTAGCGGCATCATTCTTTACATCAGGGATGTTGAAAGACTTCTTCTTCAGTCCTCCAGACTCCACAAATTATTTGAAAGAATGTTGAAAAAATTAACTGGATCAGTTTTGGTTCTTGGTTCCCGTCTGTTGGACGTGGAGGATGATTGCACTGAAATAAATGAGAATATTGGTCTCCTGTTTCCCTATGACATCGAGATCAGACCACCTGAGGATGAGGCTCATCTTGTGAACTGGAAAGCTCAACTTGAGGAAGACATGAAGAAAATCCAGTTTCAGGACAATAAAAATCATATTGCTGAGGTCCTTGAGGCAAATGATCTTGTGTGTGATGATTTAGGAACAATCTGTCAAGCAGATACACTGATTCTGGGTAATTACATCGAGGAAATAGTGGTGTCTGCAATATTTTACCATTTATCACACCACAAAGACCCAGAATATCGCAATGGAAAGCTTGTTATATCATCGAATAGGTACTTAAGATAATTTTCATTTTTCCCCTTTTCCATTTTATGTTATTTGTATCCTCTTTCTCTATCTATAATTAAGACGATACCATTGTGTTTTCATTTTCATACAGTTTATCCCATGGTTTAAGTATCTTCCAAGAGGGAAGAGGTGGAGGCAAAGACACTATCAAGTTGGAAGCAAATGCCGAACTTTCCAAGGTTAGCACCCTTGTACTGGAATTAGACAACTGAGATAGTGCTCTCAGACTGCAGTTCGTAAGTAGTGATCAACTCTATTGTGATGTGGCAGGGTCCTGAGGGAGAAGATAATGCTGCTGTCAAGTCCGAAAACAAAACTGAGTCTGAAAAATCCGTTTCTTCAGCAAAGAAAGATGGTGAAAATCCACCTGCAAAAGCTCCTGTAAGTCTTCTATCTGGTACTAGATGGCTGAAGTAAATAAAAAAGTTGAATCACGCTTATTATGTCATATGGTTATTCTCCTTTTCTGTTTTCCTTCCTTATAAGAGCCTTACTTTAGGAATGATTTTTTCACATACGTATGGTCATCATGTTTCCTGTACCTGGGGGTAGAGGACAGAGGGGTTGTTTTGTGGGTTAGAGGCACATTGCTTTCACCTGCTTAACTTTCATACCTTGGAAGTCAGAATTATAACTATGAAATCTGTGTCTCAAGAGTTTTTTAGATCAAAACTTCTGTCTTTCACCCCACCCTCTGAGTTTTTTGATGTTCTTGTCGAGCAGGAATTGCCCCCGGACAATGAATTTGAGAAGCGCATAAGGCCAGAGGTTATTCCTGCAAATGAGATCGGAGTGACATTTGCAGACATTGGCGCTCTAGATGAGATCAAGGAGTCTCTTCAAGAGCTTGTAATGCTTCCTCTCCGAAGACCAGACCTATTTCAAGGGGGCCTTCTTAAGCCTTGTAGAGGCATACTGCTATTCGGACCTCCTGGAACTGGGAAAACAATGCTGGCCAAGGCCATTGCTAACGAAGCTGGGGCAAGCTTTATTAATGTCTCAATGTCTACAATAACTTCAAAATGGTTTGGGGAGGATGAGAAAAATGTCAGAGCTCTTTTCACACTTGCTGCTAAGGTATCTCCAACAATAATTTTTGTGGATGAGGTCGATAGCATGCTTGGCCAGAGAACTAGAGTTGGGGAGCATGAAGCTATGCGGAAAATTAAGAATGAATTTATGAGTCATTGGGATGGCCTATTAACGAAGCCTGGTGAAAGAATTCTTGTTCTTGCGGCAACTAATAGGCCTTTTGATCTTGATGAGGCCATAATCAGGCGTTTTGAGCGCAGGTATTTACGATTAAACTTGGTTCAAGTATCAGATTTGATTCCTTGATTCTTACATTGATTCATAGAACTTGTTGTACCATCCTTTTTCGCTCAATTGAACACTCCATAATGTCTTGTATCTATCTGCCTATCAGTTTTAACTCACTCTTGGTTACTGGTGACCAGAATCATGGTTGGTCTTCCATCTGTGGAGAACAGAGAAATGATATTAAGAACTCTTTTGTCAAAAGAGAAAGTCGAAGATCTAGATTTCAAGGAGCTTGCTACCATGACAGAAGGATTTAGTGGAAGTGATCTAAAGGTGAGTAGTTATTCATGTGGCATTTTTCAACTACATTTTATCATCTTGTATTGATTGTGGGTTCTCCTGGAAACAGAATTTGTGTGTGACTGCAGCTTATCGTCCAGTGAGAGAGTTGATTCAGCAGGAGAGACAAAAGGACATGGTAATGTTGTACTAAGTTCTTACATTGTCCTTCTTAAGGCCGTTTATGCTTGTAGATTGGTTCCATGATATCTTATTCGCTTTGTCACTTCTGCTTCTTCTGGTTTAGACGCTGAAGATCTAGTGTTGCGAAACATAGGTACTGATTTTGGCTTTCTAAATATTTGCCTTTTGTAGGAGAAAAAACAGAGAACTGAAGAAAAGCAGAGCTCAGATGATGCATCAGTTTCGAATGAGGTTGATAAAGAAGAACGAGTGATCAATTTGAGGCCCTTAAACATGGAAGACATGAAGCAAGCAAAGAATCAGGTACTACAACTGGCTGATTGTTTTTCTTTTATTCTTCTGGTGGTCATTTGTCAAAACTAATCACAATTGATTGGCACCTTGTCATATATGTAGTTGAATTTGTAAATCGTATTGCAAAAAACTGATTTCAAGGGGATTACGTTGTTGACACTTTCCTGAATACTCTGATACGAAAGCAACATTTTTCTTGTTTCTCTAATGCAGGTAGCCGCCAGTTTTGCATCCGAGGGTTCTGTCATGGCCGAGCTAAAGCAATGGAATGATTTGTATGGAGAAGGAGGGTCAAGAAAGAAGCAACAATTATCCTACTTCTTGTAGGAAGCTCTGATGCATTTTAGGACATTTCTGTGTGTTTGCTATTAGTAAAACGGACAAGCAAATTGTGTGAACGTAAGAATCCCACTGCTCCAAAGGTATTGGTTGAAAGCAGGCATGGCGTAAAAAAGAACACTTAACGGAGACATCTGGGGGGGGCAGAGGAAGAACAGAAAGCTCTCTTGCCATAAGAATCTCTGCATTAAGGAGCAAATGCTGGATAGTGGGAATGGGCAGGCTTGGTTGGGGGAATTGCGTGATATTGAAACTTGAAAGGATGGATTGTAAAGTATCAGTAGAGATGGGAGGGAATGGCTGAAAAATGAATTTGTGAAATTCATTCAACAAAAGTAATTAGACCAAGATTAGTTGCCAGTAGTATTTAAATACTTGCACCTTGTAATCTAGTATTCTTTATAAACTCAGCTTTTTTTTTATTCTTTCAAGTCATATAGCCAAAATTCTCTCTTTCATGTTCGGGTGCAAAATCATTACATCTCAATTATCATGTGTACATTATTTATTACAGTTTTATATCCTTTTAAGTGATACTTGTATCATGTTTGAAGAATGAGGACTCTTTCCTAACAAGAATTTCACATGCACTTCTGTTTGGTTTGTTTTTTTAATGGTTTTTTTTTTCCCAAATTTTAATTAATAACTGTTTTTACATTTTCAATACAACTTTTTATATTCTCAATAAAAAAAATACCTAAAAACAAATACTTAAAAAAAAATCAAAACATCAATCTACCTCTTCATACTTCCTATACTTTGAGACACCCTTTGTCAGTCATAAGGTTGAATAATATCCTATTAGTAAAATAAATTTTAATTACTGTTTCCAAAAACAAAAGATTATTTTCAAACCATCATCATAATTCTGCCATCGTTGCACAAAGGAGCTCTTGAAAAGTTGAAACTTGAAATTGATAATGGTGATAAAATAAAATCACGCGATTCACACGTGATTCATCGCATGTTTAAATAGAAGCGCAGCATTAAAAATTTCACACTTTTTCCCTCTTTTCTCCAATTTGAAATCATTTCACCCACCCCCAAAAAAAGAGAAGCAAAATACCGTTTACCCCCAAAAAAAAAAAAAGAAAAAGGAAAAGAAGCAAATACTCCGGCAATGAATCGTCGAGCAGGGGGAGGGATGGATCCGGAGCCGCCGGGGTTGATGCTTGTAATGGAGAAAGGTCCATTAAAGGGGGAGACCCGGGAGTTCCAACCCGGTACCAACATCCGGATTGGTCGAATTGCCCGTGGCAATACCCTAACCATCAAAGACGACGGCATCTCCACGAAGCACCTGGCCATCAATTTCCAAACTCATCCGGGTCCGGATGGAACCAGTGGCTGGACCATATCCGACCTCGGGTCATCAAACGGCACCATTCTAAACTCCGACTCTCTCGAGCCCTTCGTGCCGGTCCAGCTCTCCGACGGTGACGTCATCAAAATCGGTGAGTTGACGTCGATTAAAGTTAGGGTTACAGTAGCTGTCCAGGAGGAGAGTAAGACTCGGAGGGGGAGGACTAGGCGGGCCGGGAAATTGGAGATGGCGCCTGTTGATGAGGATGCTGAGGTGGAATTAGGGAAAATTGAGACAGCAGGTGGAGAAAATTTGGACAAAATGGCGAGTTTGAGCATTGGAATCGAAGAGAAGAGTGAAAACATGGAAGCTTTGGGGAAAAAAGTGAGGGTAAAGAGGACAAGGAGCAAGAAGAAGGAGGAAGATTTGGTGGAAAAGAGTGAGGCTGACGAAAATGCTGAAGAAACTGAAAATGTGGTTGAAAGGTTGAGACCAAGGAGGGGTAGGCAACCGAGAAAGAAAGAGATTTCAGGTGGCGAAACGGCAAATGTTAATCAAAATGGGGCTGTTGATACGAATGTGGTACCAGAAAAGCCAGAAGAGAGTTCGAAGAGGGTTACTAGGAGCATGAGACAGGACGTAAATTTGGCAGAAAATGCGATTACAAGGAGGACGACTAGGAGTACAAAAAAAGAAGAAGATGGAGAGAAATTGGTACAAGTTGAAACGGGGAGCAAGGTGACAAGAAAAAGTGCAAGAGCAAAGAAAAATGTGATTCGGAGTGTTAAAGACGATGGAGCGACGAAAGAGGTCGAGATGGTGGAAGAGAAGTTAGAGTTGGAGGCTGAAAACATCAAAGGTGCTATAAAAGACTCACCAGTGGAGGAGATGATGATAAGAGAGAATGATGATGGAGTGGTTGGTGGCATGATAGTAGGAAAGGAGGAGCTGAACTCAAAAATGGACGCGTCTGGACCTTCAGGTACATTGGCCAGGCCCTCTGGAATTAAGGTTAATAGCTTGAATGAGCTGGATTTGGAGAAGATAACATTAGGGGAGTGGTTGGATCATTTGGAATATTTTCTACCGGAACAAATTATTGATTCTACAGAGAAGATGATTTCAGACATGAGGCAGAAGGCCAAAAAAGTTCATGAATTAATGTTGCCACAGGGAAATGATTTAGTTGGAGCTGGAAGAAGCTAGTTGGACAGAGGACTGAATGCAACAAACTTTGGTATATTCTCTCATTGATCAATTTTTTCATCTAGTTGTGTGCTGTGATTGTAATAATCCATTGGTTATTCACAATCCAAGTCTTTTGCTGAAATATTGTTCTAGAATCATAGTAACTTATGAATCGGGCTAACTGTGAAGATGGTTTGAGATGGATGCATAGTTTTTCCATTTGCAATGTGGTTGTTCAGGCATATCTTGTTTTTGCATGACTGTTACTGTGGTTACCTGATCTGGAAATTGTTGTTTGGTTTAAATTATGGCTGTTGCTGTCAAAAGTACTAATTTGTATTGCTGTCAGAAATTGCTTGGCTTGCTTAAAGTTGAAATTTCTTGTCTCTTTGGGAGGGGCTGTCTCATGGATGCATATTGATCTGTAAAGAACATAACCAGCAGTAAACATGCGGGTGGGGAGTTTTCAAGTTTTTGCTCCTTTTTGCATAGATGTGAATCATGTGATTCCTTAACTTAGTTTGTGATTGAAAGGATTTGAGAACTTTACTTGTTTTATGTAATGAGCCAACAATGATCTTATTCTAGCTTCACTTTTTCTGTAATGAACAAACAGAACAAAGCTCCCATGACGCTTCAGTTGCAAGACGGTAAAGGAGCAAGAGTGATCGCCCTGAGACCCTTAGAACTTGGAAGACGGTAAAGAATCAAGAATCAGTTGGTGGCCTGACAAGCACTCATTTTTTGTGAAATGGCACAGTTCCCATTTCTCACATCAGTTCACTTTTCTATTCAGAATTTATGGCTGATTCCATGTATTTCTCATATCTTTATGGTCATCATATGCAAGAAATATGAGATAATCTACTGTAATTTGTTAGCCTTGTTGCTGAAACGAGTGCCGACTTCACATTTCATGTGTAAATCAAGTTATATCCTTAATGTACAAATATAGGAAGAATAACTCTGGTGATGAGCTTGCAACTTTGCTCGATTGCGTTGTAATTTTGTAAACTTCTTTTGTTTTGTTTCTCATTGGCTAATTTCATAATTATTCTAGTCTTGGACGAATTCTAAGGAAATTTTTAGCCTTTTAATTAGAGTTTGTATTTTTCTGGTCATTCCTTTGTCAAAAAAGATTTACCAAATTTGAGGGGCCTACATGGCTTTTCTTTAAGTAGGGGGACTTCTTTTGACCTATAAATTTTTTCTGCATTCTTCTAAACGAGAGGAAATTCAGTCCCTTACAATTTCAAATCACCTTCTCTTTTTAGTTGGGGCAGAATCATTGATTATATTCGTTGCAGCTATAGATGGAATCCACATGCTGCGATGGAAGAAAACTGAATCTAGGATTTCATGGCAGCATATCAATGGAGGCAAAAGCAAGATACGAAGAGCTGCGGATACGTGAATCCCTAAACACGAGGTCGTATTATCCCGCTGCCTGTAAGGAGCTTGGGTACATCCTCAGGAATGCCTATTCTAAGGCCCCCAAAATTCTCCAGTCTCTCATTTTCGAAGACACCATTGCCGGCTTCCGCCTCCTCCCTGTGTTAGTCTTTTCTCCCAATTAGGTTAAATTATTCGAGTTTTTTCTGTATTGATCCTACCGTTTCCACATCTAATAACTCAGTTTTCGAATGTGAATTGATGCTTGTTTTTGGCTGAATTTAGTTTCGGATACTCGAATTCGCTTCTCGTTTCTATGCACCTTATGTTTGTGGTCCTTTTGAATGAAATTGAACGAATTTGTTGTTTGTATGTGTGTGCGCGCGTGTGTGCTTGTGGTTCTTTTGAATGAAATTGAACAAATTTTGCTAAGAGATATCTGGATTTGTCTGCAGCATGTCGACACAAGCTGCTATGTCATCGGCTAATGTCCTCCTCCAGAACGCAGAATTTGCTCTTCCAAAACAGAAGAAGATTTTGGCTGTGACCGCTTGTAAACAAGCTATGGTCACTTGTAAGAGGCAGGGCAAGTCACAACAAGAGGAGGAAGGTATATATCTATGCAAACTTCTCTCGCCTTTTCATCTCAACCGATACAATCCAACAGGAACGAGCTTTCTTTAAGCACATTGCGAAACATAATTTTGGTACATTTTTTTCCTCTCATCACCAGATGCTGTTTGATTATCTTATGTTAGGTGCGCTGGAGTTTCCTGAAGACATTCTTATACACATCTTCAGTTTCTTAGACATGCAGTCTCTAGTTTCTGCTGGGATGGTTAGCAGGTAATCTCTCTTAACCCTCTAATATTGATCCCATGACGTATAAGAGAAGGTTGGTGATTTGGCATTTGGCATTTGATGTTGAGAGGGAGACGGAGTTAAGAGTTGCTATCCATTTGTTGGTATTCCCATCAATTTTGCAGGTTATGGTGTAAGGCAGCAAGTGATGACCATCTGTGGGAGTCACTTTATGTTAAGTTCTTTGGATTTTCAAATGATCGTACTAGTATGAAAAGAAATGCTTCCCGGAGAGAGGAATTCAAGAGCGTGTATGGGAGTAAGTGTGGTCATTCTTATGAAAAGAAAGTTTTGATACTAGCTGTAACTATGTATGGTAATTGATAGCATGTTTGTGTCTCCTATATTTGTTAGTTGTACTTCCTTTATACAAGTCACGACGCTGTTTTCTGCATCAGGACCGTCATATAAGAATGTTGCACCTTATAGAGGCTTCTGCAGTGAGTGCCGCATAGTTTGGCTCACGGATTCGAAATGTTACCGTACACACTCTGGAAGAATGTGTAGAAATCACAACATTTTTCCCATCTCAATGCAGAAGGTAATTATGGATGTTTTATTGTGGTATGTTTTGATCAAGAAGTCATCATCTTAAATGGTTAATTAAATTAGCCCATGTCCATGTCTTGAGCTCTTTTATTAACCTAGTATCTTTGCTAACTATGAGATCCTCGTTTGATATATCCAGATTGTTGACTATGTCTTGCACGATTGTTCCCAATCAGAATCTTCTTCAGATAGTGATAGTGATATAGAATTCAACTCCAGACTCTGGGCTTACAATTGTTGACTATGTCTTGCGTGATAGTTCTCAATCATTTCGTCATGTGATTGAAAAATGCAGCTTCAGGCTTTGGGCTTGTGCCTGATAAGGCGGCTAAATTCATGCGAAAGTATTGCAGGATCGAAGTTCAATCAATTCTATTTTATAACAGAGAAAGCTCAAATCCTCGGACATTATTTGCTTATGGTTCTGCAAAGATGGAGTAACCATCCTGTTGCTCCCGTCTTGTTTCAAATTGTTCGGTGTCTAAATTAATGACAGATTCATATGTACGCTTCAATTCATTTTTGTACAGTATTTGATATTTTGTATGCAAAGAAATAATCGGATTGTTGCTTATTGTTGTCTGCGACATTATTGAACGGTGCAGTGGCACTTTTTACTTGGTTTGGCGGCTCTTTAGAAAATTTAAATTGTTTTTGTGGGATTAATTCGGTGCCAGTTTTGCTGCAAATTTAGCACCTTGATTAAATAAGTAATCAAACTGCAACAGTGCCATTTCTTTGAGCATGTCGATTTGAACAGTTTACATCTCTATGGATCCCAAACTTAAGTCTGGCAGACGCCTGTGTTTTTAAAATTTTCATCTAAGATTTGCCCCAGCAATTTGCTGCAAGTTAAAGCTGCCTACTAATACATGATAATTTTTGGTTTAGGGAGGCATTACAAAAACCTATAGTGGAACAGAAAGTGCAAAAAACACAAGCTAAACCGGGGAATCATTTCATGTAATAATTTACTCTCGGCAAGGATGTCAAACGTTCCATGTAACACCACCACTAAGTTGTTGAGCCAAAAACAAAATTTAAACTCAACCACCACAAAAACCATATTCTTTAAAACTATGAACCCCAAAAAGAGCACAAAAACTAAAGCAGGTGATTACTGCTCTCTAAACATTTAGGAACTCTCCACTCCCCACAACAATCATAAAAAACGCTTAAAGGTCCACAAATACCACCTTAAAAACTCTTTAGAGCAGCTTTTTGTCCTTCAAAGGTCCCCTCGGAATTTTGGTCAAAACCTTGGCATTGAATACAGCATACTGCTTCTTGATTTCTGCTTCCGCTTTCTCAGCAAAGGAATCAACTTGATCCTCATATTTCTCATATAGGAGAGGCAACGTGTGCAACAAAACAAAAGCTGCATTTGGGAAGAGGAGAAATGCCAAAGGGTTACAACAAAAAGCAAGCAAATAATAAATGTATTTAAAAAATTCAAAAGATACTTACTGATATAAAACAAGGTCAAGAAATTGCAGCAACTGCCTAAAATGGAGAAGATCCACAGTACAGCAATAACCTGAAAGGCAAATGATAACATACAAGTAAGAAGACCACAATAACAAATTACAAGAACTAACAGACTGGTAACATCCCCTATAATTTCCTCCCCGATGTCAATTATACAAGCTTCTTATTTAAAGCGAAAAGGGATGCAAACCAAAAGCACCAAAACCAGTCAGCCCACAACACATTGACAATCCACAAACCTTATAATGATTACAGACAATTTCAATGATAATAATAGTCATAATGAGACAAAGAGACATACTGCAAGGAATTTCTTTAGTTCTCTCCCAGAAGCAATTTCGCGAAGAATTGCAAGTGCTCTGTTGATTTCAATCCTAAAGGCAGAAGCTACACCCAACACAATGTCTTCAGGAAGAATAACTTCTGGAAATTGAGGTGGAGCCCTAATCCAAGGAAACAAACATAATTAACCTAACCCAGTACACATGAAAATAGCGAAAGGGGAAAGTACAGGAACGAACTTACTTGTTAATAAAAGTTGAAGCATTTGACCAGAGAAACAAGACTCCCAGAGCAAGCATCAGAATATGGCATACAAGTGTAAGCAAGTGGTACTCAAGCAGTTCAAAAAGCACCCAAACTGCAGTTGCAAAACCAAGAACGCCGGCAGAAATCTTCTTATCCCTCCACAGGAAAATATCAGCAGCTGTGACATTATAAAGATTAACTTCACATCAGACCAAAAATAACAACAAACTTCAATAGAAAAGATAAAGCTGCAACTACACAAGGTTGTTATTTGCTCAGCTTTTTTTTAACTGGAGGGGTGAAGGTTGTTCAGTAGTGGATCCAAGCACAGGGTAACAACGAAACACCACTAAAGTACATCATTATAAGATTAAGAACAAAATGCTAGGGACACTCGAAAGTTTCCTTCAGTAGCCCATAAACACTAAAATTACAAACAAGTGAGACCTTAACATTTTTGTAGCAAAATGGATAAACAGAAAAACAGGCTATTGCGTACTGACATCTCAATTTCCACATACACCGTGCAATAATCAAAAATAGAACCAAAGTAGAAAGTCTGTGATGTGCAGAAAATTAGGCACAAGTTTGAAGCAATTCATATGTAAGTCTATATAATAGCATTTATCACATTGAACATTCAAAATCCAATAAAGAAAAAAGGATCTACAATTTCAGCCAAGCCTAAAAAAAGTGGGCAATGCGAATATATCTCAGATCTCGAAGATATTTGCAAAAAGATCTAAAGCGCCACCCAATTGAAAGAGCAGTAGATCGAAACATATAACTAAAACAATGAAACGCATAAAACATATCCTCCTCCGAAGATGCGATGGTATAATGTAGAAAGAAAAATCATAATTCAAGTTGATCGAATATAAGATAGCTTCAACGAAAACACGCAGGATATACGTAATTATAACGAATTATAGAAAAGCTAATAACAATGTGCAAAATTAGAATTGATCTGAAATAAAGAGTGTCCGTACGTTTTCCGCCACCAAGAACTTTGTGGACGGGCTTCTCCCTGCCGAACAGCCGATAGATCTTGGCCTTGACGGAATCCGGCGATGACTTCTTGCCCTTATCGTCGTCCGAATCGGAAGAGGAGGAAGAATCGTGATCGTGAAACTTGTCAGCGATCTTCTCCATCACGGACTCGACGGCGGGATCGTGGTCGCTGGGGTGATCAGACATTGTAAAAAAATCGATCTCCGATGTCGTCGCAGCCGCAATCGCCAATAGGAGATCTCTCTGGATTCAAGAGAGCGCTGAGTGAACTTTTTGGTGCACTACTTTTTTTTGAGTGAGTAGCTTTTTTCCCGGCCTTTGCTTTTTCTTGCTTGAAATATGAAAGTCACAGGTGCAGGCAGTGTGATCTTTTGGAAGGCTCTAAATTGGTGTGAGTCCAAACCTAAGGCTCGGATGTTGCGAAGCGGTTGGTTCGGAAGATTACGGAATTCGATGTAAGAGCAGGCGTTGCATTAGGAAAAGATATTCCCCTCGTTGCTTTCTTCGAGGCCAACGCCAAACGGCAAACGTCGGATTTGACGATGCTATTAAAGAATACTATCAAATTAAAGTAAATTAAATAACCATTTTCCCTTATTACAAGCCATTTTTTATCCATTTTTAATTTAATTAAAATTCTATTCAAAAGATTTTTATATGTGATTTCTTGAAAGGAAATTGTTATTACTTTGTTAAAATAAAAAAAATTAATTAAGATAAAAAAAGCTTATGACTTATGTAAGTGCAAAGTGAAAAATCTTCTAAAAAATGATGCTATTATTAAGACACTAATCAATTTTTAAAATTTTTGGGAAAGGTTATTTTCCTCGTAACAAGAGCTTTTGTTTTGCAAAACTTTCCATTTTAAGATGGTTGACAATTAGAGAAGGTAATATGAAAATTAGCGGAGGAAAAGGGGAGGGATACAGCAATCTAAACGGCGTTAAAGTAGAGTTTGTCGGTTCGTGCAAGTACTATCTCTGAGACTCTGACTGAGCCAATTGGTTGGTTGGTTAATGGCCGATGCGGGCCATTAAAAGGTACGGCCTACGTGGAAACAACGTGCGTGGCTTGATTGGTTGGTGGAATTTCTCGCCAGGATTGATGGATCATTTTTGAATTATATGGGCCTCCACCAGGAAGATGTTTCTGCATGGGCTGCGGTAAATAAAAATGGGCCGGATAATAGCGATACCAGAATTTTGCGCCTTTCTAGATGTACTTGGTTCTACTTGGGCTCCTTGCTTGTTGGTCCAGGGATTGCCCTTGGGGATGTAGGAGTCATTGTATTATAGTGTAGTCAAAATGATTGAGGCTTAAACAGGAGATATGCGTTACGCTCAGTCACGAATGACATGTAAAAGTTTGATATATTTACTCTATGTCTATTTCTGCGGCCAAATATTTGGCATCGTGAACTAATAGTTCTTATCTGATGGGTTGCAGTGGCTATACACTCCAATCATTTGGAGCGAAACAATAGTTGGAGTATGATTTTATTGGAGTCTCATACTACTGAAATATCTTAATTTAATTTCTATAAAACTTCAACCGTCTTGATAGAAATTAAAAACAAAAAAAAAGAAACAAAAGGAATAGCGTGAAAAATCACTTCAAATCTTTTGTTATCAGCTCGACTATTGTTAAGTGGTTTGTAATTTTGTATACTAACATGCAACTCTAATGTCCCTGTCAATTATTACCCATCCCCTTTGGATTTGATCAAATTCTCAAATTAGCTACATCTTCAAGATCTGGTCAAAATGCACCAGAGTTCACAGCTGAAAGTTGAAACCCTACAAAACTTCTTTATTTGTCTAAAGTCTAAACCTTGAATACAAAAATGAACTATCAAACTACAGCTGGAGGTGAACTAAAAGGTTAAAGCCTTCAAGTTGAACCCGAAACCTTACCCCGTCTTATACCATTCCCTGGGGTCGGGTAGATTCCCAGGTTTCTTACATTCACAGGAGGAGCACTAGACGCATGGAAGGTTGGGATGATCACTGAAATGTAGAAAGCAAATCGGGAATTGCCGATCGTCCAATGAAGCATGGTTTGATTCAATTTAAGAGTAACAAATGGAAGGACTAAAGAAAACCAGAGGTAACCTATTATAATTAGTAGTGACCTTTTATAGCAATAGAACCTCTAATTTGTTATAGTTTTATAGACAGGTAGATGCGCAATGCTGCATGAGTTGCTGATTACTTCGGGTAGAAAAGGATATCTTTCTCAGTAATTTGCCAAAAAGCCAAAAAAAAACAAACAAATTACCTAAGGTCCCACCGAGATTTGAACTCGGGTTACTGGATTCAGAGTCCAATGTCCTGACCACTAGACCATGGGACCTCCGACGTAAATTACGGCACTTCAAACACTAAATCTATTCTCTCCGTCCCAAAATTATTATCCGCTTTAAGATTTCACTTTTAGTACAATTTGAACTAAAAATGAAAAATTAAATTGGACAATAATTATGGGACGGAGGAGTACTAAATAAACAAATCCACATTCTTATACCATGTTTTTTAAGCTAGAAGGAATCCTCATTGCCATTTACTTGTAACCAGTCACGTATCCTTAATTGGATGAAAACTACTTTGATCGAGAACCACTTTGGATTTTATGGGTTAGGGCTGAAGTAGATTCCAAATAAAAAATAATTTCTCAAAACAAAGTTAATGTTGACGCTTTTGAGAAGATCATGTACTCGTAAATTGTAAACGACTCTTTAAACCGAAAGAAAGGGCGAATCAACAAATGAAACAGATCCGAACAAGAGCAAAACCATTGTCACTTAGTATAAGATTAAAATTGGTATTTTAAAGAGGTTTTATCTTAAAAACAATCGGATTGCAGTGGTACTTACCTGATGAACTACTGTCCACTGGAGGTTATATCTGAGCGGAGGCAAACAAAAATGGCCGTTTCGTCTCCACGGAGAACTGGGGTGTGAGAATTCTGCCATTCCTATTTCCCACTTTTGGTTGAGGTGTTTTCATTATTTATTCAGGGGTATATCCGGACATAAGAGGAACAATTTAGAGAATATGCTTTGGAATTGGAAGCATCTGGCCTGCTATCTGTCGTTACAAGATCTTCAATGATTGTGAAAATTGGACGCAGTAAACAGATCGCGGGAAAGAAATTTAGTTTACAAATCCTCCGATGTTGGAATTCATTTGGGCCTACTTCTAACATAGGCCTTAGCCCATCTAATAACACCCAATGTTCTTGTCCAACAGCTGATCCAGTTGGTCTGGTGGGGGATTATTGGAGTATTTTTATTTACTCTGTTTAGGAGGTGAAAGTGATGAACTAACTAAACTAAAGAAAAAGAAGAAAAAAAAAATGAAAGATGAAAACAAAAGTGCAGTTCTTTACAGCAGAGAATTCTTTTGTTTTTAAAAACTTTTTCACGCTCTTTAGAAAAAGAAATAAAAGAAAGGATGTTAAAAAAAAAATAAAAAATTATGGAGGGATGTCCGAGGTCTTTTTTGCTTGTTTTCCTTTCAGGCTTTTGGCAAAGGGAATTTAAAAGCAAAGTTATGCATGCATGCATGTTGGGAGAATGTCAAGTGTTCTGTTTATGTCAAGGTATTGTAATAAAATGCAAAAGATTAGGCAAAACCAGTAATATACACATATCTACATTTTGTGCTAAATCTTGTAAGTTTAGATCCCATTAATATGGAGATTTATCGATATTAAATACTCATGGTCAAAGGGCTTGGTTTTGGACTCAAAGTCAAAGGCTGTCTCGGAGGGACTAAAGTTCCGTTTTATGAGTTTCTTCTTTCTTTTCTTTGTAAGTGTATTATAAAAGAAGCTTTTTACATATGTAAATAATAATGGATGGTGCAAATTATGCATAAAGTATTGGGAATTTTTACACAGTAAGAAGCATCAGTAGCATGCAAGTATCATAAAAACGTTTTCAAAAGAATGCTTTTTGGTAGAGTAATTTTTGAAGCTGGGGGGAAAAAAAAAATTGGGAACTAAAAAGGGATGTGTTATCAAAGCAATGAAATGTCCTCTTCCCAATGTGGCTTTATTTTGCTCTCTTTTTTAATTTTGCTCTTTAATTTTCCTTTATCCCCCTTATCTCACATTGTTTGGGGGACTTTAGACTTATGGGACCAACTCTATAAAATTAAGCTTAAAGGGGGTTTAATTAAAGAGCTTTTTTAAGATACTCCCAATTCTAAAGGGATGGTGATATGTATACTTGATACTATACCTGATACCCCAATTCTTAAATCAGGCCCGTTGAAAGTAGAAGTCGTAGGTCAAACCTTTAAGGCAGGAGCCTAAAGACGTGCCCAAACTATCAAATCTGGATTTCTTTTAAGAAAAGTAAAAGCGTGCCCACAACAGGAAAACCAATGACTTTGTGGCTTTTGTAAGTCGGAAAAAAAAAAAAAAAAAGAGAACCCGAGGTCTGACTCGTCCGGACTTCTTATCCTTATACTTCTTACTATATATTAGAAACAAAAATCACACTTAAGAAAAATTACCATCATTTGCCATATGTCATTTCTACATCATATTTTTAAAATAAATTTTTATTATCACATCTCCTAAATTTAAAAGGCAAATGCAGTCTAAATTCATTTTCACCTCCTATTTTCGTCCAAACAAACAAAAAAAAAAAAAACCACGGGTTCATAAAAAACCCAAATCCTCATCCTCATCTCCACGACAATCGACTCCTTAATCAATCCCTTCTCCACAATTAAAAAAAAAAAAACAAATTCCTCATCAGTCGTCAATTGAGAATATATGGTGAAATATACTCCTTTCCTATTAGTATGTTCAATATTTTCATTAGTGATGATCAACTACATCTTAATCGGATAACATTTTAACTTCAAAAAATATTCTCTTTACCTCTCTATATAAACACAAAGGAAAAAAAAAATTCTCATTGACCTTGCTTCGGCCGTTGTGATGGTGCCACTACAGGTATTAAAATTTAAATGATTTTATTTCCACAGATCATTGGTTTGGCTTTTATTATTTTTTGTTTTTCCCGTTCAAGAATAGTGTGATTACTATTATTTTTATGCGTCCATTCGTTACAGCAATTGTAGCCGCTGTCAGGTAGTATGATGTGATTTTTTTATTTGGTTAGTTAGCCTAGAATTTTTGTATGATTTTAGGTATGTTTGGATTGAATTGATTGATTGGGTTTTTGTTACAAACTGTGGGTTTTAAAATTTGTTTTTTATGTTTCATTCAATTAGAGTGGTTTTCTTTTTTTAATTATGGAGTCTCAGGTTTTTTTTCGTATATGGCCAATTATGAAGTGTGTTTTTTCTTTGTTTAATTGCTTTTGATTTTGTTCATACTCCCAGTTGACCATTACTATTATTATTATTATTATTATTATTATTATTATTATTATTATTATTATTATTATTATATTTGTAAATGAAGCATGTTTCTTTTTTTGTGTTCGGGGTTTCAAGAATATACTTTTTTGGATTTGGTTTTTGAACTTTTTTTAGTTCATCATCATACAAATAGTTCAGGTCGCTTCTTTTAACTAATTTATGAGGAATGCTTTTATGAATTTGAGGTAAAGAGGAAAGGAATGATGTTTCTACATTTATTTGTGTTTTTATACATCATTTTTACCTACATGAAAAAAATAAAAATTCTCAAATTTTAATGGGCTATCTTTTACTCTTTTTTTTTATTTGCCATGGTGAGATGAGTTCTTTTTTGCTATATCTTGAAACCTATGCAAATTTATATTATTTTCATTCTCATATTTGTGATCAACCAGTTTCAACAATTAACCAGTTTCAAAATCATATCATTGATATTTTACTACCTATAAACTTTTGGAAGAAATAGTTCCAACAATTAAGCGTAGACCCTTTGGAAGAAGCTAACTAAGCTATTATAAATCTCCAAAACTAAGTATTGATTTGGCACAACCAATGGAGAACATCAATAAATTATCTTACTAATATTAAACTTATTAGGATGCTTTTATATTTTGTCTAGCATTTACTTCAAGACAAATATTTGATCAAGTTTATTTATATTTAAGAAGTAACACTTATAAAATATTTCTAAAATCTTCAAACATTTCTAAAACGTACCGAGGCAAATACAATTTATTTTTTTTGCCAAATACAAACATCACACTTATAAAATATTTCTAAAATCTTCAAATATTTCTAAAATATATCGGGCCAAATACAAAATTTTTTTTTTCAGATACAAATATTTCTAAGATCTACAGATATATTGGGCCAGGGTCGCGCATTGCGCCGACCAGACATCACTAGTAATATAAGAACACAGTAGGCAAGAAATTAAATGTCCAAAAAATATTCAGGGCCACCTTCAAATTGATCTCGTACGTCGGATAGCCTTGATATGACGTCAGCGACTTATTGGGGGCAAAAAGGAGAATGCATAAATTCAATTTCAAATTAATGAATGAGAAAAAATCTGAATTTTTGGTTAAAAAAAAATCCCCAGATATCAAAACAACGTCATTTTATACCCTTATTTTATTCCCAGCAGTGAAAACGACGACGTTTTTGTATCAATGTTTTCTTTTTAAAAAGAAATTTTGTTGAATACTCGAAACAAAATAACCACAGATTATACTTGCACTTCATCTTTCCTTTTTTCCTTCTTGTTTTTTAGCCTCCTCCCTCTTTTTTAAGACCTCTATTTACGCTGATACCCCCACCATTTTTTGGGACCGAAGGATTATATATAAAAAGTTGTTATAGACACGAATTGGAACCGCAGTTTCTTCTCCGCGACTAAAACTATAGCGGCGGCTAAAAATCAAACTGCCGCTAAAGACCACCTTCAAAATTGAATTGCCACCGCCTAATCACCATAACATCTGTGCAGAGTTGTTGAAGTTTATCGTCGAAACGTTTGTCGATTGAGTCCATAGATTCGATTTGCAACCTTCACCGGTGAGACTGTTGGGGACGAAGATAAAGAGCAGTAACGAGAAGAGGAAGGGGCTCTAATCTTGATCGATCATAGATCGTGGTGCTAGACAAGATTTGAACATTGTTCTATATACACTATTTTTTCTACTTTTTTTTCTTTCTGTTTGGGCTCTAATTCTATTGCTGCGAAGAGTCGCTCATCGGATTTTCCAGAGGGTTTTTTCCTCTTCTCTCCCTTCTACCGTGGATTGTGCACCAACTCACTCACTGGCAAAAAAAAAAAAAAAAAAAATTGGTCTTTCTGTACTATTGCTGCTGCTTCTTTTTCCTTGGAGTCTACTCCTAATCTTTTCTTCTTCTTTTTTTTGTTGATCTTTGTTGGTGTTTACATTGCAGAACTTTCTAATAGGGTAGAAACCAGAATTGCATAGTTTCCGCTATTTGTTTCTATTGAGAGCTCTCCGTGCAAAAGAGGACACCAAACCACATCAAATGCCAAGGACAATCAGAAGCACTTTTTTGCTGGGACTCTCCGCAGTTCCTGAATTGTTTTATTCTCCAAAAGGTTTGTTTTTGTATAGTTCTCTTTTTATTATGATTTGTTTTGATTCTGCCTTTGCCATTCAATAGGGAAATAGTTACTGCATCATGAAATCTTGAATGATATCTAATCTTGTCTATGCTCGCTGAATTTCACTTGGTCCTAATCTTTTCTTACTTTTCAGGTTGCCTAATCTGTTGTTTTTTCATAGATGTTCCAATTAAACTTCATGGAGATGGTGTCGTTTTCGTCGTCCTCCTCGTAAGAATTTGATTATTTGTTTAAGTTATTGTTGATTGGGGATTCTGGAGTAGAAAAAGGTAGTCCTTTGCTCAGCTTTACTCCAGATATCTTCGAAGATCTCTCTCCTACCATAAGTAATACTGATTTTATTTTTCTCTTTCATATCTTTTGTATTAAAACAAATTTGAAGTTTTGATCTCAATATGCACATATGGTTATGATATTGGATGGAAAGGTAGGATTTTACGAGAACGTTTGAATTGCTGAATTCTATTTAATCTAGCAGAATTTTATATAATTGTGTTTGTTTTAGGTTGTTGTCGGTTAGTCATCGAATTGAACTCTTTCAAAATATGAAAAATTATAAGGAGAGTGAGAAATAGAGAGATATTGTCAGCAGAAATAGCAGAATTGTGAAACCTGAGCCATGTTATAAGGACCTTTGCAAGATAGTTCCTTTTTAAAATTTCTTTTTTTGAATCCTATTGAATTGGCCGAATGCTTGTTCTTCTTTTGTGTTTCAAACCAATTTTAAATGTACATGGAATATGGAATATTTGCTGATCAATTGATTTCATGTCAATTTATCTTATGTTAGTTGGACAAAGGTGCAGACCTTTCAACCCTGGTAAAAGTTCTCATGACTTACTATTTTTTGGGATATGATCATGTTTGCATTGGTGTGTTATATACTGTCTCCATCAAAGCTGGTTTATTTTGAACCTATTTAATTGCAAAGTGAAAATTGAAGTGGAAGGGAGGCCTTTTTATGCCTTAGGTTTGAACACATAAAATTTTGATTTATTGAACTGGTAGACATTCTTTGTTGTTGTTCCCTAAATGTGATCTATATGAGAATACATTATCAATCACTTTAAAATTAATTGGGTTACAGAGGTTTCTTTACTGTCAACAAAGTGAATCACGTGGAAGACGATTAATCAAATGTAGTTTAGTATATGATCGCAACAACATTACATCAAATTGTGACCAAAATTTGTCATAAATCCTCACTCCACTAGATATCTGCAACAAAATTTGTACTTTTTTTACTGACTTTATATTCTTGTGATATTGTAATGTACTCTTTTCTGACTTTATGTTTCTAATATTTGACTGTTTTATAATAAAGAACTAAAATACCATCTCTTTATATATCTATGGTTCAAAAAAGTTGATTAGCCTTGAAAAATTACCTCCATGTCTAGATTTGAATATTTTTCTCTAATTAATACGCCTAGGTTCTCTTTGATATGTATGCTGGATTATTTGAAAATTTAGAATATAATGATGAGCTACTTTAGTAGCATGATAAGTCTCTTGGTGTAAGGGAAAAAAATAATAGCATACGGATTTGCTACATGCATTAGTGACCCACTAACTTGATGTCCTAATTATGATACTTTATTTGTGGTAAATTTTAATTTACTAGGCAAATAAAATGCTGGACACTTGGTTACTCGTCTTAATATTAGTACCTGATGATTGGGAATGCTTCGGGGAGAAGCTCACGTTTCTGCTTTGGATTGACTAAGCATAGAGCATACTGTATTACTTCACTGATTGTACCAGATACAGATAAAACTAACGAAGAATTTGCAATTGAAAGGGGTAGGTACATTAGGAAAAGATAATCACTGTCTCTGTACCATTTAAAAAAAAAAATTGTTTCGTAAGACTTTTTGGTGGCTTTTGCTTCTCTGCCGTACTATGCTTCTTGCAATTTATGCCAACAGTCATTTGGTTGTCAATAGTGAGAAAAAAGATAAGTGTTTCGAGCTTCTTTACCCAGTAAATGTCAAAAACAGGAATCTATTATGTTATTCTAGAAGACCTTTCAGAGAAGGAAACACTCTTCTATTACTTTGTGCATAAACGTTTCTATTGTTTATCCTTAATTTTTTTTTTATCATTTATTACATAATTTTTTCATCTATCTGGAACAACTTTCATTGGTGCATATTCTTCAGCTGCTTGCCAAACAACTATGAACTATGCTTCACACGCACTTAGTTGATTCTTAAGATTTGCTCAACAAATAGTATGACGAAAAATAATTTCATTGAGTTTGATCTTATGCAACTACTTGACTCTTGCTCAGTAAAGTCATGATCAACTAATAGGTTTGGAATTTTTTTGGTGTATATCTCTATACTTTTATTTTTACTGCTAATTAGGCATTAGTTTCTGGTCTCTATTTCTATTTTTTGCACCAATGTTTCCACATGTCAAACCTTTTTCCTAAAAACCTGGTCTGATGGTAGTGTTGACAAGTGATTTTTTGATAATCCTGTGCAGGCTTAAAATCTAGCCTTTATACAAATAGTTCTATTATTGTTATTCTTTGTACTGCTGCATTTAAAGTAGCCGCCATTGAATAAACTGGATGAATGAACTGGGAAGGCAAACCCAAAGAAAGATAAAGCAAAAAAATAAAAAAAAAAATTGAAAAAATTGGTCTGTTGTAAAGAAGGTTGTGAAAGTGAAACAATGACATCTCACGTCTATCCCGTCCAAAAGTAACTCATCAGAGACCTCTCCCTATCTTCGAAGTCTTTTCTTTTTGGCTGTTTTGTTATTTTTCTTTTTCCTTTTTGGAAGTTTCTCTCGTTAAATTCCTTTGAGAAAAGAGGTACTAGTACTTGGGAGATTAACAAGTAGTATTTTTTTCCCTGTCTTTCTCAATGATGGTAATGAATTGTACTCCCTCCGTCCCATAATTATTGTCCAGTTTAAGTTTTCATTTTTAGTTCAAATTGTACTAAAATCGAAATCTCAAAGTAGATAATAATTTTGGGACAAAGGGAGTAACTGTTATTACTATTATACACTGCGTATTGCATGCTGATATTCCTTGGAATAATTAGTGGAAATACCATCTGCAAAAAGCAAATTCGAACTTCCATCCACGTACTGAAATAACTTTTGATTAGAAGGGGGAACGGAGGTACCACCAGTATTCATATCATACATCCCATTATCGAATATTTTCATTTTTTGTCCTCTTATCTTACCAAAATTTCAATCCCGCCCCCCTCACCAAACAGGAGTAATTTCAAAATCGAAGGTAGCTATAAGAAAAGGTCAAAAAACGCAATAAATGCAGAAATTTGAAAAAATTTTGGTTTTACTTGTCGTTTATCCACCACATTCCCCCCTGTTTGAGTTCTCAAAACTCCAAGATTTGATGACGATGACATAGTATATATGTTCAGAGTTCAGAGGCATCATAAATAGTACTACTACTATCAAGCCAGAAGCTATGACATAAAGAAGGCTGCAAGCCTACCGTTATACCATTATTAATTCTTCTAAAACGAAGATTGAAAGACGTTGCTTACCAATGTAACTCCCCAGACCTCTAAAATTAAAATTACTTTGAAATGTGTAGCCCTTTTGAACAGTAATAGCTACTCCCTCCATTCCAAAATAAATATCATTCTAGAATTTGGACATAATTTAAAAAAACATTAGATAAAGTAACTAAATTATTAGAATATCCTCAACCAATCCCATTAAAATAAATGTTCACCAATAATATTATTTCTTTCGAGGATATGTTTGGAAATTTTTAACAAAAAATGCATTGAAATTCAAAAACGATATTTATTTTAAAATTTCTCCATTTTGCCAAAACGACACTTATTTTGGAATGGAGGGAGTACTTTGCAAAGTTACTCTCCCTTCGAAAACTGTAACAATAAATTAGGAGGGTCACAGTAATTATGTCATTTCCCTTCGAAATTTTAACTGTTAAAATATTACTACATCACAGTATTTTTTTTTTTTTAGTCCAAAAACCATATTGTATAGAATTGTGTCATTGGACCATGTAGTCAAGAATATAGTCAAATGAGCAAGCAGGTGGACACAAGCAGGGAGCCAAATTGGACCATTGGAGAGGAGCAAGAATAAGTCCAAATTCAAAAAGTCTGTGAGATCAGTAGCTGATTAGGCCTGAGCCCTCCCTGAGGTGGGTGTACCAGTAGCCGCTCAGTCTCCGTGGTCTTGGTACAGAGAGTCTCAATTCTCAACTCATCAATGATTCATACCACAATCCAAAGGCAAAAATGGTCATCCTCATCGTCACACCTCTACTCTTTTCTAGCCAATCTCTTTTGCAGTGCTATTAGGCAGTACGAATTACTTGTGCCAAATAGTATCAACTTTTCAGATGCACAAGAGAAAGAATAACCCATGATTTCCCCCATTTAAACATTACAAAAAAAAAAAAAAAACTACTTTCCCGCCCTAAAAATATTAGTATTTTTATTATTATTACCTCATCCCCCTAGACCCAATGACGTCGTTGTTCTTCTGTACATAATTAAAAGCGACCCAACAAGTAAATCTGCAACAAAGTAGTATATCATCAGTAACAGTAACTCCCTCTCTTTTATTACTCTCTCTCCTCTGTTTTCTCTGCAAAAAATACGCTTTTTTTCACTTATTTATCTGCTTTCACGAAACACCAAATCCTCTCTCACTCTCTCTCTCTCGTATTTGTAATTTGTCAGAAGAGGAAATCCTCCTCTCTTTTGTAATGGTATTATTAACTCAGCCTAATTAATAAAATTAAAAGCTTTTCACGCAATCTCTCCCAATTCCCCAAGTCCCCTTCCAAAGCCTCTCCTTCCTGAGGGTTGTTCTCTCTCTATATATTTATAATCATCATTTACAACGTCCACGAAATCCATATTCATCTTTAGTCTTTACTTGTCTCATTCTCTTCCTTCTTCCTGAAACTTTCAAAATAACAAATTACTCTGTTCTGATATTCACAACTACTGTTACCTACTTTTGCATTTGCAGCTCCGCGTTTACTCTTCTATAACTTGCATTTTCCTTTTTTTCCTTCTTTTGCATTGTACCCGAAAAATGGAACCTTTTAGCTTACTCAAATTCTGGCGCACTTCTTCCGGCTCCGAGGCCGATTCTGTCATCACCCACACAACTAACGTGGACGTCCGGTGTCGGGCTCCCGAGACCGACGAAGAATCCGACTCTGAAATCGACAGTGACGATGATTCTTTCTTTGATCTGGAGCTCACTCGCTCGACTCCCGACTTCTCTCTGGTCGGAGAGGAGGAGGAAGACAGCATTGGGAATTTATTAGGCCTTGAGACTCCACTGAAAGCTAAGGTTTTCACAGTTGATTCCAACTCCAAGCCTCAATCTCCTATTTCCTTGCTCAAGTCCGCACCGAAATTCAGGGTGTTCTTGTTGGGTTTCCGGAAGCCCAAACCGGAGAAGCCTGAAGCCAATATCAAAAGTAAAGAAGCTTCTAAGATTGCTTCAAAGGAGGCCAAGAGCAAGAGATTCACCATCAATTACTGCAAAGACGAAGAAGTTTCAATTGGGTCTTTGTTCTCAAGGGACAACAGTTTGAGAAGCAAATTACAGAATGAACGCTCGGTTGATTACTCAATGGAAGATCCCACCTCGAAATCATTGCCCAAAGATCAAGTTCCAAAATATTTGAAGCTGATTAAGCCTCTTTATAACAGAGCTTCCAGGAGATACACTCATGCGGATCCCAATTGGGATCAGTTTTCCACGGTTTCGCCGTTATCATCTCCGGCGACGTTGCCGTCGAATTCTCCTAGGAAGTTTTCATCCGACGAGAGGCGCGGGAATCGAGGCGCGGGTTTTAGAATTGTGGGCAAGCACCTGGGGAAGAGTCGATCTGCATCATCCGCCGTGGGGATGACGGCGTCGTCGCCGGCGAACCGGAGGGACGATTCACTGTTGCTTCAGAACGACGGGATCCAGAGCGCAATTCTCCATTGCAAGAGGTCGTTCAACTCATCATCATCAATCGGCAAAGTTTCAATCCCTTCAGATTGTTCAGCCGTTCTACGCGCTTGTCACGAGAAAACAATGAGTCAAACATTCGAGTTAAACTTGTTCAGTGAACGGAACAGATGCAGTAGCATATGATAGTTGTGAACGAATTGGTGGAAGTGGAACACCCAATTCTTAATATTTCCAAAAAAAAAAAAATGAAGAAAATCTGAAATGAAAAATTTAGAAGTGGCGAAACGGTAGACGGTTGCGCATTGTAAAGTTTAATTAGGAGGTTTTCATGTTTGCTTGAGGGTGGAAACATTTATTAGATTTTTCTACCCCTCTTCTTTTGTGTGTTAGACTGATAGTGCTTTAAATCGCCATGAATGCTCTGTATTAATGGTGAACACTCCTACTAGTACAAGAACAATTGACTGCAACGTTGTAGTCCAACTAGTCTTCAATTGTGCAGAGTTTCCAGCTTTTTTGTATAGTTGTTTTTGGTGTACTAATACATTTTTAGTTGTTAGAGAAACCAATCACAAGCTATGGACCATGCACGCGGCCCTCCTGAAAAGAGTATAGAGAGGTCTTTGAACTTTTCAGCCAAACTAACTAGTAAAACATAGCTTTGGGTCAAAAAGGAACCAAAAGAAGAAGAAGAAAAAAAAAAGAGCAATTGAAGTAAAAGTTGGGATTGTTTTGCTTATGCTTTATATCCACTCTGTTGGAAGCCTTTTATTGTTCACTTTTAATTTACACTTGGTGACTTGGATCCATTTACTTAACGCCATAATGTAAATGTTGACCGGTTTAAGAAAATGTAGATTTTATTGTCAAACACCATTTATGGCTATCAGTTCATTTTACCGACCGGATTATTTATGAGCAAGAAGATCTTATTACTGCGTCGCACGTGAAAAATCCAACTAGCAATAATGTAAAAATTTGCTTTGCTAACCCATTATTGGTATGCTACATTTGGTGCAAACGAGATGCTGCATCTCTTCTCATTCAAATTGGCTAAACATTCCATACAATCAACGAAAACCGTGCCATTATGTACGAATTAGTGGGTATTTAGTACTACTAGTACTATCTAGTTACACAGTCAATTAGTGATATCATAAAAATATGATTTGAGTACGAGTCGTGGACTAAAATATAAACCAAAATCACGTGGAGAGTAAGATGTACTTCGATTTGATCGAATGGAAGGTAATTGGTCTTCATTTTGCAGAACAGGGTATGCTACTGAAATGATAAATAAATATATATATTTGTGAATCTTTCGTAAATCGTAAATATTGCAGTTGGTGAAACTGACGAGACCTTCTCTTCTTTGCTCAGTTTTAAGGATTCCCGTGTGATTTCAGAGCCCTGCTGCCTAACATTTTAGGAACGTGTTCCACTCATTAACTTCTAATCTTAATTATAAAACTTTTAATTAAGCTGATTTTTTTTTGTGTGATGCTCGATCGTCAGTAATGAAATGCGTTAGCTCTGTAAAGTTTAAACTTTAAAGCTCCCACAGAAACGAATGCCGGTCTATGTTTGTGCATACACGCTAAAAACTTTGCTGAATCTTTCAACCAAGTTCTTTCAATGATATTTTTGTATTACAGTTTCCGTTACATAGTCTAACCATTAGTATAATAAAAAAAATAAACATTGAGGATTATAGAACCACTAAAAGAAACTACAAACATTTGATTATGTTATCGTTGTAAGTTATTATTGCCATCTTAAGGTGAAAAATAATTTCGTTACTACTAGACTAATTTTACACTTAATTACTTTGGTAGCTAACAGCTAAAAAAAATACAAATTCCCATCACACAGGATCTTGGGGCTAGCTTCGCTATTTCTAATTTTCTTTTTTCGGGGAATAGCATGTATACATGGTAATGACAGTTGATGGTTAGTTTGGACCTTTGATGTTTTGGATCATATGCAAGGTGGCTGAATTTAGCATAAAGACGATAGAAAAAGCTATGTCCTTATTGCATGCTTCATGCATGGGATGGCGTTCCTGGAACATTATGAATCTGATAACTGAAAGACAAATGTATCCCGAAGCTGATTCTCTTTCAATTTCGGGTAAATGGAAGATTATTATGTGTAAACCAATGAATGATTAATCAAGAAGTTCAAGAACAGAGTACCACAATACTGGAAATGAAATGTAGTAACTTATACATGCACCAACATATCCCATACCCAAGAAAAAGGGGCCTAGATTCACTTTGATCCCCTGCTTCATGATATTTGCCTTGATCAAAATTTCGAGTTTCGGCTTCTGCTTAATTTGGGATATTATGTTTAGTTTTTCGTTAAGTATAAACATCTCCTTTCTGGCTTTCTCTTATTTCTCATATATATTATAGTTGAATTACCGATGTCAAACTAGTGATCGTGACTTCGTCGACCAACAAACTTCTCCCTTCATCTTTGAGTAAATCTATGTGACATATGAAGTAGTACTACTGTTCAGATATTTATACTTTATACTATGAGGAATGATTCTCTGTGAACATTCAGAGAATAAATCAACTTAAAGAATGATACTGTATAATGCAGAATTTAAAAGATTGATATATAAGTGTGATTAGTTTTATAAGGGCTAACATATATAAGTTGTACTCATTCTGTCCTAAAAAATTATTGTCCAAAATCAGATTTTACTTTTACTACAAGATGAACTAAAAATGAAAATCCGAACTGGATGATAATTTAGAGATGGAGGAGTAATAAACACGCACATACTAAAGAAATGATAAAGAAAGTGAACTCAACTCATGTAATAATTTAATAAACTATGTGATACATTCTACGAATCAACAATAATTCCCCTTGTTAAAACTGTTTGTGTTATATTAATCTGAAGTCAACCTTCTCCGAAATACATATTTAATCTCTGAATTCAACCATAAGACTCATTTTATTAGATCAAGGCAATTGTTTGGAGAGATGTAGAATGAAACCAAGGAAGAAGTACCGACGATAACCAAGATCCTCGGAGACAAATATGATTAAAGTATGATGTGAAACATTCAAACATTGGCCGGGGGCTTTAATTGAGTAGATGCCTAAGGTAACTTGTTAATATACCATGAATCAGGACATACCCTAATCACCATCCCTCGACATTAATCCTATCTCCAATGACCTTGGTAACCTTATTGTCCCTCTCATGTTGGCACCTTGTCCCCTCTTCTTCTTTTCTTTTTTTTTTTTATATATATATAGAAAATGTTTTTTTTAAAAAACATATTTTAGCAACTTTCCCTCTGAATTCATGGTTGAATAATTATAATCTGAAGAATTGATCATATTCGTTTGTATACTAAGCTTTGGAAATTTTTCTTATTTTTATTTCGAAAATGTATAAGAATCTGTTAGGAGGCAGAGAAGTTAACATTAATTTGAAGTAAATTGTGGATGCAATCGTGTTCAGGTAACCGAAGTATTGTCATCGTGCTAAAATCTAAAGTACTAATTTACACTAAAAAAAAAAAGGAAAAAAAAAAGAAAAGAAGAGGAAGACAAGAAAAGAAACACAAGTATAAACATTTGCCGCGATAAGTTGCGGCAACTTGAATGTATGTACGGACTTTCTCCCAAACATAAAACACCGCCTTCGCCAAAACAACTCCCCTAAATGGAGAAAATAAGCTCACGGGGGCCATATCATTGAATTTCAATCATACTAATTAATAAATAGTGTAATGTAGTTGAATCAAATTGTCGGGCTAGCTAGTAAAATAATTCCACGTGGTATATTTAATTTCTTGTCTTATTCCTTCGTTAGTTAGTAGAACCTTAAAATTAAAAGGGAAAAGAAAAAATTAACAGTTAAAAAATCAATTATATTTGACAATCGCTTTAATACGGAGAGACTAATAGTTTCGTTTCATTCATTCAACTTAATTAATATCCTCAACTCAGAATTTTTTGAAGGGAAAAGAAAAAAGAGAATAGCTATTGGAGTAATATACACTTGTCCAAAGTTATAAAGATGGAAAAGTACTTTAGCGTCATGAATATTTTTTAACTGTTACTCGAAGGGTTACATTAAAACTCTTCATATAGAAGAAATTGATATTGATCGTCTGATCGACATGAAAGCATCCCTATTCCTCCTGTAGTCCAGACCAGTAATTTAATTGGAGGGTGGAAGGTTTCCATTAATAAAGGAAGAGAAAAGAGCTAAGGCCCTCGTGGGTTGAGACGTTGAGTGAATGGAACGAAATCCCCAGCTGCTCTTAATGTGATAAATGTCAAGTTATCATAAGTCCGCCTACCTTAAGACAGGAAAAAAAAATATAAACACTAATTGCAACACTCAACATGGCCGTCACAAAAACAAGAATTACTCGTGACAAAATTCTCATCAAATGCCACTCCTACATTCCAAAATAGTAATCGTTTTAGCAAAATAAAGAAATTTTAAAATAAGTATCATTTTCTGATTCTAATGCACTTTTTTGTCTAAAATTTCAAATTTATCTCAAAAGAAATGTATTATTAGTAAATATGTATTTTAATGAGGTTGGTTGGAAATAATATAATAATTTGCTCACCTTATTTAAGTATTTTTAAAAAAATTGTAGAATGACATTTATTCATTTTAGAATGGAGGGAGTATTTTTTTTCCCTCTCATTTTTTACGTAATTAATTCATAATCTAAAAGTGAAATGCTAGGAATATTTAGTTACCTCATTTTGGTAATACCATGGAAAGGACCGACTCAAGGTCCGCGGGAGTCTAAAGTGAGATTCGAATTTGAGGTCCTCTGAAATTTATGAAAAAAGAAAATCATATTAATTTTTATAGTCGGATACAAATTCATTAATATAATATTCATATTAAAATTTTGGATAATCTTTTCAATATATCCAATTTAGTTCATTTTTCTATAACAATTTTTGTTTACCTTGACTAATTTCAAAATTATTTTATAATATATAATACACTATTACTAATTTTTAGAGCACTTCTAAAGTGGGAGCATAAAGCCCTAGTTTTACTCGTTTAGTGGTTCAAGTGGACCTGTTAGGGGTGGTTACTGAGAAAATATTGTGTCCAACTTCTATACCATATTTTTTTTCAATTAGAAAAATATATTAAATGAAAATTAGGACAAGTTAAAATGTCTAATAATAAGGACTGGAGAAATTACTTTAGAAAGAATTTAATCTCATAATTAAATTTATAAAGATGTTACACAAGTTCAATTTCGCAAAATTTAATATACATGGACAATAATGATACTCTCTGTCTTAAGAAAAAAGTTCATATTGAATTTTGAGATTTTTAATAATTAGTACAAATTTCAAAATTTAATGTGGACTATTTTCCTGAGACATAGGGAGTATATTTTTAGGGACTTAAAAATAAATTTAAAAGTAACAACAGAAATGGAAAAGCCAAAAGAGAAAGGTTGTTTTTGCTGTTTTACTGCACCCATTGGAGGGGCTTATTTTAGCAAATTGGTGTTGCTGCACGGTTGGAGTTGGTCTAACAAAGATTGTGTAAGTTATCAAAGTACTGTATGTAGGAAAGAATGACCTTACTGTTGGCAAAGACATATCTGGGCCTTTCAGATGGGCATAGCCCATTTTAAACAGTCTATCAAAATTTTAAAAATATGAAAAGAAAATGGTGGGACGCCAAGCAAGATAGAGATCAGTGTGCTACTTGTACATCCTATTTTTACATCCTGTTGATTGAAGTTTCATCACAGCTTAATTTCCTATTGCCTCTGGTGGGAGCAGGAGAATTTCAAGAGTTCAGACTTCAATATTACGCTTGTTTTTGCTAGGTTATTTTATCATGATGAAATGGTAGGTGGAACTTTCGTGAGAAAACTTTTCATTGAGTCTACCATGACTCTAGGAAATTTTAAGGCTTTGTTTGTTAGGTTTTTTTATGATTTTTCCAAAATATTTAAATAATAATTATCTCATCCTATCATACCTTTTTACATTTTCAATACACTTTTTTATATTCTCAATATAAAACACACCTAAAAACATACACTTAAAAAACGAAACAAACATATCCTTAAAATCTGTCCAAGCATTTCTCTAGGAATGAGAAGTCAGCTGTATGTGAAAACACATTCATTGATGTATGTATCTTTTCCCCCCTCCAATTTTTAACATATTATTTTCATATTTTCAACATGTACATATATTTTAAAAAAGATTTTTACCTATTTTTGATTAGAAATCGACACCTTCCCAGATTTTTGTAGTATGCTAAGAGGGGGGTCGCGTCCAAATAAATGGGCCTTCCCATTAAAGAGCCGCCATTGGGCAATGTTAGAAACTGTGTCGGTGCGGTCTATTTCTATTTAATCGAGTCTTGTTCACCGTCAACAACCTATGAGATCTTTTCATACTGGATATTCATAGAGATTTAGCGAGGAATAATACCAATGATTTGTTGACTTCTTTTTTTTTTTTTCTTTTATTTCCCCTGCTAAATTTTAAGATTATGTGATCTAACAACTACAGATAAGTCGTAATTAACATATGACATAATCAAGAATACTTTTCACATGCCATACTAATTTAACATTTTAATTACAGCCTAATGTTATCAGTTTTGTCCCCTTTACAGTTAGAAAAGGAAAGAATTGTTCTGTTTTTATATTGTTGATTTCAGACATATTTGTTCGGAGTTAAGACAGCCCTTTTTTAAAGATTCACATGCATGTATATATATACCCAGGAAAATAAAAAAATGCATATTCATCAACAAATACAAGTAGAAAAATAACGAAGAACATCTGTACGCAACCGTATAATCCGAATGTATAAAAACAACATGAATATTTCACAAAACTGAAAAGTCTAGCTGCAGAGAAATGGGAGAAAATTAGATACTAAAAAGCAAATAAACAAGGGGACAAAATCTGCATGAGTGTATGAAGAAGATCACTTGCAGGAGATGTTGACCAGCTGTGGGGGCGTTATGGCAATATCCATGGAACAATCCATATTGGTGGACTTTTTCTTGCTAAATATAAAGATCAGCCTCACTTTGCCCTTCATCTCAGCTCTGCTATTAATCCTTAAAATCCCAGCCTTAAGTTCACTTCCAAGTTCCGAACTGGATTGTACCTTATCAGAACCTAATTTGACCACCACGTTGACTTTCTTGGTGCTTCTCCATCCCACGCTTGATTTCGGAATTGAGACCTCCCCGACCGGAGTACCTCTGTAAAAGAAGTTCACCGTCGTCTCCTCGTATTTGTATTTTCCGAAATTGGCATTTTTCACGTCGAGCCGGGTATTCATCGTGAAATTGAAAGATGATGTTGCGGCGTCGGTGTTGGAGTTGGACGGGTCAAAGGTCGCAGCCCGGACCCGGAACTTTGGGGTTCTGACTTTCATGATAGTTAACACGAAGATGGCTATCACAGCAGTTTGGAATATAACAAAAGCAATAAAATAGAGAAGGTACTTAATCCGCTTCTTCTTCCGGAGCTCTCTGGAGTTGGCGGCTGCAGCCTCTGCATCGCCGGCTACCAGCGGTTGTGGGGAGTTGCTGTCTTTTCCGGCCATCATTTTCTAAAAGGGGAACTAATTATAATTCACAAAGGATATAGAATGAACGAATATGATTGGAGAGGATGTTTTGCTTTTTTGAAAAATTGAAGTGTGGGAACAAATTCCGCAATATGAGTCTGAGTGGACAACTGAGGCCAAGAGCCCCACTATATATATAGTAGAACTGAAAGTGATGACCAAAGTTAGAAAACGAAAAGCAGTTATAAACATGGTATACTAGATTGAGTTGAAGTAAAGGGGATAGAAAGGAGAAAAGTCATACTATTGGATTTTTTGTAGGTAGCAATCACAATTAACGAATCAGGAGTCCAGATTGAGAAAGTATGAAATGATGGGCTTCTGGAAGACGGAGAGAGAAGTGGTGGTGGGGTGGAAGTAAAGATGAAGGTTCCGTCAATACGTGAAAATTGCTGCAATTACCTTATTTGGTTCCGTTGTGTTACGTACGTACCTTAATTTAGAGTTTAGATGGTTCCTGCGCGTAACGACTTTTGTTGCAACAGAGTTTTACTCGGGGTGTTTGGTATCAATTAATTAGGCGCGTTGTCTTCCCTGCTCATGATATCCCCGATCCACCGTGGAAAATTATGGGTTTAGTTAGTTCATTTTTTTAGAGGCTTCTATTACTTATTTTATCTTGTGTTAATGTGAGTGAGTGGCAATGAATGTAACGGTTATCAATTAAGTTTCCGGTAGCTTTCATTCATTAATGCATTTGTAGAAAACATGTGATATTTTGAAAATTGAAGTGGAGGAATTTCTAGCTTATTGACTAATTAAAGCATCTGTTTGTTTCGTAAAGACCAAAAAAAGACATTGTACTCTGATTGTTAGTTACGGTTGATTTGAAAGTGCCCGAGTTTTTCTCACACCCTGACTTTTTTCTTTTTCTTTGATAGTAAGGTGGCCATCGGTAATAATGGTAATTTTTTGAATATTCTGAAATTTATTTAGTTTATCATCATATTGAATTCTTAACTAATCAGATTATTTACCACTCCTTTCTTTTCTTTTTATTTTTGACAAAAGATTATAATGTCCATTTCCACAAAAAAAAAACGAAAAAGAAAAAAGAGAGAGATTATAATGTATTAACTCAGATTTATATACGATCACCACAAATAACAGCCATCCATTCTGATAGCTGCTCGCCTGCTCTGAAAGCAGCATGAACTACTTCAATACAGGAACAATTTAACGAATTAATTTACATGCGATAAGACTTGAGAATATTCTTCTCATTATTATTGTGATAAGATCAAATCATGAGATTGATTGAATGTAGATTGATATGGGCTTGAATTTCAATTAGTCGTGGCGTTAGTTTCGAACATATAATGAGTACCAAACTGAAAGGATTATTCTAGCAGTTTGGGAATATAGCTGCAAAAGAGTGTACTAGAAAGGATTATTTATTTTTGAAATTTTGTAAGGATGATTATAAATAGTGCAGGAGTAACATATCTTGATTATTCTTTATGTTTCAGTTCACCCTTTCATGCTATGATCAATTCATGGCTTTTGCTTAATTTGCCGGCTTTGGTTCCAAACCTGAAAAATACCTTACGAGGCAAATTAATTTGTACGTAGTTCTGACTTTAATTTGAGACTCTACTGCGTCTGTTTTGCCTTTTGTTGTTTGTTAGTCAAAATCAACATCTGGATCAAACATTTACAATTCAGAAAATTAATGAAAACGATAGTGCGGAGACTTAGTCATCCTTAGACGGGGGCAAATTCTAGTTTAAACTTCACACTTTACACATGACGACGCACTGTATATATTATATACAAAAGTAAATTACCCATACACCAATTAGTAAGTTATAGGCTACGTCCACACATATTACTTGAAGCAATCAAATTGATACGAATTCCATTGAAGGAATAAAAAAATGACGTAAAGTACACAAAATAATAATACTAAATGATTAAAAAAAAAAAAAAAACTCAAGGGGAGGCATGACAAAGAGGACTATGGACATACATAAAATGTCCCCCAAAAAAAAATGGTGAAAATAGCAAACTTGATCGTTCAGTTTAGGACCTAGTCCTTGCCGAACGTACCCTTAATTTCACTAGAGAAAATAGGAATTTAATCAAACCCATAATCATTTGCAAACGATATTGGAGAGCTGTTGAGATGAAACAACAATTTCCATGGTGCAATTCATTTGGATGGCCTTCTTCTTCTTGAATATAAACGTCAGCGCAACTTTGCCCTTTAAATCAGCCATGCTAGTCAGCGGCACAAGACGTTTAGTCAGATCATTTCCCAACTGATCCTTCGCCGTGGACGGCAAGTTGACGGAGCTCAGGTTGACGACGGCGTTGAACTTCTTGTTCGTTCTCCAACCCACACTGGACTTGTAAATGTCGGCTTGCCCGACCGGACTGCCTTGGTAAAAGAAGTACATTGTGGTGTTGTCGTACTTGTACTTACCGAAGTTGGCGTTCTTGATACTCACTCGGGCATTCATGCGGATATCAAACGTGGGATTTGTCGAAGTTCCCACGCTGAAGCTGTCGAACGTGGCGGATTCCATACGGAATTTAGGGGTTCTGACCTTCATGATGGTTAATGTGAAAATGGCAATGACCCCAGTCTGGAATATAACAAACGCAACGAAGTAAAGGAAATATCTGATGCGTTTCTTGCGACGAAGGTCACCGGAATCCTCCTCACGGCCGTACTCCGCATCGCTCCGGTGATACCCGTTGGCTGGCGCCAATGGATAAGTGGGACGCTGATCTTTGTCTGCCATAATATTGAAATGATCAAATTGATCGATGAAGTAATCTAGCTTTGCAGTACTTTTTGTCTGTCACTTTCTTTTTTCTTACTAAGATTTTGTAAGTTCACTGATAAAAAAGAACTAAAACAAAACAAGAGAAATGACTAATGGAGATGGTGTTGAAGTTGTCGAAATTTTCAGCAAAGGACACGAATATATATAGTGGGACATTGATGGAAAATATCCCCCTTGATGAGAGAATACGTAGAGCAGATGTTTGTTCTGTTTCCTCTGTGGTTTTTTTTGTATATCTTTGTTATTATTTAGTTAATTAAATAACGCGTCTGACGGCTAATGTTGACTTTGTCCCTTTTCTTTTCTGAAAGTTTGAAATTCAGACGGGAAAATTGAGCATCTCATGCCAAAAAAGTAATTTAAGTACTCCGCCTAATTATTATTAAAGTACTATAAATTTCGCCCCCGATTTGTTTATAAGCAGAAGCTTCTATCCAAGACTTCGTGTTGTTGACAAAGTCGCTCCAGAACCATGCTATATTGCACCCCAGATGTAATCATTTTTTCTTGGAGGAGTTGATTGGGATTTTGGAATTTTGGGTTCCCAATTAAACTTTGACTATATATATTCCTACGACTGTCGCCCTCATGTGTATACAGTCAATATATTTGGTCTGAGATAGTACTCATTTGCAAGTGAAAATGTCTACCACTTTTTATCCGTTTTAGCTAGAAAAATGGGGCAAAATCCTAGCTTCCTGTTATCCTCCCACAATCATCAATCTAACACGTTATTTTTTTTGTTTTTAAAAGTGAAATTAGTAGTGAGTTACTGTATTTTGTACTTTATATTAACATCTTTCTTTTTACCCTTTATATACATCATTAAAAAAAATATTATACTAAAAATAAAAATTCCAAGTCGAACGATTATCGACGACACAATTAGAACTTAATTTCCCTCGTTACATATTAATGTTGTAGGTGTAGGGGCAGTCAACCATTGTTACTGGATTCGTAAGTCTGGGTCTTCTATACGAGTACACTATAGTGACTGGCTTGTGAATAACGTTGAATTTGAACCTCAACATAATCATTAGCTTAATTTAATATCTCTGTTTTTCTTTATCTTTTTGTTTTTTTTTAGGTTAATTCTCCAAGCACAGGACTGATTCTATAACAAATCAAATAAGTACGGGTTCAATTTATGACTTCATTAATATTCGTAAATTACAAGAATTTAAGAGTACTTTATGAGAAACTTATCAAATTAAACATTCTGTAATCGTCGATGAGGATGAAGTCAGTTTTTGCGTTTCCTTGACCTTCATAAATCACACCTATGCGTAAATTTAAAATTATGCTTTGAAAATTCTCACTCATATTCGGTAAGATAAAGTCTCATTTGCCACACAATTCACGTATTACTGACTTTACCAGTTACCACTATATGATTGACCAGAGGCTATATGACTACTACCTGAAAGGGGATGTGACAGGTGCCTATCCATTTATGTTGACCACAACAGTGACAAAACTTAAAAATCTCTCTAAAATGTTTTTTAGGTGTGTACTTTTTTTTTTTTGGGTTAGAAATGCAGCAAGATAGGCTAAGTTGGTAATATATAAAAAAAAAAATTGCAAGAAACCTGAAAAACTTAAGAAAAGAAAAATGAAAGAAGAAGAGAGAAACTAGTGACAAATCATTCCAAAAAAAACATTTATCTTAATATTTTTTTTCATTAAAATTAAGTTTACCCGTGCACTCCCTTGAAATGATGAATCTTTGAACCAGAAACACAAATGAAACATACTCTCACCGTCTCATAATATTAGTTCACTTTAAATTTTGTACATTAGTCCACATTGATTTTAGGACAAAACTCAATTAGAATTAATTTTTTAAGACAAAGGCAGTGTCTATATAAATAAGGTCACGAGGAGACAAGTCATCAAGATAAAAAATCTCGTTTCTTAATTCAGAGGTGATAATGTGACATACCGGAAGAGAGAAAGCACGCATTTCGAATTACTACTACGAAATGAAAAGGAAACCTCAAAAAAAGGAAAAAAAAAAAAAAAAAAAAGGAAAGGAAAACTCAAAAACTTAATTCAATCACATCTCAATCTTTGAAGGGCTTTGCCAAGTAAATTAATGGCCAGGGTGCAATTCAACGTCGCGGATTTATGCTTTCTAACCACCTTAAAATATTCCACCTTCCCCCTCAACCGTGACCTTCCACTTAAAGGCAATATCCCAGATGCAATATCCATGCTCAAATTAAAATCTCTTGGCACAGAATTAGAACTCAAAATCACATCTATCGCCATCCTCTTCTTAGAACGCAGATGTGCGGATGACTTGTGTATAACCGCCCGTCCAACAATTGCTCCCTTGTATGAGAATGTCAAATTGGCGTCCTCAAATTTGTAGGCTCCGAAATTCGAGTTCTTGAGGGTAACAAGACTGCTTAACTTCATGTTAAAATGTGGTGAATCAAAATCGTCAGTGACATTAAGGTCTTGAATGGTGACGGATTGTATCCTGAACTTGGGTTTCGAGATCGGGATTAGCGACCCGATGATCATGAGGATTAACAAGTGAATAACTAGGAAAAAAACGATACCCACGGCAACTTTTTTGAGTTTGCCTTGACGGGATCTTTTCCGGTGAATTGAGGCCGTTGTTGATTCTTGATCAGCCGTTCTGGCCGGAACATTTGATTCTCCTGCTGAGTGAGTTGCACCAACTGCAACATACTTCTCTATCGTCGACATTTTTGGTTAACTAACTGCACAAATTCCAGTCTTCAAAGAAGAATGAATCAACTTAATTTTGTGAGTGAGCTTCTTTATGCTGGAGAAATTTTTGTAATCTTGTTTGTGGAATGTGCAAACTTAAAAGGGATTTTAAAAAAAAATGTTTCAAGAGATTGTTGCAAAAGCAATAACTTCTTCACATGCACCCTCAAAGTTTTCGGTAAATAGATTACCTTCGCACATCTTTGGGGTGAAAACTTTACTTTGTTTTAGGATTTTATCTTCGCGTTTGATCGAAAAACTGCTATTGAATGCTATCTTTAAGTATATTAATTCACAGTTAATGGGTGATGGGAGTATTTATTAAGTTCTGCATTGATATAACGTATATGTTATTGTTGAGATTTTGAGTACGTAATTTAATAAGGTCAATAACATTGAAATACTTACTTAGGTATGTCTCATAAAGTAGAATAGTTTGATATTTAACCGAGACACTTTTGGGAGCAATTACAAGGCTCATTTTTATTTTCAGTACTGATAGAGACAACGAAAACTCATAGTGAAAATTAGTAGTGATTGGTGCGCACAATTTAATTAAGGGTAAAAATGTAAATTTAATAAAGAAATATATAAGTTACACAGCTAAGTGCCACCAAAATAGAGAACCAACTAAGTTATTATATATTTTTACTATATATTTGTCACTATGTTGATCATTTTCCTTATATTTTTTTGGCGTAATGACAAAAATCCATGAGGAATGGCTAAATTTAGTAATTCACGCCATTATGATTTTCAAAAAGAGCAATGATAGAGACAGTGACAAATTATAGTGAAATAGAATAGTGACTAATGAAAAGACAAATACACAATACTCACTGAATATGTGTACTTATTAATTAAGGGTAAAAATGTAAATTGCAGGAAAAAATAAAATTTTAACGAAAAAATAGTAAAATACTAGGAGCCAACAATACTCCACATCACTCACAATCTTGTTACACTATTTTTTTTCACTATATATATATATATATATATATCATTTCCCTTTCAAAAATATGGAAAAAGAAATGTTGGAAACCAAAAGATCAAAAAGAAAAAACTTATAAAGTGAAAAAAGGAGCTTTTTAATGGACCACACCACCAACATAAAGGTTGGAAAATATTTCCTCTTAAAACAATAATCCACATTAATTTTTCAAATTTGTAATGTTTTAATACAAACTAGATGCTTGGCCCGAGCAGATGCCCGGGCGCCCCTCTACTTTAATTTTGTATTAATTGATAAATGAATTCTTGATTTGGAAAAGATAAAATAGCTACACATTTGGTTTTTTTTTCCCCCTTTTTAGCCAAAAATAAAAATAAAAAAAAAAAAATATCCGCCAAAGGAGGAAAAATATTGAAAAGTACAACGATGTAGAAATCATACAAAAGAATGTGGAGTAATAAAGGGGATAAGTTTATGGGCAAATTTAAATGGTATTTTAATTTGATTGATAAATGATTAAATGTTAGGAGTTAAAATTATGTAGCTATTTTTGTAAAGTAGCTTTTGTTTCTCTAGATAAGAATTTTTTTTTCTTTTAAAAAGGGATGACACGTGGCAGAATGGTTAATGTAATATGGTGCATTAGGAGACAAAAATTTTTAATAAGAAGTTGACATATCAACATCCTCTATTCTACTTTAATAGGATACAAGGGATTTGAAAATTGAATGTAAACTAGTATTTTTTGGTAGTATGAATTTATAAAAAGTAACTATAACAAATGGGGGCAACACTCTGAAAGAATATCTTTCATGTCTTATTACATGTGTACAACATCATATATATAGTACAATATTACAATAACCCTAGCCGTGATTATCGAAAATTCTAATTAGGGTTTCCGTATTTATATATTCTATCATCCCCCCGCAATCGGAGCAGGAGAGGAAATCATGCACAAATTGGTTCTAAACAAATAAAATTTATCCTTAGGTAAGGATTTGGTGAATACATCTACTAGTTGAGACTGTGTGGAGATATGAAAAACTCGAAGAAGACTAGTAGCGACACGTTCACGAACAAAATGAATGTCTAGACCAATATGTTTGGTTCGAGCATGATTAACAGGATTGGCAGCTAGGTATGTAGCAGAGACATTGTCACACAAGATCACTGAGCGCTGAGGAAGCTTGATATGAAGTTCATATATATAGTACAATATTACAATAACCCTAGCCGTGATTATCGGAAATCATTCCGTATTTATATATTCTATCACACTCTATTGAAAAATAATCAAAAGAATCATTGGGAACCTCAAAATGGGGGCAAAAAGAAAAAGAGAGAAAGAATTTCAAATAACCGCGGCTACGGCAAATATCAAAAATCGTGAATATTGCTTGCAGACTGGAGGATCCATTGAACATCATTTGCAGTAAATTTCCCGAACAGTTTTGTCTGCCAAATAAACGGTGATGCTGCAATCCAAGCTGGTCGATTTTTTCTTCTTGAAAATAAACATCAGCTCTACCTTTCCACTCAATTTGGACCGGGCGTTCAATTTCAACACACCAGAACTTATGTCGCTTCCAAGTTGCGTAACATTAATGCCGGCCATGTTTTCCGACGACAGGTCCACCGCCAAGTCCAGCTTCTTGGTGGATCTCCACCCAGCTTTGTTTTTCCCGACAACAGCCTGCCCCACGGGTACCGTACTACTTCCATCGCAGAAGAAATAGATGGTGCTGTTTTGGAACTTATAATTTCCAAAATTGGAGTTTTTGATGCCGAATTGGGCTTCCATGCTCAAATTAAACGAAGGGTTCGCAGCCGTACCGACATCAAATGTGTCGAAACTGGCGGACCGCATCTGGAACTTAGGTGTTTTTATTTTCATCACGGTAAGTGAAAAGAGAAGTATAATGCCGGTTTGAAACACCACAAATGCGGCAAAATACGCCAAATACTTGATGCGCTTCTTCCGGCGAAGCTCGTCAGCTGCCGGGGAATTAGCCGACTCTCGGTCGCCGGCTTTGGCATCGTAAACAACGTTGGTGTTGAAAGTATGAGGAAATGGATGAACTTCAGTTTGATCTTTCCTGCCCGCCATTTGATTTGAGCACTCAACTCAATTAGAAATATGTGACATATACTGCAAAAAAATTATGGAGTGAAATTCAGATTTAATCAAATGAAATGGTTAATGCGTGACGATCATGTACATATACTATTAGTACTAATATTTATAGAGGATAGACGTATTAGCAATGTATAATTAATTTGACGGCGTTCCGGCCTTCCGGGACAGGTGTCATTTTGATGAACTAAGGTGGTGGGAAATGGTCGCATAGTCACACTAGTGATGACACCTAAATTCCGTCCAAAGAATTTGACTTTGATTGAAGCTGAACTAAGTTATCGTTGTTAATTGATACGTTAGCCCCGATTGTTTGACTATCATACTCCCCAAAATCCCCCTTTTTTTTAAAAAAAGAATAAAAATAGCTGTGTATTAGTATCGATGACATAGGAAGCGCCACCCCAGTTTGAAAAATGTCGCCCTTGATTATGGGAGTGTGCGTGTGGGATCCTGGGATGCTCTATTTAATGAAAATGAATTCACCAGCAGCAACCCGCGGGTGACAAAACTTATTATGGACTGAAACTACTACTTAATCTGTCTCAAAATTATTGTCTAATTTGAGATTTCACTTTTAATACAATTTGAACTAAAAATGAAAACTCAAACTGGACAATAATTATGGGACGGAGAGAGTACTTTTTTTTGGATAAGAAGTAGCACTATCTTTTTTGTAAAAAATTTTAAAACAATATAAATTTAAAAAGTCAATATAAATTATTTTTCTGAGAGAGTTATATATGATTGTATGAATATTTGATCCAAAATTAATCAATTACTATTAATGAGTTGAGAAGTTCAAGAAAATTACATGTTAGTTGACAAATGATTTTAACAGTTTGCTCCTAACAAAATTAAAAGGAACATTTACAAATGAAATTGTGTCATTCTCTGAAACTTCTCAACTCAAGAGCGTTTCATTATTTATTTTACAATTAGTATTACTATCTTCTTTGGTTGAACACTCATGTAGTAAAAAAGTTCAAATGCCTAGATTTGTGATCCTTCTATGTCCGTGTCATTGTTTTACTAGTAGGTATCATAGTCTTTGTTTTTCAAGGACGATTTTTTTTTTTTCTTTTGTTTGTTGTTCACAAAATTTATTATAGTTTGGTGGGATTGTTGAATATTAATTCGCATCAAAAGTGAAATAATTTCTAAGTTGCTTCAAAGTGACTTAACTTTATTGATTTCCCACAATAATTTTACATCCAAAAACAAACACAGTAGACTAATGCAAGATATGGGCAAAAATAAAAAATCACGGAAAATAAATTACAGAGCTACATAAATAACACGAGAACAATACCAAATGGATTGCAAAATGGAAATAAAAAATAAAAAACCATAAGAAAATAAACCATCATCCATCCAAACATATCCCATCATTAATCATTGGCAGTTGATTTCTCGGATGGTTCGATCAGTCAAACCAATAGCAACGGTGCAGTTCATGTTGGTGGTTTTCTTCTTCTTGAAAACAAACGTCAGCCTTACTTTTCCGGTCAGTGAGGACAAAGCGTTCAACTCCAAAATCCCAGAACTAATATCATTTCCAAGCTGCGTTTTGTTGGCCAAAATTCCCGATGACAGGTCCACCACAACATTCAATTTCTTGGTGGTTCGCCACCCAGCTTGTGTAGCAGGAACAATCCCCTGTCCAACAGGGCTTCCATCGTACAAGAAAACAATCGGAGCGCTTTCAAACTTGAATGTCCCGAAATTGGCATTCTTGACACCAATTTCAGCATTCATTCTCAAGTTGAAGGACGGATTAGCGGGTGTTCCGACGTCAAAGTTCTCGAACGTGGCATTCCGGACCCGGAATTTTGGGGTCCGTATTTTCATAACGGTTAGCGCGAAGATCAGTATGATACCTGTCTGGAACACTGCAAATGCCAAAATGTATGCCAAACATTTAACACGTTTCTTTTTGCGAAACTCTTTGGACTGCGCTGTGCCCGACTCTTGATCGTGAACGGCATAAGCATCATTGTAATTGTAACTCTTAGGAAGGGGATGAACTTGTTGGTCTTGAGCTCTGTTTTCAGCCATTTTAACTTCGTATCAGAGAATTCTATAATTTTTTGCTTTTGGGAGTGAAGGAGATGATGGTGTTTTGAATGAAGAATTTGGTGACATATATATATATATATATAGATGAATTATTATAATTATTCATGTATGTGCGATTGAGATGTAGATTAATGACGAGACCAGTTCAATTAAGTCCACCTAAACGACGGAAGGGTCCATGGTCATTTTCTGACGGCGTATCAGACTTGATTTTTTATATTTTTTCCCAGCTAGCTAATTGAGAATGGGGAAGCTTGCAATATTAGTTATCCCCGAAGACTTTCAACTGACAATTTCCAAGTCACTTATTTTAAGTGTAATCTGTCGTTAATTTGCCTTAGATCACATGGTCTAACTTTAAACACTTTGTTACTTGAAAAATAAATAAATTTTCTCTCTGTTTAAAAATTATTATCTATTTTAAATTTTCACTTTAAATTTAATTTATATTAAAATTGAAAATCTAAACTGGACAATAATTTCGAGACCGAAGTAGTAAGAAAATAAAATCATACACTTGGAGTAGGAGGAAGAGGAAGTAAGTAGTGAGTTCTGCGGTCCGCTTCTTCCCTTTAACTTTACTTTTGAAGGATGCCTATTGCTAGTTCTTTAATCACTTATATTTTTGTACATTTTACAAGAAGGAATTAAAATGTTAAATGGTGAACTATGGAATTTAATTAGGTACTCTTTTATAGGAAGGGAAAGAATGATTCGAAGTCTGCACAAGAAGTTGAACCATACCAAAGCACACGATTGCCTCCGGTGATCCCTTCCACGTAAAGAATATTTACTTGGAAAAAAAAAAAAAAAAAATACAAACCGGGGGCCGGTTGTTCACATTTACATGATTTCTTTTTTGTTTTTTTTGAAGGTGACAGTCAAACATGATCACTTATTTAAGGTGACAATCCACCGTAAACATAGGTCTCCGAATTTCAGAGTCGATTAATGGGGAAGAAAATCAATGGAAAACAAACGTGTGTATTCCTTCATTCCTGGCTCTAGCAATCTAACTATCACAAAAGAATATAGATTACTAGAAATGAATAAACATAATAATTAACAAAAAAACATCCCATTTGATTGGGGGAAACTATAACATATACTCCCTCCGTCCCATAATTATTGTCCAGTTTTACTAAAATGAAAGATTTTATTTTTGGTCAAACTTAACTATATTTTACCTTGAATAACCAGATATACCCCTACATAAGTAATTTTTTAACCACAAAGATTTTATGGATAATATTTTTTACTAAGGGCAAATGTGTAACTTGATTCATAAAAAGTCAAATTGGATAATAATTTTGAGACAAAATTTTTTGAGTAAAGTGGACAATAATTATGGGATGGAGGGAGTATTATTATTGGACCCTATGTATAGTAGGGGAAAAACAAAAGGAACTAATGTTGTCATTTGCAGCTAATTTGTCTTACGACTTTATCAGCCACCCCAATGGTAAGGGCGCAATCCATGTCTATAGCTTTCTTCTTGTTGAAAATAAAGACCAAGTCCACCTTCCCATCCAGTTTCGATTTAGTGTTCAACGTCAACACCCCAGAAGTAAGATCATTTCCCAGCTGGGATTTAGTGTTGTTGGGCAAACCCTTGGACGACAAACTCAACGAAGCATCCACCCTCTTGGTCGAACGCCACCCGACTCCCGTCTTCTCCACCGCAACTTCCCCGACCGGCTCGTCTTCGTAGTAGAAAACAACGGAACTGTTTTCAAACTCGTAGCTCCCGAAATTAGGGTTCTCGATTCTTAGCACGGCATTCATCTTCAAGTCGAATGAAGGGTTCTGGCGCGTCCCGAATTGAGAGTTGGACGGCATCAACAGCGCCACGTCGAATCCGAATGTAGGGGTTCTGACCTTCATTATCACGAGGACAAAGAACAATATGATGGCGGTTTGAAACACGGCAAACGCGGCGATGTATACCAAGAGTTGCTTGCGTTTCTTCCGTCGAAGCTCCATATCGTCGGATCCTCCGATCCCGCGGCCGGATTCGGAGTCGTGCGTGGCTACCTTTGCATCATCATTATAAGCTTGAGACATGATATATCCTGAAATTAATCTAGAAGATGATTATGATTCGGCGCTTATAATAATTTGCAAAAGGAGCAAGAAATTCCCACCCAATTGGTGTGTAATTATTTTGTAAGATCTTATTCTAGCTCCAACTGGAATGGGTGGGTGGTGGGTGCTCTATGGAGTTTGGGAGATGAAAGCATGAGAATTTTATAGGTCAAAAGACGAACCACCGAATTAGATTCAATTAACTAAAAATAACTATCAACTCGTGTTCTTCCATTTTTTACGTTGTTTTTATGTTGGAGTTAAAGCGTTGACGCTCTAGGAGACTAGGGTATGGAGTTCGTAGAAATAATTGACTATTTTGACATCCTCGAAACATTGTGGTACACTAGTGGGTCCCGTCATATATACTTTTCAACCGCACCTGGATATGAGGTTTATACTAAGTTGGCACTGACTTTTTGACTTTTGACTTTATAGAAGCTTCTGTTCGCTTTTGTTAATTTGCCCCATGCTTAAATTAATACGATAGAAATAGACAAATTAGTGAATTACAGTAATTTCGATTTTATGAATTATGGGTGTTCCCCTAAATTTCAAAGCTGAACTAAGTCCTTGCATTTCCAATCTTCTCTCAGGAATAATTAATCATATAATTTACAGTAATTCTCATTTTCCATTCCCTTTCGGTGAAAACAATCTTCATCCCAACAAGCACTTCAAATCTTGGTATGAACATCTAAAAGTGAATAAATATTTATTTGGAGAGTTTTATTTTTAGAAGAGGAGACTTATCTCAAAGGAAAAAAAAAATTAAGTACGGTATATGTCCCCTTAGAATTAAGTCAGTTGATGTTAAAAAAATAGATCTTGACTAGTTACAAACCTTCATTAGTGTTTAATTGTAAGCTACAAAAATAGTGATTATATGCATTGAACTAAAGATATGCCAATTACATCTAAAATCGTAGGCCTTCTCTGATTATCATCAAAGTAAAAACCAAGAAAATTTTGTGAAGTAGTAAGGTTTTCCAATACTTAATTTCCCATATATAGTAGAGAAATTTGGCGTATATGAGTTGAAAATATACTCTTGGATAGTTATGTTTCAAAATGTTGCATGTCTTATGTTTAGTGTACTAATTTTATAGAAAATAAGAATATCAAGATGGCATGGAATAAATACTTTGTGTTGGTGGAATTCTGATCTGATTCCCCTTCGAGGTATAGATCAAATTATATATAGGAAACAATGAATGAATAAATAAAGAAATAAGTACATGAAGAAAAAAGTATTATCAGGGCAATATTAATGAATGATCGATCATATAAACTCAATAGGCACTTCAGTTGTGCACCACATAATAAGAAGAATAAAAAAGGACATGAATTAGGAAGCAAACAAAACCAGGAGGAGGTTGATAACTTCCAATAAAAGTTTGAAGTAGAGAAATAGTATTAAACTAAAACAGCTAACTAAACAGCTTCCCATGGGATTCAACATGTGACATTACAAGACAATCTCCATGGGAATATCACGTGTGACATTCCAAGACAAATTTCAACCACGGAAATTCAAACTATAACCAGTTAATTGTTTGCTGTATATTTTGTCTCTTGGAGCATATATACACACACTCATATTATATACATTAATAATTTTTTTTGGGGAAAAAAGAGATCACGGTCCAATGCCAACTATATAGCTTCATATTATATACTAACATGTATAATGATAAATTGATTTACAACCCCCAAATAAAAAATAACTCAGTTTGGATTAAAATAGTTTAACAAAAAAGGATTTTTGATTTGGGAGGAGGAGAATTTTTTACAAGAAAATGAATTATCTATGTAGCAATAATTAATATATTTCTCCTTGGACATTTCACCGGATAATTATGCTACGAATAAAATAGTAGCATTAATTATACCAACTCACAAAGATTGGAAAATGCAGACATTTTCTATGCTCCTACTAAAATGTGCTTCCCTCCAAACATAAATATACACCCTCTCAGAATTCTTCATCTTCAACCATCTACTTCTGATCATGAGCTTCTTTTCATCCATGGAAGAAGATGAGATCACAACCACCGGGCCTCGAAATCCAAAAACTTACAAAATTACAGCTTCTTCAATATCCTACTCAAAATTTACCGCATCCTGCAGCATTACTGTACCACCTCCAGCCTTACTCTTCAAACCCTGCACCGGATCCACCACCCCAACTTACATATTGAAGGATGTCTCTCTTACCGCGTATCCATCCGAAATCCTCGCCATCGTGGGCCCCAGCGGTGCCGGAAAATCCACCCTCCTCGACATCCTCGCCACCCGGGTTTCCCCCACCGCCGGAACACTCCTCCTCAACTCCTCCCCGCTCAGCCCTTCCACCTACCGGAAGCTCTCCGCTTACGTCCCCCAACACGACGCATGCCTCCCGGAGCTCACCGTCTTCGAGACTTTCGCCTTCGCGGCCCGACTCCTCAACCCGAACAAAACCAAACCCGAGATTTCCGGCCTCGTGGGGTCCCTCATGGAGGAGCTGAGGCTCACCCACGTAGCCAACACCCGGCTGGCTCACGGCCTATCCGGCGGAGAACGGCGGAGGGTTTCCATCGGCCTTTGCTTACTTCACGACCCCGCCGTGTTGCTGCTCGACGAACCGACCTCTGGGCTGGACAGCAACTCGGCGTTTAAAGTAATGCAAACCCTCCGGTCAGTCACGGAGTCGCGTCACCGCACCGTGATTCTATCCATTCATCAACCGAGCTACAAGATTCTTTCCACCATTGATAAGATTCTCTTGTTGTCTAAAGGAAGAGTGGTTCACCACGGTACGATTCCTTGTTTAGAACTTTTCTTGCTCTCCAAAGGGTTCACAGTTCCTCAACAGTTGAATCCGTTGGAGTACGCGATGGAAATCGTGTATGATCAGCACCATAATAAACCCAAGTACAATTGTGACCAAATTTTAGCTCCACCAGATGATCATCACTCCCTGGTTCCAGTTTCACCTGATGATTCTACTACTTATATTAATGAGTCCAAAGAAGTCCGGCTAAGTTACAAAAGCTCCAGGCTACATGAAATTGTGATTCTGTACCAGAGATTTTGGAGGATTATTTTCCGGACAAAGCAGCTGTTGCTAACAAACACGATTGAAGCATTGGTAGTCGGTTTGGTTTTGGGAACCATTTACATCAACATTGGATCTGGTAAAGCCGGTTTAGAGAAGAGATTCGGGTTGTTTGCGTTTACGCTGACTTTCCTTCTCTCATCCACAACTGAAACCCTCCCAATCTTCATCAACGAAAGGCCCATTCTATTGAGAGAAATCTCGAGTGGGGTCTACAGGTTGTCTTCCTACCTGGTGGCCAATACACTGGTTTTCTTGCCTTACCTCCTGGCTATAGCCATTGCATATTCGGTCACCGTTTACTTCTTGGTGGGACTTTGTTTTACGTGGCAATCTTTTGCTTACTTTGTTTTGGTCATATGGGTCATTGTGTTGATGGCGAACTCGTTTGTTCTGTTCTTGAGTTCCGTCACCCCGAATTTCATCGCCGGAACGTCAATGGTAACCATACTCCTGGCCGGGTTTTTTCTCTTCTCGGGTTACTTTATATCTAAAGACAGCATACCCAAATTCTGGCTGGTGATGCATTATTTATCTATGTACAAGTATGCACTTGATGCGTTACTGATCAATGAGTACTCGTGTTTAGCGTCCACATGCTTAATGTGGTTTGATGAAACAAAGAAGGCGTGCATGGTCACGGGACGTGATGTGTTGGAAAAGAGGGGCCTCCATGAAACTCAGAGATGGACTAACATCTATATTTTGATTGCCTTCTTTGTGTTCTATCGTTTCCTATGTTTGATTGTTCTTATGAGAAGGGCTTCCAGCTCCAAAAAGTGAATATATATGCGTTATTTCATATTTCATTTTGACTCAATCGAAGGAACTATATATAGTCAATTTGCTTTGATTTCTCTCTTCTTTTTATTGTAATGCATGGGTCGCAATTACTAATTGTATTGCTCATATAATTGTGTCGTGGGGTATACAAATTAATAAACTAACACGGGATCGAGATTGCTCATTTGGTTATGAAACGATGGATTAGATAGTAAAAAATGAAAAATTGATTGCCATCCAAATCTATCTGGGCTTTACCGTTTGATGATATTATCCGTACCTTGCTTGTCACGTTTGAAACACATATTACCATCATGCACCCACTGTCTAAAAATAATATGGGCAGGACCACCTGGACTATCATTGAACTATATACAAAGATTATTTTAATATATAAAGGCTAGGGAAGAAGAGTGCAAAGAAAAAAGCTAGAAAACAACAAATGGAAGCGAACCACAAGTATACATTCGCTCAAGCATGATTGAGAGACAATTTAAGTCACGGGTTGATGTGCACACCTGGTAGTAGTATTTTGATCGAGTTTCTTGAAAATAAGACTGTTGTTGCTATTTGCATGAAGAGAAACTGGGACCTCTCTTCACTTTGTTTGATAATGACTTGGGTGAAGATTGATCAAACTGCACACTAGCAAGTAGTAGCTAGCAGGTGTCAAATTGCATCCAGTACCATTTGGTTTGAACTTTGAAGCTTTTTGGGGTTCATTTTGTGTTTGTTGATCACGGGTTCTTATTCTGTTGCTTTTGCTGCCCTCTCGTGAATTCCCAATAAATGCATATGCTGCAGCTTTGTGACCATAAATTCCTCCGAGTCAGAGAAAAGATTGGTTGAAGCCAAAATAACAAACCGACAATGAAAAAAATCTGTTCTGACTGTTTCCTTCATACTCCATTCCTCAACCCAACACTCAAATGTACATACATATTACGGGCAATTACCATGAAATAGCCATTTTTTTAAGTATGTTTAATCGATCGTAATGTAAAAAAATGAAGCCATGTGTGATTTTAATTGTCCAGTTTAGAGTACAGTTTTAGATTAATAATTAGAATATCAAAATGAGACAGGAAAACTATATCTTACTATATTAGAAACAAAAACCACAAAGCACCATCATTTGACATGTGGCATTTCCATATCATATTTTTAAAATAAATTTTTATTTACACATTAGTTTCCTAGACTTAAAAGGCAAATGCAGTACAAATCCACCTCTACCTCCTATTTTCGCCAAAAAAAAAAACCACAGCTTCATAAAAAACCCAAATCCTCATCCCCATCTCCACGACAATCGACTCCCTATCAATTCTTTCTCCATAATTAAAAAAAATACAAAACAAATTCCACATCAATCATCAATTGAGAATAAGTGGTGAAATATACTCCTTTCCTATTAGCATGTTCAATCTTTTCATTAGTTATGATCAACTACATCCTAATCGGATAAAATTTTGACTTCAAAAAATATTCTCTTTACCTTTCTATGTAAACACAAAGGGAAAAAATAAAATAAAATTCTCATTGATCTTGCTTCGGCCGTTGTGGTGGTGCCATTACAGATATTAAAATTCAAATGATTTTATATCCACAGATCATTTGTACGGCTTTTATTATTTTTTATTTTTCCCGTTCAAGAATAGTGTTATTACTATTATTTTTATGCGTCCACCCGTTACAGCTACCGTAGCCGTTGCCACGTAATATGGTGTGATATCTTATATGGTTAGTTAGCCTAGAATTTTTGTATGATTTTAGTTCTGTTTGGATTGAATTGATCAATTGGGTTTTTGTTACAAAGTGTGATTCTTTTAATTTCTTTTTTATGTTTATTCAATTAGAGTGTTTTTTTTTTTAATTATGGAGTCTCAGTTTTTTTTCGTATATGGTCAGTTATGAATTGTATTTTTTCTTTGTTTAGTTGTTTTTTATTTTGGTTCATACTCCCAGTTGACCAATTATTATTATTATTATTATTATTATTATTATTTTATTTTTTTTGCAAATGAAGCGCTTTGTTTTTTTTTTTTTTTTGTGTTCGGGCTTTCAAGAATATACTTTTTTGGATTTGGTTTTTGGACTTTTTTGAGTTACTCATCATATAAATAGTTCAGATCGCTTCTTCTAACTAATTTATGGGGAAGCATTTTATGAATTTAAGGTGGAGAGGAAAGGAATGATGTTTCTATGTTTATTTGTGTTTTTATACATCATTTTTACCTACAGGAAAAAAAAATAATTTCTCAATTTTTAATGGCTCTTTTACTTACTTTTTTTTTATTTGCCATGGTGAGGTGAGTTCTTTTTTGCTATAACTTGAAACCTATGCAAATTTACATTAATTTTCATTCTCATATTTGTGATCAACAAGTTTCAACAATTAACCAGTTTCAAAATCATATTTTTATATTTTACTACCTATAAATCTTTGGAAGAAACGGTTCCAATAATTGAACGTATACCTTTAGGAGGAAGCTTACTATAAAGCTATTATAAATCTCCAAAACTAAGTATTGATTCGGCACGACAAACGGAGAACATCAATAAAACATCTTACTAAATTTACTCTTATTAGGATGCTTTTATATTTTGTCTAACATTTACTTCAAGACATATATTTGATTAAGTTTATTATATTTAATAAGTAACACTTATAAAACATTTCTAAAATCTTCAAACATTTCTAAAACGTACCGGGTTAAATACAATTTCTTTTTTTACCAAATACAAACGTTTTTATGATCATACTTATAAAACATTTCTAAATTCTTCAAACATTTTTAAAATATATCGGGCCAAATGCAAAATATGTTTTTTCAAATACAAACATTTCTAAGATCTATAGATATACGGGGCCAGGGTCGCGCATTGCGCGACCAGACATCACTAGTAATAATGAAAAGAAAAGATAGGTACGTAAAACTTGATTTTAGAGAATTGAGTATCAATTTGTAAATCTCATGACTGGAACAAAGGTGCATCATGATACATAAGCTACGAATGGAAGTTTATCTAGAGGAATTTGCTGCGAAAGCTTTTCGTTTGCTTTTCGATATCCAATCAAATGTTGATTAATTTGAGTAATCATGTGAGGCTTCTGGAATGACATAATATATATAATTGCAAATCACATTTCTTCAAGATGTAACCTTCCTGGTGTGATCCTATTCTACTGATGATAACAAAATGCAAAACCAAAACTGAACAGCCCAGCTAGCATAACATTGAAACAAAAATATTATCATGCTGGTACTAATTAAGTAAAGTATACTTACGGCTCTTTCGAGGAGTGTATATTTGATTTTATTAGAGTTCGAAAAAAAAAATAACGGAAGGTTTCTTCGGGTACAAATATCTTTGGGCATTTTTTGCTGCCCTCTCGTGAATTCTCAATATATGCATATGATGCAGCTTTATGACCATAAATTCCTCTGAGTCAGAAAGGACTGGTTGAAGCCAAATAACAAACCTACAATGGAAAAATATGTTCCAGTTGTTTTGTTCATCATCCACTCGTGACTCGTCACCCCTTGTTTTAGAAACATCTAAATATAAAAGTTTCTTTGTAGAAATTATTGGTGTCGAATTTATCATTTACTTAGCAAATCTGACAAACAAATCAATGAGACATAACGTTAATATTTTTTTTCATATTTATAATTACATATTACTGAATAAAATAAAATTTAATAGTTGAGAATTGAAAAGTGTGAATAGAAAATTTAGCTAGGAAGCAAACAAACAAAAATAAATTTTTTTAAAAAAATATTACGCCGACTTTATTGTCGAGTTCAGTAAGTCGGCGAAAAGTTCGACGAAAGAGAAAATTTGAAGCTTGAAGTTTGAAGTCGCTGTTTAGAACCACGTTTTCAAAAACCCCAAAATTAAAAAGAAGACGTCAACAGATCGTGGACTATTTCGTCGAGATATAATAGCCGACGGAAAAGTCGACGGTTCTGGAAATTTTAATTGTTTCTTTCTGGTGTATCCATCCAAGTTGCTGCGCCCAAACAATAAAAAGAGAAACTTGGTAATATATGGTTATGGTTCATTGTAGCCTTCATAAACATTTCTTAAGCAATGCAAGAGATGAAGCACAAAACTTGCTGCAAATCAGGAAAATGAGCTTATACCAAACTTTCAAGACATTTTACTTTGTCAACTAATCCAACTTCTATGTACAATACAAGTGATGAATCTGAGAAAGCCTGGATTATTTATTACCGGAGGGAAATCAACCAGATCTAACTAAAATTCAGAATTCATTCAACAATCAACACCAAGATTTGACAGGGCTCTACCACCTCAAAGAACTTCGGTCTAAGTCTATTTACAAGGTGAAAATCAAGCTCACAAACATCGTCCACGTTATCTTCCATCTTTTTGACAGAGCAATAGTTCTGCCAGCTTCTTTGATTGTTAGAAACGATAAGATACAACAAAGGATTTCGTCGGGAAGCTCACTGATTCGATCTTCATCAGCTATAACAAAGTGCCCGGAATCCCGCATCAATGTCAATTCGTTATTCATCATCCCTCTTAATTTGGGGAAGGTCGAAAAACCGATTTGTTCACTGTACTGACCGCCGATGACTGCCCGCAACCGACTATGACCGCTTCCTTCCGCGAGTTCCAAAGGTGGGGATGATGATGAGGAGGATAGTCGATCAATATCTATAAATTGGGGGTAAATGGTTGAAATTAGGTTCATCATTAATGCCATTGATACAATATTGGGCTACTTCTCATATGGGCCGCTTCGATATCATTAAAGTACAGCCCAAATGAAGAAAGCCTGTCATCCCAAATTTAAGGAAACAGAACAGAGAAATTGTATCCCGTTGTCGAGTGATAATGCAGGGTCGACGGTGGTTATTTCATTTCATTTTAACTATAGTTTTATCAAGAATGATGAGAAGTCTCTATATTTTGACCAGGAAATTCAATCACTTTACTTGGTAGCTACTAGCAACAGCCAACAACAATAAAGTAGCGATCAGCCCAGCCGATCAAGCAGCTTAAAACTAAAAAGAAGAAAATAAATCAACCAATCCAACTGAAACTATTCGATATCTAGAATTCTTGAATTGCTAGAGAATTTTGAAATAAACTGTTCGTGGGGATGGCAAAGTACAGAAAACTGAAAATTTACAAAAGCAAACATCGAAAGTCTCATCAAAAGATGAAGGTACAAATGCAGAATTATTCCTCAATGTAGCAGGGATGATAAACATATGCCAGCCTCCAACTTTTCACTTCAATCAGGGAAGCAAAACATACAAAGTGATGAACACAAATCTCGCTGAGACACGTTGTTCTTCGCAACTCATGCTGGTGCTTCTCTTTCTTCCAGAGGTAAAATCACTTACACTTAATCCTTCACACCAGACTGTTCAAAAGGACAAATAGAAAAAGAATCAAGCCATGTAATTTTGAGTAGCAATGGTGAGGGAGAGACAGAGAGACAGAGCGCAGAAAATGCTTCACTAACCTGTCAAACAAGAGCACCATTTCTGGATTACAGAAAGATTAATGCTCTGGAGGATAAACAGATACTTTGAAGCTTTTGTGGACTTTAGTGCCTTTCTTGGCTTGTTCTAACCTTAGAACCTGGAGTCTCCTAGCAGAGGAAGCCACCTGGGGATTGGTGCAATGAAGAACCACCATTTCAAGGGTCGAAATGTCCGCCAACCCATGTGGAATAGCCTGAAGCTTATCACAGCCATTGAGTTCAAGACTCTTCAATTTGGGGAAATGATCTACCGAAGCTTCCCAAACCACCAAATCGGTGTGTCCAATGTACAAGTGTTTGAGACGACGGAAACCACCCTTTTCAGTCTGCCACAACTTTCCTTGAAATGCATATTCTTTTAATTTGAGAACCTCAAGACTTTCTAGCTCCCCTAATGTACGCATCTCTTTCCACTCCAATAAGGTGTTTAATAGGGTGAGCTTGGTTAACGACGGAGGAAAGCTGCTCTTTGAAGGAAGGCTATAGAGCTTGTTGCTTATGTCATCATTCAATAGCTTCAAATTTTGCAGCGATTCTAGTTTGCGAAGGTGTGGAAGTAAACTAGATTCACCATTCACCTCAAACAGTTTGGTTAACATTCCACAAATTCCCAATTTTCTGAGATTAGGGGCCCTTTCAAAAACCTCCTTTTTGCAACTTCCAGGTGAAATGGTGCACAATGTTTGCATACTTTTAGTTGATGAATCTTCTTTATTTTTTTGGCTTTTTGGTGAAGGGCTTGGCAAAATAGTAGCTGCATTGGTATGCAAATGTCTAAAATGTGGCATTTTCCACAGGTCTGCTTTGATGTCCAAAGTGCGACAAGTGGTATTTACTATTAGTGTTTGCAAGTTCCATAGGGTAGACAATGATGAAGGAAGACTTGAAAAGTTAGAAGATATGGCTATGTATTTCAGAAGAACAAGATTACAAAGGTCCACTGGGAAACGAGTGAAAATGAGAGATTGAATCTCTAACACCCTTAGAAGCTTAAAGGTTTTTGGGATGCTTGAAACAAGTTTTGGTTCCACTGGTGTTTCTTCTTTAACAAAAGTTAGGAAAGAACGAATGCACTTACCTGAGGGTGTTCCAGAAATATAGTCTAAAATGTTGACATTATTGATGCACATGCGCCGATATTGATCCAAAATTGGAGCTCCTGATGTGAATGTGGACCAATTATCCTTTCTGATTTCCTGGAAAAGGTTTTCTTCGGCAGCTTCTTTCTTGCAAAACTCACGAAGAGTATCATGCATGCGACAAGTTTTTATTCTGTCATTAGCTCTTCTCGTTCCAACCATCACTAAGTTTCTATACACTAGTTCTTCCAAATACACTTCTGCCATATCCTCCAAATTAAAATTTCCTTCCTGTTGTATAAGCCCTTCAGAAATCCATAATCGCACCAATTTCCACACAGGAATCTCAAAATCTTCACGGAAGACACCTAAGTAAAGAAAGCAAGGTTTTAAGTGATTTGGTAGGCGGTTGTACATCAATTCTATTACCTTGGTGGTTTGTGTTGTATCCCTAGCAATATAATCTTTTACACTATTGGCCACATCTTTCCACCAATCAACTCTGTCGCGATGATTTACAATGATACCAGCAATAACGACAACAGCCAATGGAAGACCATCACATTTTCGAGCAATCTCTATCTCAAACTCTTGTAACTCTTCAGCACAATCATTTTTCTGAAAAACCCTCCACCTAAGTAGCTCTCGACACTCGCCTAATTCCAAGAACTTCAACCTATAGATAGAGTCGGTATTTCTATTTGCATGCTCTGCCACTCTATCATAACGGGTAGTTATGAGGACTCTGCACCGCTTGTTATTGTTAGGAAAAACATCTTTAAATCTATCCCAATCTTTAGGATCCCAAACATCATCCAATACGATCAGATATTGCTTTCCCTCCAACTGCTTGTAAAGATATTTCTCCAACTGTTCGACATCCATCTTAGAAACTTCTTCTGTCATTTGTGTAAATGAAGCCAAAATTTTGAGCAGAACTTCTCTCTTATCATAATCTTGTGAAACATAAACAAAGGCTCGAATCATATACTCGTAATCAACATCAGGATCCTTGTATACTTTCTTAGCAAGTGTAGTTTTCCCCAATCCTAGCATTCCAACTATTGAAATAACTTCAAGTTTTTCTGGTCCTTGTGTCAGGAGTTTTTCCACATCTTCGGCTGGCCCGTCAAACCCAATCACATGATCTTCCTCAACTTTGGGTGCCTGGAAAAAAAAGTAACAACCATGAATATCAAAACTGGAAAGTCCATAGGGTGCACTAATATTAACTCCAAGCTTATAGTGAGGAAAAAGAGTTAAAACATGTTTACAGTCAAAATTAAACACTGGGATCCGGACTATCAAGGTGTTTCCTTTTAAGTGTGCATCTCAAATTACTCTAGAAATGATAAGGTTAGACTGCTCGTATTGTTGTTATTCAAGAAAACATTCCAGGAATTTAAAAGTGAGTGCAAGCAAACCGATAATGTTGGTATAAGCCAATATCAATTAGTAATAATCCTAATCAATAGGCACGGCCAAATGCAGCAACTCTCCAAGTTAGATGGCAGATCTCATTAAAATAAATTACGAGTAAAAAAATTGCTAACCAGATCATGCTTGGTTTTGATACATTAACAGCAATTTAGACTAAATTAAAATAACAAAAAAACAGATGAAACTCATATAGTCTCGATACAATAAAAAAACCACACAAAAAACCAGGAGAAGATTAAAGATTCGGTCTAGATCAGACCAAGCCTTCAAGCAATGAAACATAGCTGCAAACTGATAGAAGAAATTAAAACCAAGAAGAATCTTGTTCTTTTCATTTTTCCGGGGAAGTACCTCGGAAGATCCAGATTGGTTAAGTTTCACAATTGCTTGATATTGGAGCACCTCAAACCCATTCTTGACCTTCTCCTCGTTAATCCTCTTAACTTTAAGGCCAACTTCTTCGATCTGTTTTCCAACATCCCGAAGCACAATCGGGTAATCGGTGATTTGGTGAAAAGCTTTGGAAGCCCAATTCCTAGACTTCTGGACAGCAGCCTGGAGCAAGTAAGCGTCAACGGCATCCTCAGCTTCGCCGAGGATTCCTCGGATCTCGTTGACCGTTTGCTTGAGGAACTCGCTGTCGTGGTTATACTTGGAGAAGTCCTTCATCAGACCCTTCAAGGTCAACAGTTCTTGCTGCAGTTTTAGAATGTTTTCCTTCACATTAGCAACCAGGCTAACGTTGTACACCAGCACTTGGCTGAGGTTATCCAGCAGGAAACTCACAGCCGCATCTGGAACTGCCATCTTTCCAGCTCTCCCTCCTCCACCTTGGGCTCTGTTTCTCTGTTTCTGAAAGAAGGATAGAAATGAAAGTATGGAAATGGAAATTTTTTTTTTTTTTTTTGGATTGGTAGAGAGTGAGAGAGAAACTTGGCTGAAAACTGAAAACTGTGTGAAAAAACTTTGTAGACTGAACTACACAGTGTGTTGACCCGTAAGAAGGGACGAGAAAATTACCTTTAGATGATGTTGATAAGATGTACTCCCTTCGTCCCATAATTATTGTCCAGTTTGGATTTTCATTTTTAATACAATTCCGTCTCATAATTATTGTCCAGTTTGGATTTTCATTTTTAATACATGACTAATAAATTATTATGATAATAGAGTAAACTATTCAAATGGTCCTTTACGTTTGGCAAAAAATTTATTTTGATCCTTTACATTAACAATTCACTGATTTGATCATTTACATATGTATTTTACAATAATTTGGTTCTTTTTACTTTTTTTGACCCTTTATATTTGGAGGTTCTCGAGTTGACCATTTATTGGGCAAGTCAATAGGGGTATTTTTGATGACTTTTAATTCACAAATTTTCAAAAATACTAAAAACCAAAGATTGATTAAAAATGTTAAAAATATTATATTAAAATTTATATTTATTTTTTAAAAAAAAATTAAAATTCAAAATTTAAAAATTATTTTTTTGCCAAAATCTAAGTTATTATTTTTATCTTGCGGGCACCACGCGTGATTTCTTCTTTATTCTTATTCTGTAATTTTTTTTCTCTCCCCGATCAAACACCAAACCTAAATCCCAAACCTCCCAATCCGATATTCAAGAAAAAATCAGATTAAGGGTAAAAAAGAAAAAAATTCAAGAAGGAAAAAAATAATATATTATGATTAATATTATTTTAATCAACACGGGTATATTCAAGAAGAAGAAAATTATAAACTAAAAGGTATATTCAAGAAGAAAAAAATTACAGATTAAGGATATAGAAGAAAACACGCTTGGGGTCCATAAGAAAAAAAATAATAACTCAGATTTTGGGAAAATAATTTTTTATTTTTTATTTTAAAATTTTTTATTTTTTAATAATTATTATGAAATTAAAATAATAAATTTGATACTATATTCATCAACTTTTGGTTTTTTAGTATTTTTGAAAATTTAAAAATTAAAATTTATCAAAAATACACATGTTTACTTGACCAAAAAATGGTCAACCCGACAACTTCAAAATGTAAAGGACTAAAAAATTAAAAAGGACTAAATTAGTACAAAATAAATATGTAAAGGACCAACCCAGTAAATTATTAATGTAAATGATCAAAAAAAGTTTTATATTAAATGTAAAAGACCATTTGAGCAGTTTACTCACGATAATAAAAATAAATAAGAAGCGGGTATTACTATAAAATTTCCTGTAAAAGTTGTTAAGAATGTAAAAGCTGTCTTGTAATTTTAGATGATATTGTAGGGAGAGCATTTAGTTGGTTTCAAGAATTATTTTAAAAAGAATATAATACAAATGCACTTATTACACTACGGCGACGAGAAACAAAAATTAGGAATCATTTGTACCTCTCCAATTCTTTTCTTTGCTTTTTTGGGAAAACTTGAGAATTAACTCAAGCAACTTGCTACACTGCATTTGACGAGAATCAGGTTCTCCAGGTCAGGATAAAACGAATCCAAAATATTCCCACAATTTAACAGATAAAAACGAATCGAAGGTCATTTTCGTTCTTTTTCTTTTTTTTTTCCGCCAACTTAATGTTGGAAATTAAGAAAAACGTAAGAATTTATAATAAAACATTCAGAAAAAATAAAATTAAGAAAATCAGGTCGTACTCGTAACTTTGCTTCTTCTTCTTCTTCTTCTTCTTTTTTTTTTTTTTTTAAGAAAATACTTGTAAGTTTGTCGTATTATATACCAGAAATAACTACAAATGCATTGCCTTGCCTACAAAAATCAATTTTCCTTGTCCTGGGGCAGCCCGCCGTGGTGAGTCTTGTCTGCCACTTCGGGAAAAAGAGATCATTTTTTTATTTACGATTATGCCCATCATGTGACATTGTTTTGTTTTATTTTACTATTTTTTCCTATCCTAAATGTTCTTATAATTTTAAGGCCGAAGTTTACACACGGAATATTTTTCGGGGAATGATTTAATTTTAATATACAAATTAAGTTAAAATGAGAATGGTTAAATGAATGTGTGGTAAATTAGGTTAGATAACATCATTATAAATAAATGCATTAGGAATAAAGTAAAATTAACGTAAATAGACGAGAAAAAAGATAATCATTGTCTAAAATAGTTTGGACAAACAAATAAGAAAATTGCAGATGCTCCTGTTAGGAGGATAGGAATTATAAATAAGAAAAGAAATCAAATTAAGAGGGTTACTAAAAGTTAAATTAAGCAATGGGAACGAGTCTAACCATTATTAACCATTTAGCATTACATTTTCAATGTTACATTACATCATCGATCTCATCTAAAGAATTGTTCACAGTACTAAACTATTACATAATTGTGCTAATTCAATAATATGGTTTTCAGAAAAAGTGTTGGCTGGTTCAGAGAGGAGACAAAACCTAGGGCTACTCTGAGTTGAATTGTACTAAATCATTTTCATAACAATTGAATATACTTAAACAGAGTGCTAGTTGGATCTTTGGTGAGACAACCTGGTGGTTGTTACCATGTGTTGAGAATTTTTTTTTTATACAATGATGCTTTTGAGAATTAAAAAACAAAAAAGAAATATTACATCATGATCCTGTAACAATCCCTTCAAAATTTCCTGAACCTTTTACATGCGAAAATTTGTTCAGAAAATTTTACATTGCGGCAATAGCCAATATGTACTCCTTTTTCTTAAGTAGTTATGTGTTTTATATATGGTTATTAGTGCTACTTCTTTTCCCATACATGATGAGACCATTTACTGATGAGTTATGGGCCAAGTAATATGGACCTATTTTGAAAGTCTTACACTTTCCTTTTACACCATTTCCAGATATGAGTAGAAGTAAGGACACAATAATAAAGGAAAAAAAAAAAGAAGCCAGGTCCTGCGATAACAAGCAACTGCTCAGTGATCACAGCCACCGATCTTCAAACCTGTGTATTAACTCTCAAACAAACAGAAAATCCCCACAATAACTTCAATCCCTCCAACATTATTAACTCACCATTAATTTCTCACTCTCAGCTGCTGTTACGAATCACTAACCATTACCCAAAATTTGAAGTGTTATACACTTAATGCAAAAGTGCATGTACTTGAACCACGTAACAAAGGGTTGTCCAAGATGTGTTTGACCTAACCATGGCGAAACATAGGAACTTTACCGATCAATGAACAGCAACAAATCTGCCAGTAAAGCAATACACTGTGGAGTACGATTAAGGGACAAAGTATACAAGTTTTTGTGAAGGACACAGGTACTCTAGACGTAGAAAGAATCGAGAACAGCTGACATTGCCTTTTCTAAGTACCATCCAAGGCTACATCGCCCTCTTTAATGTCAACCCAAGCCTCTAACATACTGATCCAGAGTAGTATTGAACAAATCGCATCTACCAAACAAAAAGAGAAAAGATACTTAGCATTATACTCTCCTTGTTGCTTTGGAAAAAAAAACAATGCAACTGATGTTCAGATTCAAACATCCTGATCATCACACACAACAGCATAACTAGATTAAGAACGTTGACTGACCTAATTGCCGTTCCAGGAGAGTATAGAGGATTTTTGACAACATACTCCACATATAAGTTGTATATGTACTTCAGGGATTCCCTCAAATCACCAGTCCTTGGATGAGTCACAAGGATGATCTGAACAAGATTATGCACAATACCTTGCAGTCAGGAACTTAGAAGAAGTAGGCTATTAATTGCAAAACTAGAATCGTCAATGTCACATTCCTCCCTCGAGTTTCTAGAATCCTCAGGGGAAACATTTGCAACAGATCCTAATCCAATAAATGAGTACGCAGAAACAAACTTGACACTAAGATTAGACAAAGGAACAACTCATATTGACATGACTATATGACTAACTAGCAATAGAGAGCAAGAACAGACAACTATCCTAAGACCATAAATGTAGAGAGCAAGAACTTGATATATGCAGATTCATACATTCAACAATAGTGTCAAACAAACCTTTATCCCAGATGGACTCTCCATGAAACTAAGCTTGTACGTATTGGTCCGAAAGCTGTGAAATGAACACCCTTGACCTGGTAACTGTGGCACTCCAAGATTTCCTTTATCAACACTGACCACAAAGAGTAGAATAGTTTAAAATCACAAAGTTGATCTATCAGCTAATTTACAAGCAAATGCATAATATTTTCAAGGAGAAGGATAACAAAAATGCTTACCATCCCTTCAAGTTAAACCCAAAAGACAAACAACAAATTAACAGGGGGCTGCCCCCCTCTAGCTGCATATTAGTTTTTGCCATATAGGAACCACCCCAAATGAAATATTTTAGCACTAAGGACATACCCTCAAGGAAGCAAAACCAATCCTAAGACCTTGAGAACATTACTAAGATGCTCATTCAGAAGAGCTGATTACATTTCCGGCTAATTAAGTCAAAATTCAGCATAAAAGAAAATAAATTCCCCCAAAAGAAGAAGGAAGCAGGTTCGCCATCAAATTTTTCATCTTCCTATAAAACAGAAGAAACACGCAACAAATCAAGAAATTGTTCACGAGGGACAGACCTAGTTGGATCCATTTTGGTGGTCAGGGATTTAAGAGAGAAGAGAAGACCGAACATGAGCTTGTGGTCCTGCTGAGGACTGAGAGTCTTTAGGGGACGATTCCATTCCCTATACAGAAGACAGACTCCATTCCTGTTGAATATATACAGCATGTGGGCATTGTTGCCGGATGACGTTGGCACCGGAGGAGATGGACTGATCTCCGATCCGCCGAAAAATTGCATTTTGGCTGATGGTTAATTCTTATGTCTGATCCCAATGTAGTTCTACGACAATGAAAGCATCGGAACATCAGCTAACAAACAACCGATCAGAATTTTCACAATCAAAAACATGGAATGATAATTACACGCGACTTACCAGAAATTCGAAAAATGAGGCCGCTGTAAATCTGTCGTGCGAAACCCTCCGATGATGACAGGAGAATCAAGGGTTTATGCGATACGCTACTCTTTTTAAGTGATCTTATACCTCCAAACTCCAAAGGGATCAAGATTCGAAGCGGATGCAAGGGATTATTGAGGAGACTGAAGAAGTTGCTTGTTAGTGTGCGATACTGAGTTGAACGAGTTTATGGGCGCAGCACACATTTGTTCGATTCGACGTCGTTCCCCTATCGGTCTTTCGGCCCGCTCCGGCGTCCGTGGCACTTTGTAAGTTTGTATGCATATTCTGAGGGAAATTGCACATACTACCCTTAACTTTTGATAGAATTACAATTTTAGTATCTTGATTTTTTCCTCTACGTTGTTCTTCCTACCAATCTGACAATAGGTGAGTTAAACACCATCTATTTTACATCTATTCCATTTGGAACATCCAAATCAAGATTTACATCTTTCATCTTTCATGTCTCCTGAATAGTGCAACAAACACATTTTTCCTCCATGGAGGAGAAGGTAATATTTACAGATTTTTTTCGATCTATCATTTACATCGACAACGTTGCACATTTGAACTACAATAAGTCCATCATCAAGCTAATGCTTTCTATTCAACCTAATCAACTGGGCAGAGGCAGTATTTATGTGGAGTGAATCAGTTGAGTAGATGCAGTATATATTGGTCAACATAGTGCAGTTTTGACAAGTAAACATAATGAATTGGTCAACATAAAGCAGTTTTGACAAATAAACATAATGAATTTTAACCGGAAAAACTGAAAAACTTCACTCTAAGCTCGCATCGTCCTGGGCTGCTGATTCAGTATTCCCAGGGAAAATAACACACACAAACCGAATCCAGCATATAAGTTTGGTAGAATCATGCATCAGAAATCATAATGTAGGCTAACAGATGGCGAGAATATCCTAATGAATCCAATAAGCGAAATAGTATCAAAATGCTGGAGTTTGCCCTTGAGTTTTCAAGACGATCCAAAAGTTTTAAACAAACTTCCACGTCCATCCCCTTACACTTTCTAGATATTTCACAGTCAAAGGAACACGAGAAGACAAAACGGAACAGCCAGCTAAGCATAAAATTGCCAAAACAACATTAACGTAGATCTCAATACTCCCATTTCTTCAATTCCATGCCATCTGGGGGACTCCCCTCAACCTTCTTGGTACCAACTTCTTTCCAGTTAGTTGATAAAACTGTGCCATTTGACTCAACCTGTGACACAATGTTTAACAATTACTAACGGGTAAAAAAGACGAACTCATACACACACCCTTCACGCATGAAAAAGATGAACAACTCCAAGACGACATTCATATTAGTAATTGGTCACGAAAGTAATACTTCGACTGGTTAACAAATTGAGTTATGAGATCCAAAAGAATCTGACAAAGAAAATCTTACAAAAGATTTCATCATGGCCCGTCTGGCATCCTCATCAGCATCTTTGTAAATGTCGCGGAAAAATTTGTTAAGAGCAGCATCACCATCAAGTTTCTCATCTTTTTCCTGCAAAAGCAAACAGAATCACTCAAACAAGAAGCCTTTACAATTTTAACCTGTGCAGTGATTCATCATCCAGAAAAGAATGCCTATCGAATGACATTGGTACCTCCTTTTTCACTTGAGCCTCTAATTTGTCCCAATCTTTAGTTTTTGCCTTGGAGGAAGGGTAAGCTGGTCTGTGGCCTGAAATTTGAGAAGCCAGGCTTTGAAATGAGGAATACAAAGAAAGCAAATGAATTTCACATCTTGGCAACAGCCAAATTTGATATATCCCACCAAATTAGAAAAACAGTTACATAAGAGAATTTTCCAGTAGAGAATGGGGCACGAAAACAGAATGCCATCATACAAGGAATTCAATTGCAGAAGTAATTACATGTAAAAAACAACAAGGGAAGAGGTCCATGCAATCAGAACTACATAAAATAAAATAAAATTAATAAATTAGCCGAAAATAGCTACTGCTTCAGTAGCAAGATATACCTGATGGAACATTGATCCTCTGTACAGCCACATTGTCCCGGTTATACTCGAGAGATGTCCACTGTACGGGTTCAGCTTTTGAAAGACGGATTTCAACTTTTGTGGAAAGAACTTCATGTCTACACTTCTCCGGAATTATCTTTAAAGCAGAACAGACAACATCGTAAAGAAAATAAAAGATATAAGTATATATGAAATAGAATCTTAACAGTAAAATAAAACCAACTCCAAAACAACATAAGGAATTCCCACCCACAGCATGGTCAAATAGCAGTAAACTCTACTTCAATTTAGCTAAAAAGAAATGAGTAATATCCTCACTCCACAGTCCTAACTAAAGATCTTAAGATTGCAGTATCTTTATCAGGCGAAGAAATGAATATTACTGCTGATGGGTCTTACATTGAGCTATTCAGACACAAGCGCACACACAGAGAAAGAGAGCAAACAGAAATAAAGAATCAAAAGCACATCGATGAATGATTTTCCATCTATACTTATGGATGCTACAATGTTCAAATGTTCATTTGATTAGCAGACTGACTAAAAACCAAAAACGTGTAAGACGCATAAAAGCAAGCAAATGTAAGCATCGAGTTAACAATTACCTTTCCAAAAAGCCGAGGTTGAAATGAATAAACCTCTTCACCAGGCTTCTCTATAGTAACACTAAGCTGAAAAGCAACAGAAAAATGTTAGGAAGTTGGAAAGTGAATTTAATCTTGCAGGTGGAAAACAACAGTGGAGGCAGCAACATACTATTTGTTCGCCATAGTCCACAGTCACATTTTTTGAGGGAACACCCTTTGCGAATATGGTTACAACTACTTCCTCTGGTTTCTGATAAAACTCATGCCTGTAAAACATACCCATTCATATTAAATACCCCAAACTATTTCAAAAACATGAAGCCAACATAAAGCCTAAACAAGATTTAAGTAAGAAGTGCAAAATATTCGTTAACCTAGAGCATAAGATTCCTACAAAACCACTAATAAGAAGTGAAGACACATTGGTGCAGAGTAGCCCACCTCATTTTAAAAACTTTGTATGGAACCATAAGAATTTGTACTAACCTGTATTTTGGTTTTGAATGTGACAAAGAAGTAGCCTGGCTAGAAACAACTGTATCTGGTTCAGCAGCTTTTGAACTTGCGACGGCTTTATCAACAACTGTTGCAGAATTCACCACCTCTCCCTCTTCCTCTAATCAACCAACATGAAGAAAAACTGAACTTAGAACCCATCAGAATAGGCTAGGCTGCTTATTACACATGAAAAAAGAAAATAGAAACCCAAATATATCCCCTGTAACCTTGAGAATAAATGTCCTTTTACAAAGTTCAGCAGGAACTCATTAAATCCAACTAAAACATAGGTAGGGTTTTGAGGACCACCAATTAGTACACATTCATTTGATGACTTCAGTATATATGGAAGAGTAAACCATCCTTTTTGCCATCGCAACTCCAAATGCTTTTAGAATACGATTTCCCATTAACTGTCTGGAGATAATTTACTCCAGGTAAGGAGATACAACCTTTCCTTATTGGCTGGAGTGAAATGAATTGTGTTTTCAATAAAAGCACAAAAGCTGGAGGAAATTGCATAATATCCAACAAGTTCTTGATGAACTGCGAGCATTTACACGCATCAAAAATGACCTTTGAGCAGTTAAAAAAACCTTGTTTTCCCGAGCCAAAATCCATGTCACTATCTCAAAAAGAAAAAATGATTAAAAACTTTTAAAAGAAATTGCCTCAGAAGTCCTTGTGTTGAAATATTTGCTATAACTGGACTTCTTCTTTTAAGAACTCAAGAGAATGTCCAATGATGATAACACAAAACAAAAACAACTATGTACTAACTCCTAAACAATATTTTAATTGAAGCACATGCAATTCGCAAATAGACAACAGTATAAAAGCGTACCTGCAATACGCTCCTCACATTCTTTAATTAACTTGGTGAATCTTGAGTCCCCAGGTAGGATCGAAGCACCCAATTCGAGAGCTGCCTTGGCAGTCTGGTATTCCTCAAGCTTTAAGCAGGCCATGCTGTCAGCAAATCAAAGACAATATGAAATAAATTAACAATTAACCCTTCAAAATGGTCCAGGAATTTATAATTCGATCAGGTTTATATACGCTAAATCTGTAAGCACAACAACTGCTAGAATCTGACACGGCAAAAGAAAAAAAGGGCCTACACACCAGCAAGACCAAACTAATAAGCAGCAACTTGAAAGAAATGATAAGATAATCTGAACACAAGATCATTGGAACTTACCCTTTCCGCAAATATGCTTTGGCCATTGAAGGGTCCAACTCAATGGCTTTGTTTGCATCCGCAACAGCTTCTGCTCAGTACAGTCAAGAAACTAGGTAAGTAGGGTGAAAAACAAACTCAACTTGAGGGACAAAAGAAACAACAAGATCAAAGCTATAAGCTATACACGCAAAACATTCGGCCTTGCATTGACTACACTCTATACCATAGCATTTTTTTCTTTTTCCAAAGGACAGCTTTCATCCATCAAAAATGCCTGAGATACGGTTTTTACAGTCAAAACAATTTGCCTGGGATATGGTTATATTTGTTGCCAACAAGGCAGCTTTATCTCCATCAAAATCACTCACCAAAATAAAGGAAATACAGGCTTCTATGCCAAATCCCTAGCAGCGATAGAAACGATATTCAACCAACACACGAGCATCAGCGATATTCGTAAACAGATTAAAAACGAAGAAATGCAAAAAGAGGGGCAAATAAAAATGGACAGAACGGGCGAAACTCAACTAAAACAAGATAACAAAAGGGAAAACAAGAAACCAAAAAAGAGAAGGGAGAAAAGAAATCAATACCAGTGAAGTTGGAGAGTTTGATGTTAGCCTGAGCACGATCAGCAAAGAGCTCGGCGCTCTTGGGGTTGACGGCGATGGCTTGAGAGTATAGGTCAACGGCAAGCTCGAAGTGGTCATCGATGAAGGCTTCTTTAGCCCTACTCTCCAGATCCGACGACGCCATTGGAAATGAGTTTTGCAGAGTCACAAATTGATGACAGGAAACGTAGAAATAATATTATTATGATAGTATTGATTAGAAGGGTCCAGAAGGTGAAGGTGAGAGAATTACGATTTTATATAATACACACTGGTTGAGGAGAAGATGAGAGGGCAAAGAGACAACTGATTGATGCCTGCTTGACTTCATAAGGAACCGTCACTAATTTTATTTATTTATTTAGTACTCCTATTAATTAACTAATTAATACTGTACTCATCTTTAATTGATTCTTTTTTTTATGAAACTTACCTTGAATTTGGACACTACTCGATGCAATTACCGGTAGTTACGAAAGGGCGACAATTGTTTTGGGCTAATTTCATTTTTCCCCCATATTTTGAGAGAATACTAACAAAGTAATAAACAACCCCTTATTGTTTAGTTTGAAAAAACCCTTATTGTTTGGTAAAACAATTGATAATCTTTTGACCTATGGACAATGATCCTTTAAGAAAAAAAAATCAATAATTTATATTCAAAAATTTAAAAATATAGAGAATAGTTCGTTGGTGATTTTTTGAATACTAGTTTTATAACGAAAATAAGATTTTTCTTTTTTTTTAAAAAAAAAAAAAACAACTCCTATTAGTGCCTATAAGATATGTAGGGTTATAACCTACTGAAGAAGGGCATAATACTACAATAAAAACACTTTAAATTAATATTTTATAAATTAATAAATTATATAAACTAATTTTTTTGGTCCCAAGTCGTGTAGTACAGAAATCAAATAAAATTGATAAACTAATAAGATGATAAAATTCCAAAAAAATTAATATACAAATATAGGTCCCATAAATCATAAATCGATAATGATCTAAACCCCCAAAAAAAAAACTAAGACAGTTTAAGAAAGTAGAAGGCTATTAAACTTTTTTTTTCTTGAAAATTACATATGAGAAAATTTTATACTCCGTATATGATTTTCAGTCTAACCTATAATAATAAAAATAGGATCATAATTACATAAGTAGGGTTAAAGTTGAGGGTTTCGTTTCCGAACAGATTTGAGAAAAAAAAGAATTATATTAATCAAAATATTTATCGATAAACTAATAATTAGTAATTTATTAATAAAATAATAATCTCTATAAATATATAATTTTTATCGTACTAAGAAAAAAAAATGCGACTGCCTACTACTGGCGAGTTCTGGTCCTCCATGATCTTAAACTAAAGTGAAGGCACGCCCGCGATAGAAATCGAATCGAAATGGTCTACTGGTTTTCGAAAAAATTGGTATTCATACCCAAAGCTTTGGGCCCATCGTTAATTCTACCCTATTGATTTTCGGTTAACCAATTTTGTTCTTACTGTTTGAAATTTTTGTCAATTCCATCCAATTGGTCTAATTTCCGTTAAACTTAATGGATATTCATTAGTTTTTAACCAAAAATACCTCGATAGTTTCATAAAATTATAAAAGTAACCTTAAAAATATATAAAAACGATTGAATAGTCTCTTTTTATTCATTTTTTCCTATTTCATTTTATTTTTCTTTATTACTTTTCATAACCATCAAAATATACTATATGATCTTTAAGAAAATAATAATTTATTTTCAAAATCTATTTTTCATGTGCAACACATGTTATTTGGATTGTGGGGTAATTTTGTCATTTTAAATTTTTAAAAATTTCAATTTCTTTTTTTATTCGTCTTTTTTTTTGAGATTTTTTTTCTTGTATTTCCTGACTTGTATATATTGATACTAGAATAATTATTAAATTTTAATAATTAATTTACCATTCTATTTCATAGATTATAAAAACTTTAACATAAAGAAAATCAGGAAGAAAAATTTAAGTTGAAATAAACATGAAAATTAATAGTTTATCATTCTTAAAAAAAAAAGAAAAAAAAACCTTTAAAAAGAACTGCAAAGACAAGTCTTTTCTCCTTAACTTCCTCTATTTCATAGGTAAGTTACGAAACATAAATCTTACTTGATCTAGCCTAAAATGATTATTTTGTTCTTTGTTATAAAAATAATACAAGTCATGTAGTATAATTTAGTAATTATTTTGCTAAAAAATACACGTATTTATTTTTTTCATGAAATTTAATAATTGCTTATATAGTTTAGCAACCTCCAATCGGTCAAAAAAATTTATTAAAAAAGAATAAAAATAGTGTTAGCCAAATTTACAGAAATGCATCGTTGTGGACTAATTAAATTAGCACATTTTCATGTTTCAAATGATTGTCTAATTTTTATATTATTTTCATTACAACGAATTAAATAATTATTTTAGGCTAGATCAAGTAAAATTTATGTTTCGTAATAAACCTATGAATTAGAGGAAGTCAAGGAAGAAAGACTTCTCTTTGCAGATTTTTTTTTAAAAGATTTTTTCAATTCTTGTTTAGAATGAAAAACTATTATTTTATTTTTTTTAGTTTGTGATTTTAGGTGTTTTTTGTATTGAGAATGTAAAAAGTGTATTGAAAAATGTAAAAAGGTATGATGGAATGGGACAATTATTATTTAAATATTTAAAAAATACCATAAAAAAAACCTAACAAACTAACTGTCCCATTTACAAAATAATGAGACAGTTACATTATTTTCATGTTTATTTCAACTTGATTTTTTCTTCCTCATTTTCTTTATGTTAATTTTTTTTAATCTATGAAATAAAAATTTAAATTAATTATTAAAATTTAATAATTATACTAGTATCAATATATACAAGTCAGGAAATAGAAAAAAAATAATCTCAAAAAATAACGAATAAAAAAAATAAATTAAAATTTTTTTAAAATTTACAAAGACAAAATTAGCCCTCAACCCAAGTCACATGTTTTGCACATGAAAAATAGATTTTGAAAATAAATAATTATTTTTTTAAAGATCATATACATTTTGATTGTTATGAAACGTAATAAAGAGAAATAAAATAAAATAGAAAAAATGAATAAAGAGGGACTATTTTGTTATTTTTATATTTTTAGGATTATTTTTATAATTTTCTGAAACTATCGGAGTATTTTTGGTTAAAAAACTAACAAAAATCCGTTAAATTTAACGGAAATTGAGCCAATTGGGTAGAATTGACAAAAATTTCAAACTAGAAGGACAAAATTGGCTAACCGAAAATCAATAGGGTAGCATTAACAATGAGCCCAAAGGTTTGAGTATGAACGCCAATTTTTCCACTGGTTTCCTTCCACATTTGACAAATTTACTTACAAAACTATTCATTTTTCAAAAAACAAGAAAATTATATATAAATGGCTACTAAATACAAAAGGTTTTATGAACATTATTTTTTTTTATATTGGTATGGATTTTAAAGTAAGAAGTTACCATTAACCATAAACTTATAGCGATGGACATAAAGCCAAATATAATATTTATAGGTTCCTTTTTATAAGAACACAAATTATGACCAGATAGAATAGTTGGAAACGAGTTAGAGTATGTAAATAAAAAGAAAAATCACGAATTTTTCATCGTAAAAATAAAGACAAATGTTCAAGTTTTATCACTTTTATCTCTATAGAGAGAAACTTCTTTATCCTCTTGAAATTTGAAAATTAGTGCCAGCTAGGTTTCCTACTGTAGTTTTTGTCAAGTTGTGTAACCTTATAGTCAATGACCTAGACCTTTTTCTTTTTCATTCTTCTTCATTTTTTTCCGGTGTTTAAGATCGAAGGTGGTCCGTGGACTCTTGAACTAAATTTAAATCGACGAATCCCACATAATTGAGTTGGTAACTTGGTATGAATGGGTAGTTAATTTACAACTTTCATATGATTGATTAACAAAGTCTAAGATATTTCATTTTAGTTCAATCGCTAAAACAGAGTGGAGTGAGTACAATGTAGTAGAAACCATTGTAGTGCAAGGATAGAAATGCTCGTGATAAGCACTAAGCAATGTCTATAAATTTACTCATCCATTCTGAAATGCTTTTTTAGTTTAGAATAAAATTTCATATTCCCTTACTGGTTTCGGGTCTTTCTGTTAGAGCTGGATACGTCGTTGGGCTTCTATCATACATGTCCAAAACCTGGAGCTTCCCTTGGTTGGCCTACTTTTACTTCTTTTTCTTCTTGGTGCTTTTATTTTTTTCTTATTTTTTTTGGTGCGTGAAAAATGTTTTTATTTTTTCTTATTAGATTAATAAGAAAATTGAAAATGTACTGTATCACGAGAAAAAAAAAAGTATAGTGACGTAATTGAATGGTTAAATTAAATAAATTTAAGTTATTAGATCACAGTTTCATTCTATATATGTAGAAACTATTTGTTGCCTTCGAAATTTTAACTATATTACTCAGTCAGCAAAATTTTTTACAGACCATAATTTTATTCTTTTTTTTTTTTTGTGGAACATGAGAGACCATCATGTACATAGTCTTTTTTTTTTTGTTCGGCATTAGAATATGGTTTGACTAATCCTCAAAAGTGATAAATTATTTATTTGACTTGGAATTAGATGCTTCTAGATTCATATAATTTGGTGCAAATGTACTTGTCTTGTGTGAACAGGCAACGGTTTAGCGAATCAGGAAATAAAGTTTAAGTCACGTCACTTGTAAATTATTTGCAATGTCGGTCTTTATTATATTGTTTTCTCATTTTGGCGCCCACTCAATACATGCAAGTAGTAGTTAAATTCTAAAATGATAAATCTGATAACACTTTTCGCATCATTCTCTGCTAACCAACTTCTTTTTTTTTTTTTTTTTGGGTATATCACCTACTGCTTAATTTTGGTAGTTAGAAACATAACATTTGGCCCGGACGATACAAATTACTCCAAATCGCATAATTACATTACATTTCGCCGAGAATTGAACCCTATATCTTGCATAACAAGTCTCACTTCTACATTCCTATCAAATCCTTAGCCCAACATCAAATCATCAATTATTGGACAAGTATTTCAGAATCACTGTTTCAAAACGCTGACGATATATGTAAGAGATAATGCATGCCTGTTAGGCTGTTGAAGTCAACCAAAAGTAATGATAATAAATACAGAAAAAAAAAGGTTAGCACATGATATTGTGTGGGTCATGAATTAGAAGTCAAATAGCAAACTGAAAAAATTCCTGCAAATCCTGAGATGCCTCGTGCTGGTTTTCTACTTTTCTGTACAAAACTAGTAAAAATGCATGTTGAAGTTGCAGTGAAATAGTTTCATCTACAAAAGGCTACGACTAAAGTACACTTTCAAACCACTTGATATTCTGATTCTTCTACCAGAAAAGAATCGAAGGTTAAAAGTAAAGCATAACAGAACCAAAAAAAACCAAAATTTCTTTTTTGGTGGAGGAAGGAAAAGATCATTCTTTTGTTCCAATGCCAATTTCATGCCTCTCTCCTTTCACTGTTGTAGTTTTTATACCCCATTCCGCAGACAAAGCACAATGATAAGAAGGCAGCTTGAGCTTTGCGGAAGTAAAGAAGATTTCTCCAACTTTTCCAAGGCCGTTCTGTATTTAGACGCTGGTGGCCGCCATTGATTCCATTTCAAGTTTCACCCTGCTGATATCAACTTATGGTGAAATGTTAAATTGATGAGAAAAATGGTTTTCATTCATCTTTATTCAGTCTAGAGTTGGAAATTGAGTCACTCTGTTTATCATGATGATCATTTATTAATAGTGATGAATGAGATTGTTAGGGATCAGAATTTCCCCATCCCCATCATTATTATCATCGTCGTCGTCGTCGTCGTCGTCGTCGTCATCATCCTCCCATCTCTCTCCCTCATCATCTTCCTCCCCTGGAATAATCTCCGGTTTGAGATGTTCTACATCGGCAACCTCCTCTGCTGCGCACTCGGCCCTTGGAGAGAAACTGGACCCTGATGCTGGAGATGATGATGAGGCCATACTGATGTTTGACTGTGCTGAATTAATCATGGGTTCGCCGGAAGTAGTGGGCTTGGCAGTCTTAGCCCGGGTGCTTCCGGCGAGCGAGCTCCGGTGAGTTGGCCGTGGATGTGAATGTTGTCCGCTGTAGGACACAACGTATGTGTTTGGTTCTGTGGGACATCTCTCCACTTGTCTCCTTGCGACGCATCCTTTTGACGTGCTACATCGATAGTAGTTCCTGTATGTTGAATCCCGGAGCAAATCCAATTGGAAAGTTAATGAATTTTATGAATTCAATGAATCAAATCAATAAAGATAACTTAAAATTGACTCTTACACTAAAAAAGGGTGATAAGAAGAACTAAAAGAAAATTAACCAAAAACCTTGGAAAGGGGGAGCCTTTAATTGGCTTTTGTCCATATTTCCGCCACGCCCACGAATCACCAGATAATTCCTCCTGTGTCATTCGGTGAACCACTTTTGCCTGCTGGTTTTTCCTGTCGAAATTCAGAGGATCAACTCAGAATGATTTTAACTATTAAGGGACAATCTTATAAACTGAAATTTCTTCAACAATTGACAGTTAAAATGGGATTAAAAAGGCTGACCTTCTGCGAGATCTTATGGGCTGAGCAGTAGCAGAAGCAAAAGAAAGGGGAGAAGAACCAAGAATCACGTTGAAATTCTGTTGGTGGTGATGATGATGGGGTGGGATCACATGATGCTGAGAATGTTGTGGATAAAGTGAAAATTGCCCTGTTGGTTGCTGGCTATAAGATTGTTGTTGCTTTTGCAATTCCTGGCTGTACTGCTGATTATGAGGCAGAGCAGTGATCATCGTTTCCTGTTGTTGTTGTTGTTGTTGTTGTTCCCGGTAAATTTCTTCAAGACCCTGAAATGATCCCTCTTGATAAGGCACAAAACCTGGGAAGTTAGATGGATTCTCAGCATTTAGAGAAGAAGGATCATGAAGATTTGCCAATGATGATGATGATGACTCTCCGAATTCTTGATTTGTGTTGTCGACGGCAGGGGATGACGTGATCATTTCATCGGTTGATGAGATTGCGGAGCTGCCGGCGGTGCCGGTATAGCTCCTCACCACCGCATACAAATCCCAATCCTCCGCCATTCCGGACCCAAATTAAGGAGGAATCCGGCGTAGGATGTAGCAGTATAAATATGCTAGTTCTTCAGAGGAAACAGGACTCTTTGCTGCAGCTTTTTCCTTAATGGTACATCATCTATTCTTCTATCATGTCCACTACTTCCCAATTCCTGCTGTTTTTGCAAATTGGGGGGAGGAGAGAACGAGATGGAAAATCAGAGGGTCCCCAAGGACGGCGCTGACTTTTGAAGGGGTTATTATTATTATTTTATTTTATTTTTTTCAAAAAATTGCAAATGAATATTATTTATGAATATGATCGTGCAAAGGAGGTATATAAGTCTCCAAAGTCCAAAGAGAACGAGAAGGTACGTTAAGAGAAAAAAAAAAAAAAGGATGGGAAAAAAGAAACTTTTTGGCTTTTGCTCTTGATCCTGATTCGTAAATTACACAACACCACTATTTTATGTTTTTTTTTTTTTTTTTTTCTAATGTAATTAAGACTTATAAATAAGAGATGATGATTCGAAAGGTCTTTGGCCAAATTGTCCATTTGTCCATTTGGCATTGTCTCTGTCAATGGTGAAAGAAGAAGAAAAGCGAGAGAGAGTGGCTTTTGTTGTAGTCACAGTTATGGCATCTTGACTTCCTCCTGCCTCCTCCTATGTGAGATTGACATGATCAATTTGCGCATTTTGACTTTTGGTGAATGTCAAAGGGGGAGCCGGAGATTTTTATTTGTTTTATTTAAGAGTTTGGTGGGTCACACAACTTGACGAACATTGGAAAATGGAAAGCATTGTTCATGACTTTACAACTTCTAGTTATAGTAATAAAGTTCGATTTTTTGAAAGCATCACTACTAATCAAGCTTTATATGTTGGATTAATAACTATAGAATTACAATTAAAGTAAGTATAGAGCCAAACAAAAAGGATTACAACAATCACAAACAAAAAGCATTCTTAACTTTTTTCATAAGACGAGCTTAGGCATGACACTTTGTTCGGGTGCTTCGGCCAAAAAAATTTTCAAAAAAAGAGGTGGACAAAAATGATTTTTTTTTTCTATTTTAAGTAGACAAAACTAGTTGTCCTAGATTTGCCAAATCCGAATCTACCCATTTTGTATTAGATTCGGATTTGCCACATAAAAATGATTCATGAGATAGTTCTATTCCAAGGAGATTCGGATTTGCCAAATCCAAATCTATGTACTTTCGAATTTGTCAAACATGAGACAACTAGATTTGCCCAATTTGGAATATATATTTTTGTCCACGTCCTTCCATTGAAAATTATTTTGGTAAAAAACTCCACTTTGTTCATATACTATTTTATACATTTAACATTCCTTCACTAACACACCATTGATTAATTAGAAGGCGAATTAACGATAGAAATTATTATCGTGTTTAAAGAAGGAAGGTTAAGGAGTTTTTTAAGATTTTTATATGTGTGATTCCTGGAAGGAAGGACCTCTGGAGTCAGCAAATGGTCCAACCTTGATCAAAACACTTTTAAGGGAACAGTATGGAAGGAAATTATTCCAATTATCCATGATTCCCACCGCATCATGATCTCCTCTGTTGCATCAACTTTCAGTGAACCATATCATTCATATAGCAGTACTAAAGGGGAGCCAAAAAGATACTAATATTAGCTCCATGAACCTGATTTGAAGCTGTAAAGTCGTCTAGCACCGATCAGTGGGGAAAAAGTTACTTTGTAATGCATTCACATTTACGCTTCGGTGCCGTTTAAATCGCTGGAGAGGCGAGTTTCATTTTTAGAATATGTTATCGATTCAGCTAAAATACCTCTAAAATAGAATATATATATATATATATATATATATATATATATATATATATATATAATTGGCGACCGATGATGAAAGATTTAGATTAGGAATGGCTGGATGAAAGGAAGCAGGCCAACCAATAGGAGACGTCCTTGTTTTTTTTTAGGAAGTAATCATCCATTTGAATTCCCGAATCTTGGTCTTAAACTTTCAATCCAATTATAGTGAAAACTAGGAAAACGTAAGCATCATGCACCAGATTTAACCGATTGAGTTCACAAGGGCTGAGAAGTGGTATTCACGATTCAAAAAGCCTAAAAGGGAAGCCTCTTTTTGAGTTAGCCAAAAAAGAAAGTCAACTAAAGAGAGGGAGAGGTCAATGTTTTCTTCCAAGCTGCCAGCCTGCCAGGTAATTTTGGTCACCGTCTGCACTTAAAATAAAGATTAGTGGAGAGTTTATATGTACTTTGACCTGTCTGTATATTACGAGTTATGATGATGTTAAAGCCAACTGACCTTTTCAATTACTCTTAACGCGTTTAATGCTGTTAAACTCAGTAATAAACACTTCCAACAAGAAAAATTCTAACTCCCAAGCGGGAATGCAATTGACCCTCCAAGGCTGCTTTTCCTTCTATTCATAAAACTGATATTGCGCCATTTTTATTATTTTTTCCAACGCATAGCTTTCCATTAGGCGTGGCAGTACCAAGCACGCTATTGAATCAGATAATAGGCCTTGGAAGAACCTGTGGAGTCTCTCCTGACAAATATCCTCTATTCCTCGTAAATCTTTACATGTTGCAATATTATGGTTTAAGACTTTTTAAGTGTTCCACCCCTAATAATCATGTATGCAAAGTTTTAGTACTGTAACATCGATCGACCTGTCTGAATTTCCAATCCTATCTATCCTAGGAGTTATCAATAATCCATGCATTCCCATTGGTGATGGTGGTGGTGGGACAGGAGGGGGGATGAAGATGATTTTTGTGGGTTGGGTGTCCAAGGATAGACATGCGGATGAAAAGACTACCATTCTGATTTATTTTGTTCCTCCTGGTCGTGCTCGTTCATCCCCCAAATCCCTTTGATAAGATATAATTTGGCCGGTTTCAATCTACTTTGCACTTTTCTAGTCCGTGGAAAATGGGGTCAACCCTCTTCCCACGATTCATAGTGTGTGGGTTTGACATTGTCTCTGAAAGCAACTAAAGCTTTTGAACAGATTGAGCTCTAGCGAACGGATTCGGCTGTTTAATTATATACTTCGGTACGGTTTTGGCCTTTGGCCCCTCACTTTTTTGCGTAAATTTCCAGTGCTTTCAACAGAACAAGCATCAAGCATTCAAGCAAATGCCCCCATTATCAATTTACACTATACAATCTTCTTATTCCCATCTACGAGGCAGGCGAGCTGATTAATGGTGATCCCATTTGCCTTAAGGGTTTCACTTCAACCATAATGATGATTACGTGAATGTGTCCTTCCATTTTCCTTTTAGTGTTCCATATTTTGGTGTCAGTGGTTCGTTATAGAATGGGGTGCAACTTTTTCATGCATATTCCATTCACTAATCAGTTCAGTGGGTGCTCTGCTATCACGACTTCAGTGTTACTCTGTCACAAGTCGCTGTTGCCAGATTTGGCAATATTCCCCCCCAAGTTCAACATTCACTATCACTGAATCCCATCCATCCTCTACTTTCTCAAAGTTGGTTGAATTGCACCTTCCTCATCCTCTACGTTCAACATTGAGCTAGTGAATACAGACACCTGATTTGATTTGCATCCACCCACGACGCGTCCATGTATCACAATCCCCGCCACCAGACACACTACTCCATTTAGTTAGTCTCCACCATCAGTGTAGGATTGGCTTTCTATCTCAAAAGTTTCAGACCATTACTGCTTTTTACCTAATGTTCATCGTACCTAGCAAGAGTTCATCTTGATCACTTCAGTATCATGTTTTATTATGATCCAGTCTATTTTTACCTAACAAATCACAGAGAAAGAATCTGATCATAGTCTCTAAACAAAAGCTAATTACCGAAATTACCCACATGTATACATTTCCCTATATCTTTAAACGATCCATACACGTCAGGGAGGCAAACAGGTGTACAAAATTACGGGACCTCTGCATACCTCTTTGATCCTAGGATTACAACTAAATTATGAAGAGATATATAGGCAACAGCTAAATTTTACAGTTTTTCCTACCTGTATGCACATATCTAATCCTACAAAATGTTCATCCCTTAAGTTGAATGTTAACTGTTGGAAACTATCATCACTGACTTCCAGATCATCTAATACGCTACAGCTATGTAATCGAGCCTTAAATTCGACTTTTTTTTTTTCTCTTCCAATTGCCAATAAAAGATATCAAAAGGACTTGTATATGGCTTTAGTTTGCTTCTCTCCTAACTAAACGAGCCGAAATAGTTTTCGCATAATCGCCAACATTGGCCACAAAGAGAGGATCTCTCTCTTCAATATTGCATTCATTAGTAGCACTTCCCGTCTGATTTACCTGATCGATCCTTTCCAGTTCTTTTGTCAGATCATCCATCGTCTTCTTCAATGTGGCCTTATTCATATGCCCTGCCTCACCCGTTGCAATTCCAACCATGGTAATTCGTGGTAGAAGATGAGACTGCTTCAGCAACTGTCCAGTGGACTTCGTATCGTTAAACTCTCTGCACAACGAGGAAAGTAATTTAGAGAACAACTTTTGATAACATCACTTCAATATACCTAGTATATTCCCAATTAAACTTTAAATAACAACCAAGTTAATCCAAAAGCAAGATAGAATCATCACCCTTTGTTTGCTAAATTTGGAGGCTTCTTCCGTTGCTTCAACCATGGAGGAGACAACCAATCCATGAAAGAAGGGCGACAATCCTGCCCTTGTCCAGGCTCGGCAGTGAAATTATTTTGCATGCCACCCTCCGAGTTGTAAAGGCTCCGGAGCGGCATTCTATCATCCTCTACATTAGAGTCAGAAAGGAAGTTTGATGATTTACATGCTCTCAAGAAAGAAGTAGCACTCCTGCAACCAAGCATAGAGCATTAATGTTATTCCTAGAGTACAACTGTAGCAAGAACTAAGAGGAAAAAATATGTCATAAATGATCACACAAGTAACTACAAGTCAGGAAACAAAAATTTAAACTGTTTTTGCATTGAGTTAACCAAAGCAATAATATCTTCAATTCTGTAAGAGACAATAAACTGTCTAGACTAACCTAACAGATGGCTAAACAGGTAACAAACAGTTGTTAGATTCTCTGAGTTATTGCTTTTTGTTAGTGGAAACAAGTCTAATGATGAAATCTTCAAGACACAATTTTTGAAGTGCATAAGCTCCATTCCAATGACAGAGTACCTTCTCTCGAACGAGTCCACCACATAAGGAAATTTTGGTTGAATTCCAGTTACTTTCCGCAACCATCTGTTTCCAAGAAGAACCTTATCAACAGCATGAAGAAGCTGAAGTTCAGCAGCTTTTGATAGGACACTCAAAGGTATCCCAGGATTGCCCACTTCATCCATCACTTCCTGAACCTGGACATTAGCAAATAGTTTTCAAATTTCTGAAACAATTAACTCCTAACGAACTCTAGACAGTTCTTCCCTGCCCCCTTAGACTTTATGTGTTGTTGAGACACGAGTGAGACTACTATCCATTTTACCACCAACCAAGTACAGAAAATCCGAGGAGAACAGAAAATTTTACAAGTTATATTCCTTCAATCAACAATACAAAATAACTTCCGTAAACAAAATGTGATCTCAAGTATCCAAGTGTTGTCTGAGTTTCTACCTCTGGAGGCTCCAACAGGCTATCTCCCATTTCTTCCATTACTTCAGCTGCCAAATTGTCATCAAGAATATCACGTCTGCGCTGCACATTTCGAGTCTGGATCAATGAATGGAAATGCTGATCAACGGATTCTTCTAGGATATTGTCTAAGGTACTTTTGTCGAAGAAATATGGTGTGTACCTATGAACAGAAAAAAGTAAGTAACTTGGATTTAATTTATATGTGCACTCGGCCAGCAATTGACAACAATGTCCATCACAAAACAGATCTAGGTGTGTACCTAGGATATTGTCTAGCTGCGAATATGGAGAACTTGCATAAGATGGGGGAAGTAAGAAACCATGCAAAAAGTAAACCTACCATCTTATACCATCAGAGGTCGCTATAGCTATGTCCAAATTATGAGCACTGAAAACAGGCACACCTTCCACTTTTTTACATCCATCTTTCTGTGGCAAACTCTTGAGGAGTTTGTTAGCTTCTTTAACCTGGATAACCAAGAGGATATCAAAGCAAGAGAACTCTCACCAGATGAGAATTTGTAATCTGATCTAATTCAAATAACACCAGTAAATTATTTGAATAAAAGTCAAAGAGTGCAAAATACCTGTCTCTCATTAGGGACAAATTGGAATAAGTGAGGCTTCTCCTGCACAAGTGAACAAATTTCATCAAAATGACCGTCAATTTCTCTGCACAGTTTTACCATCTGGAAAAGGACTTTATGCAAAAAAGTGAGCGCAAAACTAAATAGAAGTTACGTAATATGTATCGTGTGAACAACAGCTTGAAGAAAATAAATTAATAGGACTTAAAAGCAACTATCTGAACACCCAATCATACTTCTTTACCCTAGAATTGTACCCATCAGACGGCATCCCTTTCGAGGGACAGGCAGGGAATGAAGCTATATATTGTACAAGATGCTAAACAAGCATAAAATTTCACCAAAAAGAAAAAAAAAAGGAAAGAGAAAGAAGAAGGAAAAAGATAAAGAGAACCAACATCATATCATCTGTTCTCAAGTTTACCAATAGTCATCGCCTATTAACAACAAAGTAATAGTGCGGCTGGCACATTCTATAGAGGACACCATTTTTTCTTTTTTCTCGTTATGACAATTTCAATCCCCTCCAAAATAAATAAAATGCTACTTTTCTGTGCATCCAAAAACCTAGACATTGTGAATTTGGGGACGTTTAGATGTCATGTTCGGTTGAGACAACAAATGTGGAGAATCAAAAAAGGAAAAGAGGGGGGAAGAGGAAACAAACAAAATCAGGTAAAAAGATTTTAAGGCAGAAAAAGCACACATAAATACTTATGTGTCTAAATGAGCAAACCAATACCTTGAAATGCTCGAATGCTAAATCAAGACGACATGCACCAACCACACCACTTGGAATATTTAGCCGTTTGACATAAGAAACTGAAACAAAAAAGAACCCTAAATGAGGATTTGTAAATGATATCAACATTCTTTATGCAACACAAAATCAAATTTACAGCACATTCAAAATGCCCATGTATACCATATAAATAAAGCACCAAACAACCTAAAGTGAAAACAAACAAACTCATCAATTGGATGAAACTTGGTGGTAAAGAATAGCATAATGATAAAAATCCTATAACCAACCAAATGAACTTCAGTAATAGATGATGAATCCTTGATAAAAGACAAAGCACATCTAACTTCCGACAAATATTACTGCTAAAAGTATTGCAGAATTTGAAGTATTCAGACACAAGAAATACACCTGCATCGCCAAGATCCATGAAGAAACGGAACACTGGACCATTTCTTTCACTTTTTGAAACCGCTGCAAACATCTTCTTGAGCCATTCTGGAGTCCTACAAAAAAAAAATGAAGGAACAATTGAACTAGCAACATCAGTTTCAACTATGGAACTGCAAGGAGTGGCAGAAAGAATCCCAACAATTGTCCATCTGCCTACTCCTATTCCATCTCCTCTTGACTCTAGACATCATTTTCCAAAGGCTACCAGACTTCACACAGATTGGTGAATGGCGGCCAACTTGAGGTTGATAAGGGAAAACCTTTCGAATATAAAATTATGATGCAGGTTAAGGGACTCTCAAATGAAGATTTATTAGTTTCCAATCCCGTCTCCCTCAACGTCTGCAGGTTTCTTGCTACTTTTCTTAATCCTATTGCCACTTGCCAATCACAGGCGTTGGCCTTGTCCCAGCACATATATTTGTGAGATAGTTCATGTATATCAATTAAATATAGCCATAATGCATAAGAGAGAGCCAAAGTCAGTATTAATCAGTTCAGAAGTATCATACTCTGGAACACTAAAACCAAATTAGAATCTATAATTAAGAACCTTCAAAGCCGCACCTGACCTAAACTACCCTTAACATTTTGCAATAACCAGCACATGATGGATTAGGTTGGCGACACATTTTGCCGCTAACCAGTACTAGTAAGGCTAGCAGATAAAAAAAAAACTAAAGAAGACGAACACTGTAAGAAGACAAGAGATTATACCTTTTTGAAAGGAATGGTATATCAAAATGGGTTGAAACCGCCATGAGACCGGTTCCTGAAAGGTCACACATGCTAAATACTTGACCAACAAAGGCCGGCCCAGCTCGCTGGTCCCTGACGGATTTAAGGCCGGAAATCTTGACGGCGGAAGGAAACCCAGTGGCAGACTTAGAACCCATGTTCTTAACGGTGGGCGACGACGAAGATTGTGCGACTGGTTCTGCAGAAGCTTGAGGGGATTCGGGCTGAAACGAGTCGAACTGAGGAGAAGCTAGCTGGGCATAAAGAGGTGTTCGCAGGGATGAGTCCGAAGAGAATAGAGGGAACAGAACATTGGAAGAAGATGATGGGGAGGAGGGTGGGGTTTTGAAGGTGAGGAAGGATGGGGAATTTGGGGAAGTGAATTGAATGAATCCGGATAAGGGGTTGGTTCGATTTCTGGTGTTGGGGTCACTAGAAGTTGCAGGCGCCATGGGAGGAGAGGAACCCGAGAATCTTCAGAATCCAATCAATCAAAGCTCAGTGAAAATTACGGTCCATCAAATCCATCGTTATGTGTTCTTCGCTGAGATGACGGGAAGTTGGGAGGCCATATCCGTATTGGACCGTTTCCGGGGACAAAAATATAAATAAATAAATAAAATATCATGCTATCTCTCTCTATTGCAGAAGCTCGAGCTTTCAGAAAAATTAATTAGAATTGCAAGTAGCCCCCAAATATATTTTTTTTGAATAAAAAAAACGAAAATATTTTCTAATTTGCGTTACTATATCTTCTAAATGATCAATGATAGCGTTCGAACACTTCCATGTTTACGAAGGTGCAATTAGATAACATTATAATTTACAAATTTCTAATCCGAGATAAAATCAACATATGCAAAATTATCTCCTGAATATTCACACTGACTTCACCAACACAATAAGTATATCCGCAATCAAAATTGACTGTAATGCCAAGGGATGAAAAATTCTCCTTTGTAGATTTTCCTTGATAAGTAAATCAACATTATGTAAATCTTTAATTTCGTCTCTATTTCGCACATCATCAAACGTAAAATTCTGCAACAAATTCTCATGTCATCTTATCAATACCCCTAACAACTCATTGTTAACCTTTGTGCCAAACCCAATGATAAAAGTACCGAAAGCCAAATCCACTCGTAAATATTATCGTCGACCTTTTTAACTCGATAATAAAGTTGGCAAAAATATAAGTGACTCGAAAACATTCGCACGGACTTTTTGGACAATTTTCAAGCTCAACGGTAATGTTGATGAGAGAAAAACTCGCCTTAAAACAATAACATCGATTGTGTCAAAGAATTTTTTTTTTCCTGATACAATGAAGGAGGCCAATGACCTAAATACTAAGCGATCACATCAAAAAAATGAAACTCACGATCAAGTCATATTCCAACTACGTGAGCGAAATACAAAAAATCTAATAAGAAAAACACAATTTTTTTTCTAAAAACATATTGTAGGGTGTTCACTATGGCAACAGTGGCTAATCTCTCTCGTTCATTGTAGGGATTTCGATTAGTCCGAAAATTGGCCTAAGAATATAAAGTTGTTCCTAGCACATGACAATGTTCAAACAATCGACCTATATATGGTTAAGAGTGTAGAAATCCTTACCATTTTATTATACCCTTTGATCGTGTCGTCGACTTGCTGAACCCAACGTCAAAGCGGACGAAATCCGAATTCCTCTGTAAACTTTTTTTTTTTGTTTTTTATTTTTTGTCGACTTTCGAAGACAAATCAATAGGAACAAAATTATCTTTTAGATATTCACATTGTATCCACTAACCGGCCATCAAGTCGAACAAAGCAATCAAAATTGTCATAAAATCATTAATTTCAACTCATGAAACTTCCTTAGAACTATAAAATCAATGGATGAAAAATTCTCAAGTCAAACTCTCTCGACGACTTTATTGTTTTTTTCTTGGATGAGTGAATCAATGTGATACAAAGTCTGTAATAAACTTGTATATGCATTTGTATCTCACCGAATACTAAACTCTGTCTCAGAAAAACAGCCAACTTTATTAAACTAAAACAATAAGATATAATAAATTTTTTTATGGCATTGAAAGTACTAAACTCCCATTTGCACTTATCTGCATCCTAATAATGTATACTTAAAGTAATAAAATTTTGCCAAGTTACCGAACTTGATGATGGTAAAGTAGAAAAAAGTCAAATTCAATTGTTAACATCTGCGTTGAGATTGTAGTCAACGTCTTTAACTTGACGATAAAGTCGATGAAAAGAAAATTACTTGAAAACATTCATGTCGATGTTTTGGTCGACTTTAATATATCAACAATAAAGTTGACGTACCAAAATTTACTTGAAAACATTCGCGTCAAAATTTTTGTTGAGTTTTATTACTCGATGGTAAAGTCAACAAAACAAAGTTCTTTTTACAACATTCGCATCGACCGTTTTTTCAAATTTTTACTTGATAATAAAGTCGACTCACGTTGACTTATTTTTGGGTCAATTTCCCAAACTATACGAAGAAATCAATGAGAAGAAAATTCTTTTTAAAACAATAAGATCGAGTTTTCAACAAATTTACTTGAAAACATTCGCGTCAAAATTTTTGTTGAGTTTTATTACTCGATGGTAAAGTCAACAAAACAAAGTTCTTTTTACAACATTCGCATCGACCGTTTTTTCAAATTTTTACTTGATAATAAAGTCGACTCACGTTGACTTATTTTTGGGTCAATTTCCCAAACTATACGAAGAAATCAATGAGAAGAAAATTCTTTTTAAAACAATAAGATCGAGTTTTGTGTTGAATTTCTAACAGCAACTAAATTCTCTTGAATTTGATCATAGAATACAAATTATAACAACAATCGTCATAAAATTAAAGTTAAACATGGTAATAACATCACTTTTCGTGCAATATATTATCAAAAATTTTAAAATCTAACTTTGGAATTTGCGTCAACAATAATGAGGTAAACTGGTAAGGCGTGAACACTAACAAAATATTATTCTCAATCGCGCAATAACTAGCTTTTCAGCATTGCACATATTGTGTTTCCCCTCTTATTTCAGTCCCTTCTTCGTTGGCTTATTCAGATATTCTTAATTGCAATACATATTTCTCATAAAAAGTAACATTCAATCTTCATTTGCCAGCTTTCATACAACCTATTACGTACACATTCAGTAGCTGCATTATCATTTGAATACATACTTCACCAACCCAGGAATGTGAATGTTCATAAAATAGTCTTCCCAATGAATGCTCTTTGGATCAAAATAGAACGTATTCTCACCGCCGTGGTTCCTCACGGTTCGACGTAATATTTCTGTGTTCATGTCATCAAAACTGCAAAACCCCCAACATAATGTGGATGAAACGCAACTTCTCTTTTGATTTTGCAAGAAGTGTTTCAAATAATCAAAATCAGTTATAAAGACATACGGGAAAATCCAAGTACTAGTCACAAGATTTAGGAAAATTATAGAGTTTAGTCCCAAACTATTCAACTTTAGAAATTTCTCTTCAAAATTTAGACAAGTGATGAAAATTTACTTTCGTAAATTTTAGAAATCTCTTAACAGTTGACTGTACTTTTCCAAAGTTGACCACATTTTTTATTTTTAATATTGTTAAGTCATTGTTTTATCTATTTAATTAAATATTTTTTGTATTTTTTTAATTATTAATTTTTTTTATAGTCATCAATTTTTATGATTAAATAAAAAGGTGATACCCCCATCATTTCATACAAAAAAAAAAAGAGTTAATTGAACATAAAAAAGATGACTTGACATTTTTTTTTATAAAAAAACTGGGCGGCCCTAGCAAGAATCGGAACCATCGACCTTCTGATAATAACTATTCACATCCTAATCCCCTATAACCACCCCACCCAACCCTCCCACTCCAAATGACTTGACACTTTCAATAATAAAAAATATAGTTAATTGACGGAATATGCAGTTACATATTAAGACACTCCTAAAATTAAGTGAATTATTTCCATCACTTGTCCAGACTTTAGGGAAAAATCCCAAGAGATTAATAGTTTAGGACTAAACTCGGTGATTTTCTCAAACATTAAGACTAAAACATGGATTATCACAAAGACATAACACACAACAACTTACACTCCCTTAAAGAACAGGTACGGTGCGTAGAGATCTATCACCCGCATTACGTATTTCAGTTTGCGGTTAAGGTCATGGTACGTTTCACCAAAATATTGGAAAAGTGCAATATTCAAAATCCGTAATCCCTGGAATTTTTATTTTTTATTTTTTTTAAAAAAAAAAGAAAGAAAAAAAAAAACACTTCAGCCAATCAGGAAAATAATAATTACGATGAATATACAGGGGTGGTTAATTCTTTATAGAGCAAACTAGTATAATCTCAAGTTTGGTGTTGAAGAAATTTTGTGCAAGAAATTAAAAAAAAAAAAAAAAACCTTTAAAGGAAGCACGTGACGAAGAGCCATGTATCTTCGAAAGCTGTCCATAGTTTTGAAAATGGTGAATTTCCCTACTTTAATAGGCTTTCCTTGTTTGTCAACCCATGGATGCTTTGCAAAGTAGCTCTGAATATAACCTTGAATTGAAGAATATATCATCGGATTTGATACTGATGAACCAATTTGATAAATGGGATATTCGCTTGGCCGGTTTGCATGAGCCACCAAGGCCGCTATCATTGCATTCACCACCATATCAGCTGGGATCTGAACATATTTATAGTACTTTTTTGGTCAATTTTGTGAAATGCAAAATCATTGTAGACACGAGCTTGTAGTAGTATCCTTTCAAGATGTCTCGTGATTTCTTTAATGATAGAATTAATCATCGCGGGGTCTAATTCGTTAGTGTACAATACTAGTGTTATGTATCTTGAAAATGCTTCAAATAACTAGCTAGTCATTCAATCACAGTACTTTCCTTTATTTGTATTCCAAACATTAACAAGCAAGGTAAGATTGATTCCCATCGCTGTTTAATCTCTGTTCTTGAATGGAACGGATCTTTTACATGTTAAACTAGGATGCCTCTTCAGTGCAAAATAGTTTAAATTCTCCACCATGCGCTAGTTTTTTTAAAAAAAAAAAAAAAAGAAAAAAGGAAAAGAAAATCAAATGAAAGATACTTACAACATCGATTATGGTCGTAGGCTCTCCCAGAAAGAAAGTGATTTTCCCTTTAGCAAAACCAACAGCAATGCTATCAATGGTTCTGAAATTTAAGATATTTTTCAACAGTTTCAAATTTTTGATCAGTGAGATATACAATTTCTTTTTTTTCTTTTTTTTTTAAAAAAAAAATCCTGTGGAGGGAAGTCATCATATATCTGGTATCAAACCAACAAAAAAAGAAAAAGAAAAAAAGAAATAGAGGAGATAATATGATAACTTTACCTCATTCCTTCAACCCAACCTGGGAAAGGCTCTTTATATGTACTTGTGATTATAGTAGGTCGAACAATGACCAGAGGGATATTGCCTTTTGAACTCCCCAAAAGCATCTCTCCCATTGCCTTTGTAAACACATACGTATTTGGCCATCCAAATTTTCTTGCCCTATATTTTTTTTTCCCAAGTCAAAGAAAAAAGAAAAAAGCAGACTATAAAAGAAACAAGAATAAAAATACGTAAGAAGGAAACTACCTTTGGGTCCCTAGATCCTTCATAGCTAATTCTACATCTTGTTCGGTAGCATTCACAGCCCAGAGCTTTTCTAATTTTCTTTCAATTATTTTCTTCTCATTGTCAATATTTAATTCGAATGTGCCGTTAAGAGTTTCACCCAAACCATAAGGGGTCTCCCGAATCACTCCCACTTTTTCTCCAGATACGTAGGCTGGGGGTTTATCATAATGAAGTCTTAATTAGTTCAACCAATATATTTATTTTTCCCTTTTGAAGAAATTAAAAAGACTGAATGAAGATATGATATCTTATGAATGGCTAATTTACCTGTTGATACATGGAGTAACACCTTTATTTTAGTGCATCTTTTAGAAAATTTCAGGACATGCTTGGCTCCCAATGTGTTGATGCGAAAAGATACATCATATCTAGAAAAAATAATTATATATTGTTGAAGAAGCAATTAATCCCAATTAAATGCATAATAAAGTGGTACTCTCTACTTTCCAAAATTACTGTTCTGTTTTTATATTTTTTATTTTTAATTCAAATTATAGTAAAAGTGAAATTTTAAACTGGACAATAATTTTGAGACATGTGTTATATTATTAGACTTTGGCATTTTTAGTGTTGTCTTAATTAATTGTAGCGTGCCTTCCTTCTGAAAGGGAGCATTGGAATGGTCCGATCTCAAAAAATAATTTTACATACCTCTCATCAAAGTTTGTAGTAGCAGCAAGGTTAACAACAGTATCTACATCGTTCCACATCTCTTCCAACAGATTCAGATCCTGAACTCCTAAATTCTTCTTGCTAATATCACCAGCCACAACTGTAATCTTCTGGGCAATAATCAGAGCACTCAAGCTTGGTCCATATTTCTCTTTTACAACCCTGAACAAGTCCTTTGCTATAATCTAATTATCGTACCAACAAAAGGTGTGTTACCAAATATTTATTGACCTATAATAACAAATATAATTATGAAAAAATAATCTCATCGAATATACACTGAGCGTAGTTTATCTTCCAATAGAATATTCTACAATATATATACAGTCATTGTGTATACAATATACTTTTTATAACCCGAAATGATTATTTGATTTTAATTTCATTTATAATACAAGATAAACAATTTGGATATCATAGTCTTTTAAGATTAATACAGTATATATAAACAATTCTGTGATATATCAACCATATAATAGTTAGGCATATATAAGTAGATGATTATTGTCCATAATAAACACGAATTAATTAATATGTCATATTTATCATGTACACCAACCGAAAGTTGGTTCAACCATAAATGTGTTAAAATCCCTTTGAACTTGAAAAACAAGTGAAAGACATTTGTCCACATTGGAATTGGGAATCTAACTTGATCAACATATATACCCTATGTGTTATTTTCCTCATTGCTAATTGGTTTTGAGGTGAAACTACATGTTAACTTATATGGGTCTTCAAAATGAAAATGTACCTCTGAATTGAACCGTTGCAGGGCTGACTTGCTATCTGGCGCCCTTAGAACAAGATAGAGTTTCCTTACATTTGGTTCAACCCTTAGTATTTTCTCAATAAAAACTGCAGCCAAAAAAACCCAAAGAATCATAACGAGCATTTTCTCTAAGTTTAATTTCTTTTTTTTTTCCCCTTTGTATTTGTGTACAAAAAAAATTACAGCCAGAAAAAAGGAAGAATGCGCGCAATATGGACGTAGAAGGGGAGAGAAAAGAAGTACTCTTTGCAAGAAATCCAGTTGCACCAGTGACGAGAATACTGCTATTCTCCAGGGCTTGAGCAATATTGCCCAACTCCATTTATAGAATTTGAGCGGAATGGACAGACAAAATGTTCTGTAACCAAAGGCTCAAATGCAGAAACAAATTATTTAAGTGCAAAAAAACCGAAAAAAAAAAGCAGAAGAGCGAGAGAGATTCAAATGGGAATATTGAGAGAAATATGTGTTTGACAAATGAATGCCCTTCAAAGCACGCATATATATAGTCGAGGCCGGCAATGTCCTTCAAAGGCAATAAACAATGGATCGCATGCATGCTTTTGGATAGGCCAGAATAACCCTAATTGTCTTTTGATGAGCAATGGTATTTAACTGAAGAATAGTTTAGATGAAGCCGAGGTTAGCGTGGTATCTGGCAGTAGTACTTTTTGTGTGTGTGTGGATGAGTTCCAGGTGGGCAGTTGTCTCAAAAGAATCGACATTGTTCTTGTCTAACAACACGTCAGTAATCTACTTCGTTCACGTTTTTATGTATTTGTCAATTGATACCCTGTTGTTAAATCTTGCTCATGTCACAACACATCATCAACCGTAGCAATTAATACACGTGTTTTCTTTAAGGAGACCAATTACGCGACCAAATTAGATAGATTAAACTGTGTCACATATATCATTTGTTAAATTTCAATGCAAATCACTTGCATCGACGCGTTGTGGAAATTTTTTAAACTTGCCATTAGAATTGAGACCGTGATTAAAAGGTTAAAAATACGACTTATTTGATATCTTTTACCAACGAATTCACTAATTTTGTAATAAGATTTTATGTATTTGACTGAACCAGAAAGTATTATTACTAACAACATTTATCTCGTCGTATAAGATACCTATAGATGGAAGTAGTCCACTTCAAAACTCTTTTTTATGTTTTGCTTTAATAAAGCCATGCATTTTTATTTTTTTTTTTGTGATATTTGTAGGGCGATAACAATGATTAACTTCTTACTGAGCAGCGGTCAATTCCAAATTTCCAGTAGTAGGACAATTAGCTGAGACAAAACCTAAACAAATGCACTAAGAAGAGGCGAACAGAATGTATAAACATTATCAGGAAGAGGCGAAATTTATAGTTAAGCGCGAACCATAATCTACTAGCATTCAGTCTTCTATACTCATAGCATCAGACGCCATTCTTATTTCTTAGAGTTAGATTTCATTTATTTTAGGAATTTTGTTCCCATTTACCGTTCAGTTGAAGATTTTGGATTAAGGAAAATACTCCCTCCGGTAGTTATTATAAGACATTTTGATTTCGTCCTAAGTTTAACCTAGAATGTCTTTTTAATTAGAAAAAAATCTTAAAATATATTTTTACATTCGTTGTGCTCTCATAATTATTATGAAATGTTTTTAAAATTTTTATTTCAATTAAAAAGATATCTTAGGTGAACTTAAGACAAAATCAGAATATCTTATAATAAGGACCGGAGGAAGTACTACATATATTCTAATTAGTTAAGGCATGGTAAAAATCCATATTATATATGTTTAAAAAATAGTACCTAAATTTATTCCATTTTTAAATGAAGGCTCAAAATAATTATCACGAGAGTACCAAAGTAGTAATCAAAAATAAATGAAAACAATTTATTTTTAATTTCGACATAGGCATCAACTCTCTTTATTGTAACAAAAAAAAAATAAATGAAAACAATTTTGGGCATAGTATACTCAGATTTAACATGTTAATTAATGGATGTTGAATAAGAACACAAGAAATATTAGGCACGCAATGTCACATTGTTTTTTTTTTTTTCTTTCAGTAAAGAAGATGAAACTTGAAAATTTAATTTTTTAATACTATAATCAAATAGACGGGATATTGAAATTCGCGCAATTAATGCAAATGGGCAGCTGAATTAGTTAAGGTTTAAGAATTAAAGATTGCCAACCTTCCTTCCTAAAAGCGAAGAAGAACAGGTTCAGAAGCACAGTCTCACGTCTAATTTGGTTTAATTAAATGCTCCGGTAAAGAAAATTTACTGCTGTTGGGGGCCAGGAAAATTACCGACGGTAGAGCCGGGAAGCTAATTCCGCCGTTTATCAATTCTTCAACCGGGATCTAACTGAAAGTACCCTCTACTCCGTAGGAATTGACCCTGTTGGAAACTCGGGCTGCAATCGGGTAAGTGAAATTTAGGGTTTATACTCCTCAATCTGTATTGCTAGTGTTGATTCGTAACCTTATTTAGTTATTAGTTCTTCTTCCACGAAGGATTTCTTACTGTTCTTTTCCACATGGCCTAAAACCCCGAAAATGTCGCCCCCTTCTTGTTTTATCGCTTTTGTTGTTGGATCATGATCTCGATTAGGCCCGGTGAATCATGCTCCGTCAATTTGATTGATGTTCCGTGTTCATTTTGATTTTTGTCTTCCCTGTTGGGTTTTCATTCAATGCGTGCAATGGCTCTCAATTGACTTCGCCATAGTGTCAATGACGGTCCTTTAACGTCTTGTTTGCCAGTTTGAAGTAGAATGTCCTGTATTATGTAGTATATCGTGATAGTTAGTTTATGCTGGAATATTCACATGCTTTCTGATTTCTGTTAATAATGCGGAGGGAATTGAGTTGGAGATTTGGTTGTGGGTTATTTGCGCCAAGTGCTGTATTTATGTTCAATGTCTTAATGCTTCTCTGAAAGTTATATGACCAAATATTCATGTTGCTCTTTTTAGTTGTGGGTTATTTGCGCCAAGTGGGTTATTTGCTCTTTATCTGTTGTTGATGATAACTTCTCATGACTGCAGTTTAAGGAAGCATGGCTGGCTCTGGAGATAACGGGGCACTTTTTCCAATCTTCATTCTGTCCACAATTGCCATACCTTTAGTACCTTATACAATACTGAAGTTATTTCGTGGTTCCTCTAAGACGACATCACATAACCATTGTGAGTGTTCACTTTGTTCTCAATCTGGAAAGTACAGCAAAACAATTTCTAGCAAGGTGGGTCATCTATCTTTTGATTGGTGTGCAACGTGTAGAATGTTGTGATTGATTGTAAACTGATGATTGCTTTTGGCCTTTTCTTCAGAAATCCAGCTTTTTTACATGCCATAATTTGATGCTAATACTTCTCTGGATCTTTGTTGGGTTCCTTGTCTACTATGTTAAGAATTTGAGTCGCGAGGTAATGATGCTGCCTTTAGTTAACTTGTTAATTCACAGATTTCATGTTCCAACTTGAATTGCCAACTGATATCTTAACAAATTTATGTCAATATGTAATTTGAAAAGTTGTTGCTTTGTTTGTTTGTCGTCATTTTTGCAGATTCAAGTTTTTGAACCATTCTCTATTCTTGGATTGGAGCCTGGAGCTTCTGAGTCAGCAATCAAGAAGGCATATCGTAGACTCTCAATTCAATACCACCCAGATAAAAATCCTGATCCAGGTTGAAAGTGTTCTCTGTTGTTAGTCATGACCGCCAAGGTTGAATGTGCTTATAATGTACTTTGTACTGATAGTTTTTGTGCTTATCCCATACAGCTGCTAACAAGTATTTTGTGGAGTATATATCCAAGGCCTACCAAGCTCTGACTGATCCCATTTCTCGTGAGAATTTTGAAAAATATGGGCATCCAGATGGAAGACAGGTGAAATTCTTTTCATCTTGTGGGAGGTTTTCTGTATTCATCCACATAAAGGGGAAAGAAGCATTGAATTACCTTTGGGAGTCAAACTGTGAGGAAAACATAGACATTTACTTAGCATATTATTTCGTTGCAGGGATTTGAAATTGGCATAGCTCTTCCTCAATTTCTGCTAAATATGAATGGGGAATCAGGTGGAATACTGTTGCTCTCAATTGTTGGCCTTGTAATATTGTTGCCACTGGTGATGGGTGTTATATATCTATCAAAATCTTCAAAATATGCTGGCAATATCAAGCGTGAAACACTTGCTAGCTACTTTCAGTTGATGAAGCCAATGTTGGCCCTAAGGTACACTCTTCAGGCCTCATTGATGAGTTCTTGGTAGTTTTACCGGTACAAAGTTGATGCACGACTCATAATGACGCTTCTTCTGTGTTTCTGTACTTTTCAATTATCTTTTCATATCTGTGTAAACATCGTGTGACAACTGGCAGCATTTTTAGATTTGAGCGCTCTTGTTTCCAGTGATTACTGGTTATCACCTTCACTGGCTTATTCTGTTGCCTTTGGGTTTGTTAGTCTTAAGTATGTTTGATTTTTTGTGAGGAATTAAAATGTAACTTCAGAGTGGTAGTTGTGAAGCATCCATTCACTCCGTGAAATTTCCAAAAGCATCTTACAGTTTCAGATTGCTTGGAATATGTTAAACATTTCTCTAGAATTAGTCTCTTTTATGGTTTAGGTATATTGTCATCTGTGACGGCTGAATATTCTTTTCCAATTGTACAGAAAAGTTTTGGAAGTCTTTGTTGAGGCCGATGAATTAAAGAGTATACCGATCCGAAGGACTGATGAAGAACCCATTCAGAATCTCTTCAAGATTGTAAGAAATGAATTGATCCTGGAAAATAAGAACACGAAACAGGAAGAGGCGAAATTTTGGAAGCAGCACCCAGCAATAGTTAAGGTAAAAGTTAAAGATGAATTCTCATATTACAGGTGTTGGAGTTTCTCTTTGTTCAAATTCCCGATAGTCTGAATGGATTGTAGGTCTACTTTTTCACCTCTTTGAGAATTCCTCTTTTGTTTCCCATCTTTCAGACTCAATTGTTATTGCAAGCGCACCTGAATAGGGAGACAGCAACTTTGACTTCAGATTTGCTTAGTGACTTCAATTATGTGCTGCAACTGGCACCTCGGCTACTCGATGAACTAATGAAGGTGATATGAGTTATGGTTGATATTTTAGTTCATCTCTGTGTGTGTGTGTGTGGCCCTTTTTCACTCATGTTGTACATGCATCTACCAGCTTTCAAGGTCAAGGTTTGAGGTTCTGGGAGAGCCTAAACTTGCCTCCTGCGACTCCCACCTCCAATACTTGTTTCCTATCCTAATTTTGTTTCCACCCTTGAATCTCTCTGATTATTGCAGTGATGCATATGTTTGTTTTTTAATATTTTCATTTTCCTGAATTCGTGTTGTGTTTGATCTTTGATGTTCCACTGATAGATTATTTACACCCTGCTCACAGATGGCGATCATACCTCGCAATAACAAGGGGCATGGCTGGCTTCGGCCTGCGATTGGGGTTGTTGAGCTATCACAGTGCATTACTCAGGTAACTCTAATCTATTTATACCAGAAAGATCTGGTTCTGGCCTTTGAATTTCATTCGGCCTTATTTTTCCCTTCTAATCAAATGTGGTACAGGCTGTTCGACTTAGTGCAAGAAAGGCATCTGGAGGGTCCACTGAGGGCATTGCTCCTTTTCTGCAACTTCCACACTTCAAAGAGGCTGTTGCTGAGAAGCTTGCAAGCAAGGTATGCAGATTGTTTTTTTTCTTTACTTGATTCAGTCTTCCGAATTAGAAATTAGCCTGGATTGGTGGCACCTTGAGATGCTTTAATATTGGGGTGGCTTCGGTTATGACAAATGAGAAAGGTCGATTATCTTGCTAAACTCTGCAATACCTGGTAACTATATTTCATGTATATTCCAGATTTTAATTTACATATATATTCCGGATTTTAAATGAATTAATTCTAACTTATTTGTGCTCTTTCTGAAGTATAAATGTTGATGCATCCTGAACTTTTGTTTGCATGCAAGGATTCGATATTTAAAATTCTTGTCTATTAGCAGCTTGATATGAATCCAGTGAATGAGCAATCTTCCACAGTAGCTAAGTAGTTGATTCCCCGCGTATGTTTATTTGCAGAAAATATCATTCCGGGAGCTTCAGGATATGACTGTTCAAGAACGTGACAAATTGCTTACAGAGACGGCTGGTTTATCAGATACACAAGTACAAGATGTGGAGAAGGTTCTGGGATTTATCCCCTGTACCACTTTGGAAGTTACTTGTGAGACTGAGGGGGAGGAGGGAATACAAGATGGTGACATAGTCACTTTGCAATCGTGGGTACAATTTAAGCGCGGTAATGGCTTGATTAAGGCGTTCCCACATGCGCCTTATTATCCGTTCCCCAAAGAAGAAAACTTTTGGTTTTTGCTAGCTGACTCGAATTCAAATAGTGTGTGGTTTTCACAAAAGGTCAATATTATGGATGAAGCTGCAGCTGTAAGTGCTGCTTCGCAAGCAATAGAGGAGAAAATGGAAGTCCTTGGAGCAACAGGTGAAGAAACTCGTGCCCGTGTAAAAGAAGCAGTTGATAGAGTTAAGAGCGGTTCCCTCCTTGTCACGGGCAAATTCTTGGCCCCAACTGAAGGAACATACAACTTGACATGTTATTTGCTCAGTGACTCCTGGCTAGGCTGTGACAGGACGATGAGCTTAAAAGTAAAAGTCCTGAGACGCAGCAGAACTGCATCTGGAACTCGAAGAGGTCATGCTATGGAGGAAGAAACTGTTATGGAAGATGAGAGTGAAGAGGAAGAAGATGAGATTGAAGAAGAAAATGGTGAATATGAGAGCGAATACAGTGAAGACGAAGAAGATGAACCGGAGGCGAGTAAAAAGAACGTGGAGGTTAGTAAAAAGAACGCCACAAAGGGGTCTTCAGGCGGGAAGGCAAAGCAGGAGAAGAAGGGATCTAACCAAGGACCTGGTCGTAAGAAGGGCCGGTAGATAGTGCAATACATAAGTTTATAGGTTTGTACTACGACTACCATTTGTCAAGCTCTTTTAGCTGTTTGTCATGATGGGGGTATGTATGTCGTAAAACATACCCTGGTGATATACTGGTAGAAAAGTGGGATTCTTATGATTTTGCATTGACTTTAGAGAGAAGGTAAGATTATTGGAATGCAATTGATGAATACTTGAATAGGGTATACGCCGAATTTTGGTTTCCTGTTCTTAATCTCGACCCTTTGTAATTTGTCAAACTCTGCAGTCGACCCTTTTGGTCAGCCACCCGAAAGATTTAGGAATCACAATTAACTTAATTTTGGTCTGTGAGAAATAATGTTATGTGCCTTTAACATAATTTCTTATTTTTTCTACCTCGAAATAATTGTACAATTTGGATTTTCATTTCTTGTATAAATGAAAATTCAAGTAATATTATTTTGCGAGAGAAAAATTGGTTTTTTTTTTTTTAATTTTGATCTACTATTAAGTACTGTACTTTACAAAACAGACTATAATTCGGCTATATCGGAGGACTGGAATGGGGCAGAGGGAATATCCAGCTGCACCGAGCTACAACAACGGAATATCCGAACATTTTTCGGGCAAGGCCAAACGACAGTACTACAAATACTTACGTATTTTGGACACTCGGCGTAGTTTTTATTGTAAGGAAATGGACAAATTACAAATGCAAAATAGGGCAACATTTCCCCTGTTACCTAGAAAAATAATTCTACTCTTTTTTATTATTATTATTTTTTTTGATAGAGCTACTCTTTTTTATTTTGTCTTTAAATAATGTTTGTCATGCTTATTGCAGTATGGTTTTAGTTTATAGAATAATCATTTTAGGACTGAATAATTTTATAAAACTCTTTTTTGTTCTCTGTTTTCTCTATTCGTATTCTTTTTGGGGAGGATTTTTCAAGCTACAAATTTTAGTCCTTTCAGCCACTAATTTTGAGATATTCTCATTTTGCCCCGGTCATTTTGTCCAAATCCAAATGCACTAGGGAGAGAAAGAGAATGAGCAACTCATAGGTAAATTAAAAAAATTAAAAAAATAGACCGAACTGGGCAATGAAACCGTCCCGGTTTGAGAGAAAACAGGCAAGAAACCCAATTAGCAATAGAGAGAAACAGGTATATTGCCCGTCCGAACCAGGTGAAACTGATTTGGACGGGCAATATATCTGTCCCGGTTGAACCAATGATGGGCAAGGAACTCGTCCCCCTTTTTGGTCGCATGAGCAAGCCAGCCGTCTGACTCAATAGGTCAGATAAACGGGTATATTATCCGGTTCGACCGAAATCGGGACGAGTTTCTTGTCCGTTCTGTTTTTTAATTTATTTTATTTATTTTATTTTTTTTCAAAGATTTATTATTTAATTCATGAATTGTTTAGTTGATTATTTGTTTAGTAAAAGTGATTGAAAATTATTTAGTTTAGTTTAATTAATTAGATAAGTTTTACGATTTAATTAGTTATGTTAATTAATTTAATTAGTTGAATTTCATTTAGTTTGGTTTAATTAATTAGAAATTATATTATTTTATTTGCTAATTTAATTAATTATAGTAATTTAAGTTTAGGTATGGGGAAATTTAATAAATTTTTTTGATTTGTTGAATATTTTTTTTATAATAATTGTGTTTAATGTAATTGTATGTTTTTTACTATTTCTTATAATTGTAATTAATGTTTAATTTAGTTTATTATAATTGACATTTGCAGGATTCTTTCGAATAGTTGGGTGGCGATAGTGAAGATTACAGTCAAGTGTTTGCTACATATGAGGAATTTGTACAAAAGCAGGATGCTATTGATTGCATGAAAAACACGTGCTTAACAAATGATATGATAATAAATGTAGTTTCTGGCAAGGGAAAGAAAGGTGTTTTGATGAGATGTTGTAAAGGTGGAAAGGTCAGTGCGTCACTCGAAGATGGTGAAGAATATGTCTCAACGGATACGAAGACATAAATCACTGGTTGTTAATTTAAGGTATATGTGCACTTATTTGGTGAAAAGTGGTGCATTCGTGTGTCTCCTGATGAGTTTGGAATGCATAACCATTCCCTGTTTGACGAAGATCATCCTACGAGGGGCCTTAGCGATGGAGTGAAACAGCTTATACAGGGTATATGTCTAAAGATGGGTACAGACCGTGTCAAATACTGGCAGCGATTGATAGGAAATTTCGAGATAAAGGCGTTAACAAACGGCAAGTCTATAATTACAGGAAGAAATTGCGTAGTCAGGGGTTCCCAGTCTTAGATAACTCGAGTGCCATGGATGTCGCGATGAAGACACTGTGGCAAAGCATCATCGTTACATCATTATGACAGATCACAATGAAGAGACAGGTGCGCTGACTCGTGTTTTTTTTGCACATCCTGATTCTGTCAATTTATGTTGCACTTATTTCTGGGTCGTCGGGATAGACTCTACATACAAAACGAACAAGTACAAAATGCCGTTGGTTGAGTTTATTGGGATGACACCGTATAACTAGACCTTCTTCATTGCATACACACTTTTGATCGAAACTGTTGAAAGTTATTATTGGGCTTTGAGACAGTTTAGAGATTTGCTTCCTGGTAATTTGTATCCGGCTGTCATTGTTACTGATCGGGAACCAGGGTTGATGGCGCCTCTGAGTGTGATTTTTCCAGACTCCCAGCACCGCCGGACGGCTTTCTTGCCCGTTCGGACGGCCAGATTTTTTTTTTTTTTTCTATTTTCTTCTATAAAACACAATTTTGAGACAAAAAAAACTTAACTTTGATGAGATCGGCTCTTTCCCGCTTCAATTATTCTGTGTTGCCATCAATTTTGGCTCAAAATAGACTTCAAATTGGTGTTTTAAAGATTGAAGGTTGAGAGAGTTTTCTCTCCTTTGGTTAGTTACAAGTTTGAAATGGAAGTGGTAATATCAAAATTTACAAAAAGTTGTGGCTGAAAGAATTAAAAGTTGTGGCTTGAAATAATAACATATATTTTTTTTTACTGAGTTTAAAATCTGACAGGAGAAACAAACAAAAGAGGAAAGGAAAAAGGGGGGAAAAAAAAAAGAAAAAAAAAGGTGACGTTTGTAAAGGCGTGTGTGGGGAAGGGGTTTTGTCAAGATTCCCACCATCAGGCTCATCGTCATCTTAAATTAACAACAAAAATCAAAAATGGAAGGCTCAAAAGGGCGAAATACTGAAATGGATAGAAGAGAAGCTAAGAGAGGCCCAATCACTTCCCAAATCCAAAACCAGGCCACTTTCACCCAACTACAATATGATTCTTAACAGTTGATACTCGCCTTCTTCATTCACCTTTCCAACAACATCCATTTCCTTTTTCTGAACTTTCCGTTTTCCTGATTGGTTGGTGGCAACAGATTTACTCCTCAACCACAGAAACAGAATATGCTGATAATTGAACCCCCCACCGCCGCCGGCCGATTCCCCTCCCGCAGTTTCGATCACAACCCGACTTGCATCTCCCACTCTGCCACCTTCTTTGTTCCTCGGTAAAATCACTGTCCCAAAAGCTTGAATCTCTTCTTACTCTAGTTCCATTATCCCTTTGAATTGGCATGATCTTGGAAGCAGTTAACGAGGTGGGTTGTTACTATATTTCTATCTTATCCTTTTGCAGGAATCAATATAGAAGATTGATTGATCAGTCTTGCGCCAAAAGCTCAAACAGGAAAAGAAGTGGAATCTGGGCGTCGGCTGCAAAGGAGCTGCCCAGTTCCAGCTCTGGCCCAGTCAAACCCAATGCCAAGCCCCAGAGGTATCATCCATTTGAGGACATTTCGGATTCAGAGTTGAATGAGGATGGTGAGGCCATTCTTAACCCAGCTGAAACCACGAGGACTGTAATTGAGGTGTGCCCATACAGATTTCTTATCCCAATGCTCAGCCGCCTTATGCATTTTTATCTTAATTTTGGGCTTGTTTTTCAGTCTTTCTATTTTGCTGTTAGCATTTGACAACATTTTTCGCAGGTAAACAGTAAAGCCACCCTTATGTTTTCGAGCTTAGTGAATGACCAAGTCCACGAAAATATCTTTTGGCCAGATTTACCTTATGTAACCGATGAACACGGAAGTAGGGTGCTGTATCTCTCTCCTTGTTGTCCTTAGCATTTGCGTTGCTACTTCATTGAAATTAACTTTCTTAGCTTTTTTTGCTCAGACATCTACTTTCGCGTAAAGAATGACGAGGACATTCTTCAAACTCTTTCAAGTGATGAAAATCTTGTGGTAAGATTTTGATAATGAAAGCACTGAAGTAGGTTTACTGTCTCTTTTTGTATAGCTTTGCTGCGTTATTAGTCCGCGGGGCCACTGTCAATTGCTTGCTTGCGTTTGACTGATACACATTCTATCCTAATTATGAATTTGGAGGGGGATGCTGAGCATTAAAGTTTAGCAATAAAAGTTTGTATGCTTGCTTGTGCATCATGTTGTGATGCTCTCTATCCTCATATACATACACTTGGAGGGGATGCTGAGTATTCACGTTTAACAGTGAAAGTTAATATGATTGGGCATCATGTTGTGTTATGTGATGACCTTCAGTCATTGCTTGTGCCTCGTCATAATTCATTAGTTCCACAAATCTTATCTGCTCCAGTGAGAGGACCACGAAAGTTTGCCCCGCGCTGAGAAAATGGGAGCAGTTGTTAACCCATTTCTGAAATGAAAAACAAAATCGTTGGTTGCTTTGCTGTTATCATTTTGATTAATTTTATTACTTTTGAGCACTGAAATAGTTTTAAAGGTAACACCTGATACTGAAAATGTAATGCAGCAAGTTATTATTGGGTTAGACACAGCGGAAGTGCTTAGTGAAATGGAGTCACTTGGTCAAACAGAAATTGCTTTCGACCTTGATGAATTTGACGATGAAGATAGTGATGTTGATGATGAGGATGATGAGGATGAGGATGAGGATGCCGACGGTTATGAAAAGGTAAATATCATCGTAATTTTTAATTGACTCCATAAGTTGCTCTCTATACCGTGCATCATTGCCAATGGCTCCTGATTGAAATTTCTGGGATGCAGGACTGGGTTGCCATTATTGACAATGAAGAAGATGAGGAATCAGATTCAGATGAATCTCTGGGAGACTGGGCGAAATTGGAGACAATGCGTGCTTCCCATCCAATGTATTTTGCAAGAAAGCTGTCTGAGGTAATTTTACCTATGATATAACATATTTCCTCACCTTAGATGGATTAGAAGTCCATTATCATATTCTTCTTTCTCTTCTCAACGGATCCTCTACTCTTTGCCAGGCCGCTTCAGATGATCCCATTGATTTCATGGAGCAGCCACCAGCTGGTATTGCCATTCAAGGCCTACTAAGACCTGCAATTGTAGAAGAACATACTGTGATTCAGAAACAGATATCTGACAACCACTCTAGCGATAATATCACTGACAAGATTGTGAAAATGGAAGGGCACAAAGAAGAAGACGCGACTCGCATTAACGGCCACAAGCATCAGGATGGATCAGCCCAAGAGGGTCTTCAGTGGATGGAGGAATCAGAGACTGATGAGGCATCTGAAAATGGAACATCATTTTACAAGCTAGAAATGGTTAAGATTCAGTTAATTTCAGCTCACGGACATCAGGTGAGTCATAAGGACATTGCCCCCGTGAAGTTGGGCTTACTTCAACTTTGACTCTAATCATGAGATTTTAAGTTGACTGTGATGTGTGTTGAGAGATCAGTTAACATAATGGATAAATTGTACATCTTATATGCTCCAGTTTGCAAATTTGCACTTACCATGGTCTTCACACACTAAAGTTCTCGTCTTTGATGATCATATTCTTAGTTACATATCGGGAGCTTGTTCTAGTGTAATAACTTCCTAAATGTTCAATCTTGGCCTTGCACAGCCATGCCATGTCATGCTCTCAGGTTATCTTGCTGACCCTTTACTATTTACTTTTCAGAGTTTTGTGGAACTAGAAGATTTCCGGAGAGCTCAACCTGATGCAATTGCGCATTCAGCAGCCAAAATCATAAGTCGGATAAAAGCCGGTGGAGAAAAAACTATACAGGCACTTAAATCACTTTGTTGGAGATGCAAGGGTATTCAAGTGGAGGTACAATCCGAAACCAAGTGTTGCCTTCTGACCCTTTCCCTCCTCCATAACTGAATATGATGAACAAATGTGTAAAAGACGGAAAAAGATTCAGGAGAAGATTATTATTGACAGGAATTGACATTATTTATTTAAATGGAAAGAGTCTTTACGGCAATTGAAACAATCTGTGGGAATTTACTTCACTGTTTCTTTTCTGAAGTTCTGACAAGCTTCGTTTTCAGGAGGTGGCTCTTATAGGTATTGACAGCCTTGGTTTTGACTTGAGAGTCTGCTCAGGCACACAAGTTCAAACATTACGATTTTCCTTCAGCAAACGGGTATGTCATTTTGCAACTTGTATCTCTCTGCTTTATTACCTTCAGCGTGCGAAATTTTAATGAATTCTGCACCAACAAATATTTGTGAAAGAGAGTTCCTTTCAATTGTCACAATCTCATTAACTAAAATATCCGGTGTTTGTAGGCCTCTTCTGAATATAGTGCTGAAAGACAACTAAATAGTCTTATTTTCCCGAGGTCCAACCACAAGCAGCAGCAAAAGAAAGAAGCTCAGCAAACTGAACTGTAAGGGTCGGGAAACATTCTTATTTTTGCCTCCTGTTGTTATGAATTGTACATATTATGTAGTAGTCTAGTAGATTATACATTCAGCTTCAACGTATTCTTGTTAGTCCTTCTAAAGGAAGGTGAGAACTGAGAGTCCCTTTGTTTCTGTACTTCTGATTTGATTAGTATAGCTAGATTCTGCTTAACCAATTGTATTCGTATCCTAATAGCAGATTATTATTTTCACCTATTTTAGATTCAAGTGCTGAAGCCTGATTTTTCGGATGTAAAATGCATTAGTAAACAGTTGGATGAAAAAATAATAAGAATAACATCCTAGTAATGATAACACATTGTGCAGATTATGGGATTTTGATTTTTGGTCTGACGTTTTCTGTTGCTGTCCATGTCAATTTTGCATCTCCATAAATGCAGAACTGAAAATGACAAAACGAAATTTATTGACGGAAAAAGATACCAGTATTATTGTTTTTGTTCGTTCTGGAGCTGGGTAAGGCCTGGCCATTAACTAGTACTACTGACTACACAATGTTTACTGCAATCAACAGAGAGGAAAAAAAAAAAGAAAAAAAAAAAGACTCTTCTAGTACCATAAACCATGGAAGGTATCTAATCTCAGTGATCATTCATATAGGTTTCGTACACCATCTGTGCACTGATAAGGTCCACAACAGCAGAACCAACTGATTTGAACACCGTAATCTCCTCCTCATCTCTCCTCCCTACAACCTTCTCTCTCTTGATCAATTCCACCAGGTCACCCACAATATCATCCCTGCTAATCACTCCCCTCTCCAAAGCACCCACCAATTCGCCTGCCTCCACGGTCGCAGCCTCATTATCAATGAACACTCTACTTCTCCTGATGGCCTCATCATCGCATTCCCTCATTGAGTGCGTAAATGAACCCACCAGATCCAAGTGGGCTCCATTTTTAAGGTCCTGTCCTTTCACCAATGGCGTCTCTGAACACGTAGCACAGCTTACAATATCCGCTACCCTCACAAACTCCTCCAAAGACCCGTTACACTCTTCGAAACTTAACCCTTCATCAAAGCCACCTTCTTTACGAAGATTATCAACCAAGGCTTTCGCCTTTTCAACACTTCGGTTCCAAACTATTACTCTCTTAAGGCTTGGCCTAACAGTGACATGTGCTCTGATCAAATGGGGTGCCATTGCACCGGCACCGATCATCAGCAAAGTCTGGGAGTCTTTTCTGGATAAATACTCTGAAGCCAAAGCAGAAATACAGGAGGTACGATAAAGGGTAAGTTCAGTGGCGTCCATGGAAGCCAAGGTTTGGCCTGTTAGGGAATTGAAGAGAACATAACTTGCATGAACTCCGGGTAAATTGAGGGTGGAGTTGTTGGAATTGAAAGTGACAAGCTTGACCCCAATGTAAGGAAGAGAAGGGGAATTTGACCAAGAGGGCATGAGGAGGAGAGAAGAGGCAGGGCTGGTTTGGTGGGCGTGGCGTAGAGGGGATTGGATGGCGGTGGAATTGGTTGGAAGGGTGCGTTTGAGGTGATCGATGAGGGCTCTGTGGGTGATGATGGATCGGAGAGTTGGTGTCGAGATGTAAATCGGCGGCGAGATGGCCGCAGTTGCGGTGGCGGGATTGACTTGGTCTTGCTGGGCGGCCATGGAAATTGTTGGTGGTGATTTTAATCTTTTTGCTCCAATTTATACCAAGTCATAAAGAAGGGAGTACTAATAAATAAGGATTAGGTAGCAATGGAAATGGCGGTGGCGTTGCCATCTATATTCTCAGAAATTGCAATCAACCAATGGTGACAAAGTGTCTAAGTGTTCATTGTTGGGACTTGGAATAGTCGCGATACCTCGTAGCCGTGGAAGTTAACTGATTGAGATTGGTGCTAAAAGGTTAACTGATCTAGACTAACCAGACAAGTGGAATAAAGGGAATCGGTTAGACGTGAAATAAGAACCATATAATATTCTCCCTCCGTCTCAAAATATTATCCAATTTAAATTTTAATTTTTAGTTTAAATTATAGAACTAAAATTGAAAATGTAAATTACACACAATAATTTTAGTACAGAAGGAGTGTATAAACTAGCACATTTCTGATCCAAATGAAGAGCAGATTGAATAAACTGTACTGTATTCATAGTTGTGGGAAATAAAAATGTGGAATTTGCAACAGTTAAAAACATATAATTAATAAATAAATTAAGGTAACCCAGAATAGCTTAAGAGAAACAACCTTTGTGCCGATGTCCTAACAAAAGAGGCACTAGTTGTTAGAAGAGACATATATTCTTTTGATGTTGGCCCGAGTAACATAACTTTATTAGTAAATATCGTCAAGGACGGAAATATAGGTTTGAGCTAAAGCTCATACTTGTATGTTTGTTAAGCAAAAAAAATTAAAATATTATTTAAATAAATTATGGGGGACTTAGAACTATACAAAGATCACTTGAAATGGAAGGACCTCCCTACTTTCTTTACCCTTAGGGAGTCGGAAGTCCAGAGGAAGGGCACTGATCGTATACTCCACGGTTGACTTCTTCCACATGAACCATACGCCCTTCCACGTTTCATTTATGGCAGATTCTTCAAGCATGTCTAGTGTACATCGATTCAGTCTGGGATGCAGCTCTTTCAACTGCCGTCCACCAGTCATCATCATCTTCTTCCCAGTCATCAGCCTGCTTGATTTGAGACACGGAAAAAGAAAGGAGGATCCACTGAGACAAATAAGGCAAACAAAAACCATGCTTGCGTTGAGTTTTCCTAATATTAAATTCCTCAGGTTTTCTATCCTTAAATCGATCCAATGTACCACAGTTGTAACTACTAGATTCCTAAATTACATGCAATGGTATTTGCCTCATCATTACCATTTGATGACATTAGAGAAGGGAAAATTGTAGCCCCCAACCACCTTTTTCTTCTATTTTAAGACCCCAAGAGTTTCGAAACATAAAAGTTTTCATGAAAGAAAGAGAAATGCGACCCCCAGTTGACAACCTCGGATCAAGTTATCAAACATGGAAGATACGAATCATTCTCTAAGGTTTCTAGAACTCAACCAGACTTGGAAAGGTCTTTTTTCTTTTTCATTTTTTCTTACAGTTGGCCTTCCATTTAAAATTTAGGAGCATATGGAGAATGTAGATAATCCGCAATATGAATCTCAATATAAGTGATAGCTAACAAGCTGAAACTCTTACCATGCCAGTTAGATCTAGCTTTTTCTGTACATTTTCTGCCTCATCTGCCAGCCTCACAGCTTCAGACCACCACTCTTTCTTACAACTATCAGTCATAGTTCCATCAGCTGGTGACATTGTTTCAACATGAATTTCAGTTGGTCCCTCGGAATTCTGAAAATTTGTAGGATCAGGAATAACATCCTCAGGAAGTGGACGCAAAGGAGATCGATATCCTGCAAATCAATATCAACTTAAGAAAGCTTGTGCTTTCAGGCCCCATTAAGATTACGAAGATCAAAATTTAGTAGATAACCAGTCACCTCTACAATCAGGATCATAACACTTCTGATAGTAATCACCCCTTCTGATATCAACTACGTACATCACTACAAAAACTTACAATGGGTTAATAGCAGATACAACTTCATCGTATTTACAACTCTTAGGATCGTAAATGAGAGAAGCAAGGCAGGCAGTGAGCTTTGAATAAAAACATAAATTTACCAAAAACCGGTACGGTTAATTTGCTCTCTGAAGAGTCGCCCTCATGTAACCCATATGCACACAAAAAAAGTCTCACCCATTTGCATTATTAAAACTTTTGAAGTTAAAAAGAAAAAATAAAACGAGAAAGAGAATGAACAAGATGACAGTACCATGATTGCTTTTGTGTTCTCGGCCAATTCTTTCACAGTATCTATTTCTCAACATGCTATACACCATTAATCCATATTCTGAAAACCAATACCAACTTCGAATTTTCCCTGGAAACAGGCAACGAACATAGTAAAAACAGATGGCCACAACAAGTACATGGCTCATGCAGCCAAATGTTGACACAAGGGAAACTAAAATTTTGTCATCACAAGGATCAAACAGAGGGGAAAACATGGCTAAAATATCATAGCAAAAGCAAAGTGCACAAGTATTGCAGAGGAAATCAGATGAAATATTGTTAGAAGTAGGTAAGAAGGGCAGAAAACTAACAGAGAAAAATAGCAACGCAGACTACTCATTCTGTGTTTAACTCAAAAGTGAAACAGAGGCACACACAGACTATTATTAATACAGACTATTCCTTCAAGGAGTCATAGTTTCACGAAAATGCAGTTCTAACAAAGCTTGCCAACCCCAGATGGTGGGAGAAAAGATTTCTTGTTGTTGCAATTAAAACAAGGCTCTCTATGAGGTATGCCCACAAAAGAAACATTCTTTCAAATATCATATGGAAGTTCTGAAGTTTGACTTAAAAGGAACTTTGACCAACAAACCTGCAAGCACGAGATTGTAAATTTCCAAGCTTTCGAAATACCTTTTACATTTCCACTAGATGCTACAAACTCAATGAAAGCATCCAAAGGTGGGAATGGTGACTGCCCCATCAGATAGGTTCTTGAAGCATCAGTTGTGCAAGAATCCAAGTCAAACTGGCGAGCATAACCGGAGGGTTTGTATGACGCATTGGTAGTCTGCAGTAAGAAGAATATTGGATTACTACCGAACTCCCTGAGTATTAATCCGATTATGTTTGCAGAAAAAATCAGGTTTCTGAACTTGTATCATTTGCCATTAAGATAACAAATATGCATTGAGTAAAGGATAATATTAAAGTCAGCAGTACCTCCGAATCAAAGTGCAGGGCCTTCACACAATCTAAGTCCATCTTGCAAATCAAAAACTTTTCGCAGTCACTGTCCATGTTGCATATCAAGGATGCCATAAAGACTTCTTCTTCATTCTGTCATAAAAAGAAGGAGAAACTCAATGTAGGGATACCTTTTGAGAAAGGAACAAACTAATATAGAGTCATAAAAATACTTCAACAGAAGCTATTAATCAAGCACAAGAAATATCAAAATCTATAATAATAAAAAATCTAGTTTCATACCATGCCCTTACATTTAAACCGTCCACTAGGTAGAAGCACAGAACTCTTCCCTGCTTTAGATGATAGCGGAAGGCGGAAGCAGCGGTTTCTCGAATATACAGCAGTATCCACAAAAAGTTGGCATTGACTCTCAGATAAGCCTGAATCTTTTAATATATACAAATTTTCATATCTTCCATCTTTCTCCCTTGATTTATTTATACGCGAACATATCTAAATTGTGAAATTCTCAATTAGTATTTCTTTATGTTTATGTAGCAGATAATAGTGCATGCAAAAATGGTTTCGGTTTCCCTAAATGTTACGTAATCTAAGCTAATTACCCGGTCAACTAAATGAAACAACCTCCGTCCTAGAAAAATAGTCCAATTTGAAAAACTAAAATATAAAAATTAGATGACTTAATTTTGCAAATTACAAAATTAATATGAAAAAATTGAATAAAGTTTCATGACTATGATAAATTTAATAATCAAATTTGGGTTATACCAATCTCATATGCCCAATTTTAAGATTTACATTTCTAAAATTGGACTATTTTTTTAGGACAGACTAGTACTACACAAGACACACCTAACAAAATTCAACATAATTGAAAACATACCTCAAGAACAAAAGCACCAACATGGGAATTGTCCTTAAAAGCAATCTTGGGTAGTCGGGCAATTACATGACGAGAGAACTTCTCTGTCAGCAAAGACCATATCAACTTCCAATTAAACATTCATTAAGAAATTAAGTGAAAGTTGTTACTATCCAACTATCGGGCTCTCCATAATTCTTAGCAATCATATTTATAATATAATAGAAACCAAACAGATCCATGCTATATCATTGAAAAAAAAAAAAACACTATTTTGTATCCATCAAGTGCATACCATTCTGCAACTACAATTTGACATGAGAATTTGGTTCATAACTTGAATTATCTTTGAAATGCTTTTATAAAGAGTGACAAAAATAAGTTATAGTATACCAAATAAAGACTTTTTTTGCATCAATTGGACGAGAGAGTACGTAGAAGTGCAGTAATGATGTTACGACTTACTCTAAACAACATACCTTCATTAGATGAATCAAGTTCTACAATACAGTCAAGGTTTCCTTCTATACCATACTTCTCATGTAGGACATCAAAGACAACAGAGATAAGAAGGTCAACCATTTCATCTCCATTTTTATGTAAATTTATCTTCTTGTCGAATTCCAAATCAAAATACAGATGGCATGGCAATCCCTGTAAATATTCATCACATGGCCAGCGTTATACACACAGTAGCACATATATAGTCTTCATAGAGAAAGTTAAAACTACTTCACAGCCATTTCATCAACATTTTCAGTTGACGAAACAACAACAGAGTACCGGACATTGTAGCAACCATATATATTTTGTAATGTGTGAAAACCATAAACATAGTAAATACATTAGATAAAAATAAACAAATAGCACGAAAAGAAACAATCCAGCAAATTTTAGTATTAAGTGGTGTAGCTCATACTACAAGAGCACTTTCTCGAGCTTGCATCAAGAGGACTATGAATGGAAGGCTTGTTACCTCTTGAATTACTTCATAGTGGTGGCGAAATTTTGGATTCATTTGCATGTACCTAAGTCAATGTAAAACATCCATTAATTAGATAAGGCAATTATGATCAATCATCTTAGACAAGGATTAGGCAATTATCATCAATCTTAATCTCCCGTAGTTAAGTATTTGAGAATATGAAGGTAAAACGGCACCTCTGCCAAAATTCCTTATATGTTGACACGAGGAATCTCCTTTGGCCAGTAACATGATCCTGATAACAAAAAACGCGACCATTTGCATGTGATTTCAGATACTTCATTGCTTCATCTTGTCTGGGAAATGTCACCCAAATTTCCTCCCTGAATGAATAAATATAAAAAGGAGTTGGTCAACCAATACAAATAGAACATTTACCAGAGAAAGCCAGACCAAGACTGCAACGCACACCTTAACTTATTTTGTTCAGAGATGTCAACACGAATTTCACGTAACAATCGCAGCAAACGAGCTGGTCTCTTTGGCGGCACTCCTTGTGGAGAACCATAGAAAACAATTGGAGAAAACTGCTTCTTTTTATTCTCACTAGAGCTCAGAATCGTAGATGCCCTAGGTGACTGAGTATGACAGGTGCTAATGAGTGTGATTCAAAATATAGGGAGCAAAGAATTGAAAAATGCCTAATCATACACGAACATAAAAGCATAACTACATTGTGAGCTGAGAGTGGAGTGTTGAAGCGACTCCCACGTTGGTTTGTGGGGGTAAGATTTGGTGATGGATTGCCACGACAGGTGGATGCTTCCGGAACTGAATCATCCCTCCTCGAAGTAGCATACTTTCCCCTTTTCCTGTGTCTAAAAGCAGATTCTGCAACACATATAGTTATAATTCTGTAAGAACTTCGGAAACTAATAGTCAATCTGAAATGACAAGACCCAAAATAGCCGCGTTATTTAAACACAATTGCACAACTCAAAAATTAGAAAAAGAATTTATTCAATCAAAAAGTGATAATTCCGACTATTAATAATTATTTTAAAAAAAATCACAACCGAAACCCAGAAAGCTAAATAATACTAATAATACACGGTAGTAAATTTTGGACCAAGTAGATTTAATTTTTCAAATCGGGAGGCCAGTATGTAGAGAAATGTACCAGTGAAGAATTATGAATAAAATGAATTGAGACATTACCAGGGGGAGTGACGCCACATTTGAAGCACTCGAAAAGCCGATCCACGTCGTCCATAATTCCGTCGTCCGGCGGCTTAATCCTCCGAGAGTCCTCTTCACCACCAAATGCAGAACTCCAGCCTCCACTGCTGTTGGCGGAAAGAACATGTTTCGAAATCCGAGACGGTATTAGCCAGCGGCTGGCGGACCGTTTCGCGCTCAGTAATTGGGCTTGAATAATTGTTCTTAAACGGGCCAACTCAGAAAATAATGTAATGGGCCTCCACTGTCATTACGAAATTTAATTAAGAAGAAACCCACCCCGCTGCCCGCCTACGATAGCTGTCCCAAGATACTCATTTCCCATGTAAATTTAGTGTAATCTATTGATTCGGCAATTCCAAGTTCCACCATCATAATGCCGCCGGAGGCAGGATAAATTATGATTTTATAATACAAAATGAAGCGCCTTGGGTGTTTTTTTTTTTAAAAAAATAAAAATAAAACTAGTTCTCGATTCTTAATTTCAGGCATGCTACATTATTAGTTCATTCTTAAATTTTTCTGGTTTGGAACGATTTGTTCCTTCTTTCTTACTACTGAATCCTTATTTAATTGGATGCTATATGGCATCATTACATATAACTTAAAACTTACTCCTCAATCCTCGTGTTTAATATAACTAGTGTGTGTCTTGCACTTTGCGCGGCTTTGTCAATGTTAAAAATTTATATTTCAAAAGAATTGATTAGATTATGTAGTTACAAATATACCGTCCTTATTCTCTTAAAAAATATAGTTACTAATATTTCTTCAAATTGTAATATTTTTTTGATTAATCAATTTTAGATCAAAATGAAAGGTATTGATATTATTTATGAGAGGTATATTTGTAAGATCTGGTAAAAAATATTACAACAAAGATTTTCAAAAATTGTATAATAAAAATTGTCACTACTAACTAATGTTATGTTTGGTTTAAAAAATATATTTAAAAAATGCGTAAATTATGTCTAGATGCATATGGCCTATTTTTATAGGCAAGTGGACTTTGGGGATTAGATGTAGTTCTAATAAAATATGAGACACAATTAATCGTCCTTGAAAATGTAAAATCGATAAACTTGAAAACTAAATAGTACACAAATGGAACTTTAAGGGTCAAAATGACAATAGGTTGAAAGTTTAAACTCGTAAATGAAAGGACTTTTGAAGTCGGGAGTTTCTCAGCAATTTTTAAAAATATTCATTTTCAAGCTCACAATCAGTAATTTGTAATATCTGTAAAAATCTTATATACTCCCTCCGTCCCACAAAAATAGTCCAGTTTGAAAGTGTACAACTTTTTTAATTTGGTTAACACACCAAATGTACAACTCATTTCATTCTCCTAACTTCCACTAATGCCCCTTCTAGTTGTTTCTATAAAAATTAACTACATATGCATTTATTTTACAACTTAAATTTGATCAAAATTTTTATCTCAAAAAATATTGACAATGGATCTTGATAGAAAGATCTTGTTACGTAGATTAATTTGATATATAACATATTTTTTAATTATTCATGTATTAAAAGATAAAATCATTTGAAAAAATAAGAGAAAACTAAAAAAAAATGAAAATAAAAGGAAGTGGACCTTGTTTTTCATACCAGTACTCTTTTGGATATTTAAGTCATTTCAATTCAATGAATTTTGACTTTTGTTAAACTGGACTATTTTTTTAGGATAATATTTTTTATTAAATTAGATTATTTTTGTTGGACGGGGGGAGTAGTAAATAATTTATTAACTGTTTACAAAAAATTTTAACTGATTAATGATCAACCAATTAGCAAATGACACGTGTTAATTGAGACTTGATGGTCTCAATGAGCGACACGTGTCGATTATCTTTCTTTCCTTTAATATATATAATGATCGGTATCATGACTATTATATAATAAAAATAGTGCTCACTCTGTCCCAAAATTATTGTCCAATTTGATATTTCACTTTTAGTACAACTAGTATTTGGCCCCACATTGCAGGTGCTATAAGTTTTTTAAAAAAACATTCATGAGCAAAATACTATTATTTACATTCATGAGTAAACTTATTTTAGGTCCAAGTAGTTGATCATTCAAGGCCTTAATTAATTAGTTAAAGGTGTAACGGATTAACTATTGTACATAAAATTTTAATGGTTTAATGATGAGCCAATAATATAATAACACATGTCATACATGTCAATTGAAACTATTAAAGGGTTAATTGAGTATTCAATGATCAACTCTCCTTTATTATATAAGATATAAAATAACATAGATTATTTTCAAAGTTATCATCAACTCTCCTTTATTATATAAAATATAAAATAACATAGATTATTTTCAAAGTTATCATCGATGCATGATCTTTCCATCAAATAACTACAGTAAAGTAATAGAAATTTACTTTCCTGCAAACCACTAACTTATGTAATCTCAATTAAAAATCATATATTTTGTATTTCTGTTAAAAATTATTTTTTAGTTAGAAATTTCTAAATCATCCCGTTCTAATTTATTCTATAATAGATCCTCCACAAGTAACTCTTTTTATTGAAGTAGAATTAAGCATCTAGTAATTGAAATAAATTATACATGCATTTTATATATCATAGAAAATAATAAATTTTATATTTGTGTTAAAATTATAATTAGACCTTTCCAAATGATCTCATTCCCATTCATCTTATAAAAAGACTAAAGATTTCCTACAACACTTCCAAATCCACCATATAATTTTTTTTACATTTTTCTATTTAATTATCTCTTTCCTTCTTCAAAAAATTTTATTAACACCCTAACCCACCTTTGGATGAACCCGTTAGGGCTCGGTGTCAAAATCTTGGTAAATGATCTAGAAAGTGGTGTAGGAGATTTTCCGCCTCGTAATAAACAATTCCATACTGATCCTGTTTCTTAAAATTTTATTGAGCAATTAAAACAAAATCATACACGTATTTATATAGCCATAAAAATCATATATTTTGTATTTGTGTAAAAAATTATTTTTTTAGTTGGACCTTTCCAAATCATCACATTCCAATTCATCTTTTAATAGGTCCAATTTAATATTAATGGTTTCGTAACTTCCAAGTTTACATAAATTTTTACCGCAAATTGACATGTCTAATTGCTATAATAAGTGAATTATTCGTGAATGGTTAATTTTATCAAATCATCCATTAATGTCACGATTAATTTTAAAATCCTTTCCATTTTTTTTTTGTCAATTCTTTATTTTCTGTCATATTTTTTTTCTTGTTATAGAAGTAACAAAATATCTCTATAATAAGGCACTATTAGTAAAACTTGATGCCCAAAACAATTACATTAATGCAGATTAATAGTAGCTATATATTATAACGGAATTATGGTTCATCTTTGGGCCAATTATTGCTTAAATAATTTGTGGAGCCTATATATGAAATCCTTAATTTATGTAGTCTCAATTAATTAAGCAACATTATGCAAACAAAATAAATTTATTGATGGAAGTATTTCATATAAAATCGTTAACACATATAATTAATCATGTATAAAATCATCAATAACCATATATAAGTGCCATTATGGTAATCAAAATCAAATCTCTTTATATAAAACCACCACGTAAAATTTATTATATTTTCGTATTCAATTATTGATTTCCCTTTTTAATATTTTACTAACACCCTAACTTAGTAATTGGATAAACCCGTTGGGGCCGAGTTGTATTTACTCTTGGTAAATGCTATGGGAATTGGTATAGGTTTATGTTGTAGAAAACTTTTGCCATATAAAGGAGTTTATATTAGAGAACAAATTCTATCTCATTGTTTATTTTAGAAATAGTGTACAAATTAGCCCTGGGGTGCCAAATGAATAACAAAAGTACAAAATATCGACAAATGATTATAATGAGCTTGCCATTTTTCTTTTGAGTTTTGATAATTTGGGAGCAATAGCATATAGCCGGATTTCAAACAAATGAGTTAGAAGTAGCAGTTGACAAAAAATACAGAATAAGAACTTTCATGTTATACTGACCATTTAATTTATTTTCATGTTTTTTTAATATAAACTGAAACAATTTACATATTCAAAGCATATAAATAAAGAAATCAAAATGTACTCCGCAGACAAAAGAAAAAACCCATTAGAGAATTTATAACTTAGATACATGTCACGAAAGAAATCAATCTCCTCGTTCAATGTCTTTGAGAAGAGAAGCAACATGAAAATCAAAAAGTAAAATCGGAGCAGTGACATTTTTTGGCTATAAATTTAGAATACTGACAACAACTGTATTATGGAAAAACTAAAGTAACAATTGTGTATGTCCATGAGAAATTTTTTGAGCAACTTGATCTGCTCTCATGATTATCCAAGACGGTTCAAACTAATCCCATATATGCAAGAGCTAAACTAAAAATCACAAATCACAACGTTAATAAAATGTTAGTCGATCTATTGTAATAATTTTTTTAGAGAAATTAAACAAATTTATATTAGTAATAATTATATAAAAACAACGCCAAAGCAGGTTCAACTCAAAAAAACACAAACCATTTGCAAAACTTTTTTTTAGGCGGCTTTCGTATCATAGATTTTCTTAAAATACACAAAGATGTAACTTTGTGCCGATTTGCCTATCGAGAGATTATTCGACATTGGTGCATCCGATTCGACGGAATTTGTAAATTTGTTCTTGTTAAAAAGATCGAAACTCTATAAAACAAAAAGAATAAAAATCTCAAATTTAAAAAGAAATAAAATAATACTATTCATGAATACCAATTAATATTGGAGTTTAGGTAAATATGATTTTAGAACTCCATATGCCGTTGCCATCAAACACAAATTGCTATATTTTATAAGCACGAACCCAGAACTCCTTGTGTTTCAAAACTGTTTTTGGCATAACAATAAATTAAAAAATCAATCAATGCTAAAATTAACTTGAACATGATAGAGTTCTCCATCAACCAACTCCAATCCAACAAAAGTTTGCTCTGCCAAAACAAAAACAAAATCGAAATTAATTTTAATTGAAAAAGTTTGCTCTCCATCCAACTCATTCTCAAAAAATAAAAAAAAAATTAAAAAAGTTCCGAATTTTCTAGCCACAACCGGTGGACATGGCGGCTAGCTATAAACTAAAAGAAATTTTTTTTTTTTTGATTGATTTAGATGGTGTTCATTGTGGAGGAATTATATGTATTTATAGAGATATAGCAGTATCTGATTAGAGTTTAGTAGAGGCGAAGCGTATTAGAGAAGATATAAATTAGCTTTAATTGAGAGATTGATTTAGTAGAGGAGAAAGTGTATTAGAGAAGATACTAGTTCTACCATTTGTTGCGCGACGCATTTTATAAATAAAATAATAGCATAATCTACAAGGTTTG